CACACCCACACACACAAACACACACAAACACACGTGAATGCACGTAGGCACGCACGCGCGCACACACACACACACACACAAGCATGTGCACACATGCACGTACAAGGAATGGAATGTACTACACAGAACTGACACAATCATGTAAGATAGTAACCAAGCACATGTAGACACAAGTAAACACATTCACACAAGCACATGCAGCAATATGCCATATTCACACGCACACACTCACTCACACACTCACATGCAGCATGATGTACATAGTCACACTCAGCTCAGCACAACACATGGTTGCATACAAAGACATGAACATGCATAGTACTCACCTGAAGATACTGTTCCAAGTTTTCCAAGGTGACTGGCTGGCTATTGCCAAATTCGACGAGCTCATGATCGCATGCGGGGACACCAAAGTCGAGGTAGAGCTCCTGCACTTTGGCAGCAAGCTGCTTTAGAGCAGCTCTCTTCTTCTTCTCAGGCTAAGCAACGCAACAAGAGAGCACAGTTACACGCAATGAGCAGGAAAACGCAGCTCTGTAGTCACTGCGCAAGCAGAATAAGAACAGGACTACAACAACACGGGGTGTGTCGTCTTGGCTACTGGACTGACCTTCGTCTTGCTCACAACCAAAAGCGATTACATGCATCACAATGTATTAGCATGCATGTCATACCAGTCATGGCCCAGCGCACAATTCGGTCAGTGAAAAGAAGAGGAGGCTATTGACAACTTCCCACTTCACTACTATCTCATATACATATACCGAAAAGTACCGCGAGAGCGTTCCACCTTGATTTTTCAGTCAGGGAAAGGAAAATCGTACGGAAAAGTGCAACGAAGTTCGTACAGTGTGAGAACCTTAGTGTACAAAGGTCACATTTAGCAGGTTTTTGGGCGGAGCTCGTGTCAGCTTGATGGTAAGTTGAGTACGGATTGACTGCAGAACGTGCAACGTGTGTACAAGTACAAGGTTTGCGTTGTACAACCTACTGACAGGACACCACCTCTACAATGCGACCAGGAAAGGACGAGATGGCGGGGCGCTCTCGCGGTACTTTACGCTACATGTACTTTCAAACTGTGCGCCGACTGAAATACATCACCCAGCCTAGAATGCCAACCCAGGCAGCAGCAGCAGCAGCAGCAGCAGCATCAGCATCAGCAAGCCCAACCTCACCATATCACATGCGTTGATGCGATCCTTCTCCACAATAACTTGGAGAAGTTGAGCGACCGACTGTCCGAATGTTTGATCGACTTTCTGAATGTAGATAAAACAAACCAGTACAACAAACATGTAGATTACAACTAATGCCATCACATGGCACAAAGAACACTTGGGGAGATCCCCTGTGATGTGTGTCAAAAACACGCAACTCTCACCTGTACATCATGGATACAAAGGAACTGCTCCTGAGCCAGGATCCACTTGCAGAAAGCACTGCTGAATGGCAGATCAACCTAAATAACAGCACAGCAGCACACGCACACACACACACACAAAAACATCACAGCAAGTACACACCGATACACGGACAAACACAATACACCGCTTTTAACCATTTATCATTGAGCTCAAATCTGGGAGAGACAGAAAGAGAAAGAGAGAGAGAGAGAGAGAGAGAGAGAGAGAGAGACACAGAGAGAGAGAGACAGAGACAGAGAGACAGAGGAGTGCAGACTGTAGAACGACCGCATGCCACTGGAATTAGTGTGAATAAATTGAGCTAATTCTGCCACTCTATATTGCACTGTTGGCCGACCCACTAGCTCAACTTGCCCAACACTAGCACCGCTATAGCAAGGGCAGTTCCATGTAGTCATAATAGCCAGGCCTTCCAGAGTGCGGTCTCGCTTCTTCTGAGCTCCTCAGTGGAGGTAAATCAGCAGGGAGTAACAGGAAAGGGAATGATGTCTAACAGATAAAGCTGACATACCCTATAGGCAACTTCAGTGCTAAATGTTGAACATGTGACAATGAAATCGATTTCTATTTCAACGACAGATTTCTCCTCGTTAATTCGTCAGAATTAGCACTTCGTTATATATGGCTTATACAGTATATGAATTCTAAAGTTTCACCGATCTTCCAAACGTAGATGAACTACTGTGTCACATGATTCAGTATGAGTACATACCATTCTGGAGTCATAGATGGCCTTGGCTAAGAAGCGACCCAGCAAGTTGAACTTGGCTTTGTTCACCAAAGATCCGGCAACTAGAAAGCACAGCAAAGTGTGGAAAAAAGAAGAGACACGTACATATCATAAGTATCAGAAGGGTGCTTTCACCATCCATCCGTCGCTCTATCAGCACTACACAAGCGATTATGTATCTTCAGTATAGCACTTTTTTTCTTTTTTCTTTTTCTACAGAAAAGACCTGTGCCATTTTTGCACACAAACCAGCCAAGTGCAACATGAACAGCTGTGCTTACCAGGGAACAGTCCACATGAGTTGTGAACATACTGCTCAGACGTGTCATCTGTACGCGCACAACAAATAATATGGGCAACAGAGGCAAAGAACAATCAAGACTGCAGCAAAACATGTCAAGCGCTAGAACAAACTGAAGAACTCAACCAATGTCTCCCCAGCACAAATATCAAATTGGAGAATGTGGAAAGAAATGGCAGTGCTCTCTTATTAGGCAACATAGAACGCCTCCAACAGAGACTCATGAACATTCTCAATGGAGGGAAGGAGAGGGAGAAATAGAGAGAGCCTACCCTGATCGGACGGTATGTAGTCACCGCGCCACAGCCTGAGAGATGAAGCCTGAAACTCGCGAGACACCAGTGAGTAGAACTCCAGAGTTGGGCCAAGACCGGTGCCAACCTAGCAGCACACACAGCACACACACCGGTAGGACACCAGTCACACAATGGCAATCATACGTCATGCTCAGGAGCAGCAGCATGATAGAAAAGAGAATACTTCAAGAAACCCCAAGTCACATACAGACTCAAAAATCACAAAATTCGAAATCACAAAGTTTGTTCGAAATTAAGCCATGGCTGGAACATTTGACGCGTAGCAACACCCCAGAGCACAGTGGAGCTCACAAGAAAACTATCGTGTGCAACAGCTGTGACTAAAATGAAAATAAAACCAAACCTAACTCAGGTTAATTTAGGGGTGTAGCTGGTTCACCTGTTAGAAACACTTTTTGTAAAATACATTCATATCGAAGTCAGTGTGTTGCAGTCCACGGAACGAGGGAGTGGTCAGCAGCTTCACTTCGCCTTCAACGCACACGCTGTGCAGTTAAAGGAGTCGGATGCTTCATCAAGTATTGTTGACAAAAGTTGAATCGTTCCATACTTTTTGCTCTCCTAAATGGAATGCTCTAGCAGGGTTCTAGCCAAGGGGGAGGGGGGCAGCGCCCCCCCCCCCCCCTCCCCCTACTCATTTTCCAATATTTCATTTGTCTGGGGTGAAGTCAGAAGTTCGCCTTGTACACTGCATTTCACATTGCAAGACAGTTATTAATTTTTGAAAAATAATGGAGAAAAGGGTTTCAGTGTACAGTAACTGCCCCCCCCCCCCCCCCCCCCCCTACTATTTTGACCTGGCTAGAACCCTGCCCCTGCTGTAGAACTAGCTTGCAATGGCAAGGCAGAAACAGCAGTTGTGCCCGAATTCGCCGCTCTCGCTGGGACCAGAGCTTCTAGAAGTTGACCCAGCACTATGTCGTTTGGACTTTGCAAATAGCTCACATACACAGCTGAGACTTGGTGAAAGCGTTGATGCCAGCTTGAACATTCCAAAGACGAAACTAGGAATGCCGGGGGCAAGGCAGTGTGATGTGACAGAGAGATCCGTGACAGATTGACAACATGCCGAAAATACAGTTGATCCACCTGGTATGATCTGACACTGTGTACTCGGCAACAGCCAGTTAAATTGCAGCAATAATAAGCCTCAAAGTTAAAGGGGAAGTTAAGGCAAAAATTAAAATTTCACCAGTTGTAGTCTTCGGGGTGCTGAGTCGAATGGTCGTGGTCCGAGGAAGCTGAGACGCTCCCTTCCTACTTGAATCCCAATCGAACTCGCGCACCTCCACCGAAACTGGGTGACTGCGCCCTACTAGATGGGGATTTGTATGCAAAATGTCACTAAAAGCGCCATTTCGTTCTTATAAAAGCACGGATGACCGCGATTGGCCCATATGTTGTAGTCTTTTGGACGCTGCGTCGACTGGTTTTGGTCCGAAAAGGCTGCGATGCAGCGTTCCTCCTTTATTCCCAATCGAACATGGTTGAACAAGCGGTCACGTGCTCCTGCGTACGCCAGTCACCTGGTCACCGTGCCTGCAGGGTACAACTTACTAGCCTGTTTGACCTTTTTTGGGTGCAGTCCTGTCACTCGAGTTGAACCTTGGTGTGAAAGTTGTCGCCTGCTGGCGTGGTGACCAGATGATTTGGGCACCCAGGAGCACGTGACCGCTTGTTCAAGCATGTTCGATTGGGAATAAAGGAGGAACGCTGCATCGCAGCCTTTTCGGACCAAAACCAGTCGACGCAGCGTCCAAAAGACTACAACATATGGGCCAATCGCGGTCATCCGTGCTTTTATAAGAACGAAATGGCGCTTTTAGTGACATTTTGCATACAAATCCCCATCTAGTAGGGCGCAGTCACCCAGTTTCGGTGGAAGTGCGCGAGTTCGATTGGGATTCAAGTAGGAAGGGAGCGTCTCAGCTTTCTCGGACCAAGACCATTCGACTCAGCACCCCGAAGACTACAACTGGTGAAATTTTAATTTTTGCCTTAACTTCCCCTTTAAGCCTTGCGGGAAGTAGCTGCTCACCTGCACTTAATTTTGGCTTCACAACAGACATGGCACATTTCAAATTCTAGGCGACATGGCCCAAAACATGCACATGCTGAATCAAGGCCGACAAATTTAGGGGGTACCTGTGCTCCCTGTGCCCCCCCCCCCCCCCCCCCACACACACCAACTATGCATATGCAGCTTTGCTGACTGAACCTACCTCTGACTCAAAGTTGACTTCCATAATGGCTCGTGTGTGCGGTTTCTCCAGGAGCCGTTCAACATGTGTGAGAAGTGCAGACCTGTCCACTGAGTACTGGATGGGAGTGAATACATGCGAGACACATAGCAGGGGTCAAAAACTTAAGAATAGAAAAATAACTGATACAACTAGAATTCGGAGCAATGATAGAGAATATGGAAGAGACCTCTTGGTTCAAACACTAACTGGCCAGTAGAACTCCATAACAGTAATCTCAGTGCATCACAGAAACTTAGCACATCAGCCCTGACACAGCAGCCCAGAAACAACAACAGCCCTGACACAGCAGCCCTGATGAAACAGCCCTGATGAAACAGCCCTGATGAAACAGCCCAGCTTGACTTGGCAGAATATTTGGGCCAGTGCATGCGAAAACGTGTCTTCGGGGGAAACCGATTTCTTTCAGAATTTTGAGAAAATCGCTCGTAAAGAAGAGTTATATTTTTTTGTGGCTCGATCGCGGATCTTGTCTACATTCCTAATCGATCTCAAGACGACAAGGGAAGCGACAAGCGATCGACTTGCAGCAATCATCATGGACGTGGCGGCGCAGGAGGAGTTTGAAGTAGCACTTGAGGAAGGGCCTCTGAGTAGACACACTCGCGGCAGACGCCGAGCAGCACGTCGGTTGAGCTGTGCCGCTCGCGTGATTATCGTCGGCGCGTCCGAAGAGATCGGCAAGGTTTACTATCGACGAGGAAGACGACAATTTATTTGGCGAGTCGTGAGTCGGAGCAGTCGGCAACTAGCAGCTGTACTGTTCACAGTGACTCTGACGAAGCCCCAGCTAAGCGTCCGGGAGTGAAAAACTCCTGCGTTGAGGTTGAAGGCGAGTCGAGAGCGGATGAATTAGGCGGAGATTCTGTGGACTCTGCAAGCGACGATGAGCAGGACGCGCTTCAGAGCATTGCCGCTGTGGACTCACTGATTCTCGAAACTGTGGTTACGTTCGAAATTACCATTTCAGCAACTTCACGTCGAGCGCAATCCTCCATTACGACGATGAAATCCAAGGACCTCGGCATTATTTATATTGGTGTGCTTGCTGCGCTGCACGCATGACGATCCTGTCGACTGTCGACTGTCATGTCGTGCATCAGTCGACAGCTTCCGCAACGGAACGGACGCGCATCACATTAGGATAAACTGTGATGGGATACATCGTGTGTGGAACCGTGTTTATTCAGCTCTATGATTGTGGTTGGCAGAACATGACTGTGTGCAAGTGGACAAGGAAAACAATAGCTGTCATCCTGGTGCACATGGAAATCTGGCAATGTGCCTTGAAATACATTTAGTGCAGAAGTGGGAGACAGAGTGCAGCAGTTTATTCTGAACTACAACTGAGTGTTCAGCCTCCGGCTGTCTGCTGCACCAAGAGGGAGAGGTGGGGAATCTCCCATAAACTTACCTACATCTGTCGCCTACAAGTTTGTCCTTTCGGAACATGTTGAGCGGTCTGGTGAATCGCAAACCTTGGGTTAACGTATATTTTTGTATCTGTGGACTAAGAAGTGCAAGTCCATCGAGTTCATGAAGCGACGGATGGATGTGTGCAACAAGTGTGAGCTGCTCCAGGACGCCTATTCGTTCGTCTCGTGCATAGGATGAAAAGAATTCTGCAACGGAACCACTCCGTGACCATGTTGTCTTTGCACAAAAAGAACGCGAGTTCTTGTTAGCTCAACGTCGCAAGAACTTGCTGGACAATGTTGCCCGGTTTTGACAGGAGAACAAGGCAGCCTTCATTGAATGTCTTGGCCAATTCTAAAGGCTGATACGCAAAACTGTTGCTTCTTTCAGCGACACTGTAGATAATGCATTATACAAGGCATATTCTATGTTGGACAATGCCATAGAAATCATGGTCTCTATGTACTTTCAAATGTGATACCCAGCTTTATCTTCCACAGAGGTGTTCTCTAGACCCCTGTGATTGATTTTCAAGAAAGAAAAAAATTTCCAAAAATTTGCCCTTAGACACGGTATTGCATGCACTGGCCCATTTTCTGACACTGCATGTACACAGGATGGCAAACAATCACACACTGCACTGCCTACCTTTTTCTTCTCCAGTCGTGGTGCAACCCTGTCCCTTTCTAGACCAGTGTCAGACCGCGCCAAGCCGGGCATACTTTCCTGCAGAATAACATAATAGATACAGTGCAGCAGCAGCAGCAGCACAGTACACCAGAGCACAATAGATAATGCACAAAGAACAAACCAAGCTAGTGGTGACCCATGCACCATGATAAGACTCACAGGCAGCAGGAAACAACACGACCATCACCTTGCAAACATAGCACATGTATCACATTGACAAAGCGAAAACTCTCCCACAACCCTAGCCACACTACAGTAAAGCATCGGAACTCCTCCAGCGAATGGACAGCTTGCGCTATGAGTAAAAACAAGAAGTGTTACTAGTTGGAGCGTGCTGCTAATCTTATACCAAGTACATACGGCAGCGGTCTCAATATCACACAGCGAAAGGTCGGCCAGAAAAAGATTTAAATAAACAACATTTTTAGAAGCGTTCGCTTGGCAAAGTTGGGCTTTAAAATGGTCCGGATTTCACACACCGTAGTGCCTTGAGCAGGTGCCATGGCCTGCATTGAAAACTAGCAATACGGGTACATGTACGTCCCTGAAGTAAGTCGCACACCACACTGTGACAGTATACATAATGTATGCGGAGAGCTCATGAAGGATGTGCACCGTTGAACCAGGATTGTTCACACACGCTTTATCTTTGTCGTATTGAGCTTTGTTGGATGGAAGATACCATAGCGGAAGGCACTCGAGATGTAACAAGCACATGTACAGAAATCAGTTATGGCGACACAGATTAGAGGATGTTCGACAATAAAATTGTGGGGTGCAACTCATTTTGTTGCTTGTTCTTTGCCGTTTTAGATTCTCCTTCGCCAGTTTTAATGGTTCACAGCACTTTGCGATTCGCTTCTTGCTCCTTGAGAAGTTTACCTAGCTCTTGGAGGAATACCATTGCTGCTTATTCGCGTGTTATGCGTTCCCGTGCTCTTGTTCACACAGTATGGTTTACGTTGTGGCGGATAAAAACAACTGACCAAGCTCATCATTATTTGTCCCCGCTTGCGTCGGTGTTCGGAATCCTGAATCTATCACCTGTTTACAAAGCCTTCTTGTCCACAATGAGGGCAGCAATAGCTGCATAAAGATTAGCATGGCAATGCAGCTGAAGATCATCTTGGAGCAAAGAACTACATGCATGTACAAGCTGAGAGCTGACAAGCACACTTGTGTACCAAAAAAGCTCAGTACAAAGAGACTGGTGGCACCAGTGCAATGGTAGCTGTTACTCGGGGGGGGGGGAGGGTTGGCGGTGGATGTTGAAAACGCAGTAGATAGTACCCAGACTACTTGAAAGTTTATCGGGTATTGAACACACACTAACCTGCAGACGAGCTAGGGCACGGTCCCGGTCAAACGACGAGTAGTAAAACAGCTGATGACGATAGTCAAATGGCAGCAGGAACGGGCTACATCACATAAAACAACAACAGGAACATGTCGTGGGCGATTTCGCTTTGCCAACGTAAACAGGAATGTGAATACATCGTCCAAGAATATCGTACTGGCATCCACCTATCCTGGTAAAAAAAAGGTTCCACACATCGCTACATCAGTCCCGTTGCCATCCAACGGGTACAAGTACATCACATCGCTACATCAGTCCCGTTGCCATCCAAAGGGTACAAGCACATCGTAGCATGCAGAACAGTCAAACCCAGGCATATTCAGGCCAGCACGGCCCAGCATGCCGACATCTGCACAGCACCCGGACACCTGTCCACTCAGCTAACAGTTAAAATACTACAAAAAGACACAGAGGGTGTAGAGATTAGGCTATGGTGGCAGTGGCTGTAAGTGATGTGGGGGATCGACCATGAACACAGTCACAGTTCGGCGGCGGTGCAGTTAGATGCATAAACACGAGGCTGTAAGCTGTACGGTGAATATAAGTAAGCGCACGAGAAAAAAGACCTTAGTCGCATGGCTGCACAAAATGATGAAACCACAATTTCACGTTGGGTTTAGCGTGATTGAAAGTTAGGATGGGGGGGGGGGGGGGGGGGACGTAAAACGGTGAATATGTACTTTGGGAAGTGAACCGGTTTGCCTGTTTTGCTGTTTTGTTTCCTTTTTACTTTTGTTTTGCATTTGATTTCTTAGACATCTTGCTAAAAGCCTTCTTCAGTTTATGGAGGCTACATTGCAGCTATTTATAATAATTAGGGCTGAAACGATCGTGGATTTTCACCTATCGATTACTCTTTAGCTTAACGATCGATTAATCGATTATAATCGTTAGCAAATAGTGTCTGAGTTTTGTGCAAAAATTACTCTGTTTCCAAAAGCTAGGCCTTCATAATACCAAAAATCTGCATTAGTGACAGGGTAGCTCCGAAATATGGCAGTTTTGAAGTCAATTTAACCTCAGAATATGCACCATGTCCCTGACAACTGCATACTCTCAGTGGAAACTGATTCGAACTTCACACTTGTAAATTTCACTGCTGTTGTTCTCAGTGTTATTTCTCTAACTTAGATTTTCTATAATAGTTCAATTTTGTTTTCATTGTCCTTTAGTACATCTGACGCCTGATCATGGGGTGGTGGCGTCCCACGGAAGCGGAAAGGTGGTTCTTGACCAGGAAGTTGTACGACTCCTTGTTCTTGACCTGCCCGGAACGCGAACCCCGTCGAATTCGAATTTTTAGTACAACGAAGATTCCTGATGAGTGTTGTACGAAAACTTGTTTGAATCCTCATTTTCTCTACACCATTTCTTCACATTTTCATCGTTTTATTGCACATCGTCTCCACAGTTTTACATTACATGAATAAAGTGTACATTTAATGTCGATCCAGCTTGTATTACTGATTGCGGTTATCATATTACTATCTCCAAATTTCTGGCAAAAAAGAATTTGTGTACTAGTCGAAATCGTCAGCCACGTCACTATTCCCATATGCTGGTTTATATGTTTATGACAATAGATCATACCAGGTAACAGCAACGTCAGTCAACCAGTTTGGAAAGTGGCCCGTCATTACAGCAAACGGATCTAGCAAAAAGCAGAAACACAGATATAGTACCATTGGAATCAGTCAATTTTATGCTCAGTTAGGTGACAAATCAGCTGTCAGTTGTGACACACCTGAAGTCGGATAACATTATTGCATGACTGTTCTTAGTAACTTCTTCTGCATGCGCAGGCTGACAAAAAGAGCTGGGTCTCTGCTCAAGACCGAGCGATACGAAACTGAAGGCAGAGTTGAAGATATGTTCAAGATAAGTACACTATTTCATTTTTTCTCCAAAATAAAATACTACGCTTTCATGTGTCACGTGTGGCTGTTGGGGGTTTTCTTTTAAATAATAAAATTGTTCTACAAATAAACAATGCCCATGTGTAAGGCACTGAAGATTGAAATCACATAGTTGACAATTAGTAACTGCGGACAGCTCCTAATAGAATCTGATGATGAACACTCTAATTCAATACTTGCATCAAAGCTGCAACTACCATGCAACTACCATACAACATCACTCTACCGGCTTACCTTGAAGTTGTCTGTAAGCCTTTGCAGCCAGTTTGCCATTCACTAACTCACATGCAGGAATGATGGGCTCACAGGAGGCCGCTCCCTGACACAAGAATGCAGTATGAGAAAAAACAACAGCCAGTGTAGCGGTTATAGAAAAGCACACCATTTCTTTATGCAATAGTGAGAGCATACATGACACAAATCGTAAGGACTACTTCTTTGAACTGCAACATCACAGCTATTAAACACACCTTGTACAAAGTATGCCAGTATCGGCTCAGTGAGTGAACTACAAACAGGAGTTGCAGAATGGGCTGTGATGGGTCATTCAGCTTGCCAAGCTCTGCAAGACACAAACACACACACACACACACACGCACACGCACACACACACACACACACGCACACGCACGCACACGCACACACAATACAGACGGGAGTAAGCACAAGAGAGAGAGCAGCATTGCAGTTAGCAGTATACATGATTGTACCATCACCAAAATCACGTAACAACCAATGAAAGACACTGATTCTCCTCCACTTGACAATCAGCAACTTGTCAACGGCTTGCCTCACAGTTGCTCTCGACACTCACCCATTCACTCACTACAGCGGGCATGTCACAGCTATATACTAATAATACAATATACCGTATTATCTCCATTATAAGCCCCGGGCCTATATTTTCCAACCAGTCCGGACCATGGGCATATTAGAGACTGGACTTCTACTAGAGATTGGGCTTATAATTTTTCATCCATCTGGTACATATACAAAGGTTAATAATAATTATTAGTTATAACAGTAGCACAAAGTTACCTGCCAGGTATCATGAGCGGCAGTTTTGTACTTCCTGGTATACTGAGTCTGTAGCTTTCGTCATGGGGATCATGGGGTTGCAGCACAGCATGTGTATTGCGTGATACTGTGTGACATCAAACATGCATGGACATGATCCATATACATGTAGGTAGTTCTTCATTTATAAAAATATAAGCCCTGCGCTTATATACGAGACTGGGCTTGTATATCTTCAAAGCCCTCTCGGAGTGCGCTTATAATGGAGACTGGGCTTCTACAAGAGACTGCGCTTGTAATAGAGATAATGCGGTATACCGGTATGCAGTGTAAGGCAAAACCTGGAAAAAGAACAGATTTTCTAGCTAGTTCACCATAATGACTGTCAAGCCGCTCCTAATGTCACTCGTTTCTGACAGTATTTGTAGTGAAATTGCCTCTTTTGTATGAGTTTGCCTTGAATGCAGCTTTGTGAAAGTGGTCCACCGGGGGGGGGGGGGCACACCCACCCACGTGCACCCACACACATGACATCAACAAGCATGAATAGCACGAGGGTAGGAAAGATTGGGAGCAAAACATCACCAAGTACTCACTAGCAAGGGGTTCAGCACACAGGGTCCATAGAGGCGAGTCCGAGACACGGCACACTTCAGGTGCTCTGTCCTCTGCAACACAATATGAACACAAATACATCAATAAATTCAATAAATAAAGAGAAAGATAGATAGAGCGCCAGAGCCAGAGAATACTTCAAGTGTAAAAAGAAGCCGACTTTTGGTATTGCCTGCAGATGTTTTCGACTTTTGCTTGAGCTGGCCTCGCGACTGTCTGCCCTGCTGTGCAAGCCATGGGCGCGGAGCAATCTCTTTCGCTTCTGGAGACCCTTCCCGACGACCCTGTCGCCGCCTCATCCAGCGAAGATGAGTTTGTGGAGCCAGACGGTCCTGTTGAAAATGTTTATTCTGACGACGACAGCGACGATATGGCGAGTGAAAGCAGCGCCAGCGAGAGTGGCATGGATGTCCCAGACGGCGATAGTGTCGCTGAGATAAGTGCTACTAATCGTGGAAGGGGACGTGGCAGAGAGAGAGGATTCGGCCGTGGAATAGGCTGTGGTCACGGTAGAGGTTGTGGTGTACAAATACTAGGTACAGCCAGCGGTGCAACCTGCACTAGTTGATATTTATAAGTTATAACACTTGGGACAATACTGACACCGCTGTGCTGGTAACACTCCTGCATTCCACCCAGAGAACGAACCTGGTATCCACATACCTGAGGGAGCCACTCCAGTGCAAGAATCTGATTTATTGCATATTGCAACAGTTTGCCCGATTGGCAATAAATCCAAATAATTATTAGTGCTAAATAGTGAAATTTTGTTCGTTTTCTGGACTTGAAAATTGTTGCATCGCATTCCTGAGGGTTTTTACTTTCAGAATCACATATGTTGTACTTAATAAAAGTGAAAAATAAAGAAGTTTTGACATGAACAATGACGGTCGGTTTTTGCTGTACAAATACCCAAAACGGTAAAGGGTTAAGAGATACCAAAAGATTGTGGGAAATACCCCTGAGCACATACGCATTTTGTACCAAAATACGGAAGTGGTACGGTCAACACCGTAGTTACCGTAGTCACCCTAGCGTGTCTGACAGCCCAGCACTTTTCTTAAACCCTTTTCCGTCTGTACACACAATTTCGACAACCATCCATCAAATATTTAAATTCAAATTTCCGCGCAAATGCATTTTTGCAAACCGAAGAAATCGGAAATTCAAATGTATCATGAAAATTGAAAATACCTTCCCGACAGTGTATAATAGAAAATAGTACCGGTACTAGTATATCGCTGTAGAAAGTGTATCTCAAATTTGTTATTGAAGTTGTGGAGTCTAGGAAGTTGTTGAGTACGGTTGCTGCTGCTGCTGGCGCTCTGCACTGCTTTCAGGAGCTGGAAGACACTGACGCTCCTCTGCACTGCTTTCAGGAGCTGGAAGACACCGACGCTCCTCTGCACTGCTTTCAGGAGCTGGAAGACACCGACGCTCCTCTGCCGTGCTTTTCGGAGTTGGATTTAACCGACAGCAAGAACAGTTCTGCATCTGGTGAATCAGATGATTCGAATTCTGTTGCGTACGGGGACGAGGATGAGGATATTTTATTATGAGCGTTCTGACACTGTTGACAACGGCAGCAGTTGCGACGACAGCGACAGCCACAGTAATGGTGTAGCAATCTCACTGCAAGAAGCTTTACCAGCCTGGTCAGTACGTGTCACTTGACAAACATAGTGTGCGGTCAAAGGCTTGGTTTGCTTTTCGCCAGTATATGCCGAAGAAGCCCAGCAAATGGGGAACCAAGGTATGGGCACTTAGTGACTCCGCTCCAAGGTGTTGCTGTAATCTTGCACATTGGCCAGGAAATGCAATGTCAAACAGATGTATGACTAACACAGCGCATTGTGCAAGATATATCATCAACACCACAAGGGCCATGTTATCTGCACAAATAAATAACTTCTAGACATCTGATGATTTAGCAAATTCTCTGCCTGCTGATGGTGTTGGTACTATCAGATAATTGAACAGACGTGATGTGGCAGCCATGCGGAAGAACATTGCAGCGTTTGACAAGCACGCTGACAGTGGGTACACGCACTAAGTGAGAGAGGACGTAATTTGTACGTGCAATGGAAGGACAGTAGGAGTGTCAAACACTCAGCACTATTCACTGCGCGACAGATTCTATCACTACCAGCAAAACATAAAGGCAAATGGGCAGCAAGCAGTCCTTGAAGTGAAATAGCCGATATGGCTTGGTGAATACAACTCCGGAATGGATGGAGTTGATGTGTTTGATCAACATATCGCAGCGTATCGCATACTGCAAAAGAGCAACAAGTACTGGAAGACTCATGACCTGCCGGATGTTGCTGTTCTGAACAGCTACATTCTGTTTTGTCTTTACAAGCAGCAGAGTATTGCATTCCTTGGGTTCTAAAGTGCCAAAATAGTCACCCTTTGTGCATCAAAAAGTTGAAGAGTTTTTGAGGTACAGCTGACTTTACCTGGAAGGGTAGAAATCAGCGTTTTTTGGCCATTTCCGTCGGACGGATAAGAGTTCAATAAAACAGTCACCATGACATACTTCTCCACTGACCTGTTGCGATCTCCATGGGTGTGTCTTTCCTCAGACTTGCAGCTGGCAGTTGTGGTGACGCGCCAGTTGCCACTGTTGTTGACGTGGATGACGATGCAGCCACGCCTGATCCACTTGTCCTTCCGCGGAGAGCTCGTGAAGACGACGACCGGCCACTGCCCGTCTGGCGAGAAAATGAAGCCGCTGCACGTGATGCTGGCGTGACTTGTGACCTAGCAGCACCCCTGCTACTGCTGCTAGCACTGCTGCTAGCAGCACTGGTACTGGCAGCACCAGTGCTATTCGCATTATCAACGCCGCGCATACGGTTCAGCAGGCCCGTTAATGGGTCGTTTGAGTCAACGCTGCTGGTGCTCGGTCCGGAGCTCGCTGACTTGTCTGATGAAGACGCAACAGGACGATAGCTAACAACGACAGCAGCAGAAGAAAAAGCAAAAGCACGTGAGTACGCACTAAACCAATCCAATAAGCTAGCCACAATGGTAACTACTTGGGAGACATGTACATGCACAGTATCCACAATACCATGCATGCACACAGTACAGTCTTTAGAAATACAATACTCAATAGTACAGTCCTATGCGGGATTCACACACGCACCCACCCACCCACCCACACACACCCACACACACCCACACACACCCACACACACCCACACGGGTAAAACCATGCTGTTGGAAAAGTTGTCCTGGACAACATGGCGCGACGGGAAAGGAAGAATCTTTCGGGGGGGGGGGGGGGAGTAAAGGAAAACCGTGGTCGGAGGCCCGAGGGCATTGACCAAGAAAAAAAGGGCACGGTTTTGCGGCCAAGTGCCCACCGTGCATAGATCGACTTTGTAAGTTGTACGAGTTCTTTGCAGGTGGCATTGCAGACAATGCTCCTAAGTATGTAATTGATCATGACAAAGAGTACAATGTACCACAAAATGGAGTACAAATTCAGTACAAGGTAGATTTTTCAGTTTCCCGCCACCACATCTATGGCAACACATGAGCGGCCAAGGGAAAATTGACCAGGCGTGTGAACGGTCACATGCGGTTGCCCGACGGTCTCAACTTTTCCCTTGTGCAGTGACCGCCAGCTATCCCGCGAGTGCGAATCCCCTATCCCCTATACAGGGAAACTGGATGTCGATGAATCTATGCCAGTATTCTGAAAGTACAGTGTCGCTCAATGAAATCCAGTCGCGTCACTCAAGTTTGCGCCTTGTATTTCGCAGCCCAGTGTTTGCAGGTCTAGGGCTGCGCAACGCCCGGCGCGTACTTGAGTGACGCGAGTGGATTTCATTGAGTAGCACTGTATATGTACAAATAAAACAGCACACTTTGGCAACTGCTGTGTAAGTGCAGAAAGCAATGTCAAGATACCAACAAGCAAATCCCACTTACTGGATAACATGAGTAGCTTCCCAGAATGACGAGTTGTCTTCATCCTCTTCTGAATAGGCCGGCTGAACAATGAAGAAACGCAGCCATGGTATACAGCCTAATTTATATACAGTCAACTTTACGTACATCGACACTCGGCGGGGAATCAGAAAAAGTGTCCTTATTCACGAAGCGTCCTTATAACAAAAGTCTCATTACATGTATGTATTACAGTTAGGTGGGACTTTGCTCTGGGCATGAAAATTCTGTCGTTATCCGCGAATTGGTCGTTATATCCGCAGTCGTTATTAGCGAAGTTGACTGTATGAGAACGTGCTACAGCACACAATCTCAATTTCAAATCTCTTCAGTGCGGAAATCAGCTTCAGTAAGATAAACAGAAGGAACAAGCAGATTTTTTCACAATTCAACTACAAACCATTCAGAAATTTGACCTCTGGCCTTTTTTCACACCCCAGTTAAGGCCGATTTTAATGTTAGCCTCCTTCACTCGATTTTCACAATCATGGGCTCATGGGAAAGCTCTTGGCGAGAGTAACGCCAGAATACCAAGTGTTCCATCAACCAGCCAACACAAATCAGGCGCGGGAACACAGTAACATCGTCTCCAAGCCCGATATGCGAGCAAATTCGCCCATCAACGCCATTCCACTCTCCTCTATTGCAGAATGCTCAATTTTTTTCGAGGCGATTCAAACTTCAGCCAACTACGTGATTGTCATGTTCTGAGTTGCTCAAAGAGCACGCGAAAGGGGATTTACCCCCCCCCCCCCCCCCAATGGCGAAGAGATCGATGAAAAAGTTGAATTTGTGATCGATTCACGTACACACCATACATAAAGGGTTAAAACAGCCGAAATCCACAAAACCCGGCCAGCAGTCAACTTGTTATGGTCCACTTTAAGAGGAATGAAACCCCAAAAGTCAAAACACAATCGGAAGGCCACTCCACACTGTGTGGTGGAACCAATTCTGAAAATAGTTTTTGACTGATTTGTGGTGAACGGACTGCGCAGAGTGATGAAAGTGATGGATGCAATGCTACTTTGACAGTTTGAGAATTGAGAACACACAGGATATGTAACACATGCACATTGACGAACACTAAACAAGAATAGCAGATGAATTCACATTAGCAACACCAGCAGCAGTGGCATTGACGGCGGCGACGGCAGCAGCAGCAACATCAGTGGCAGCAGCGGCAGCAGCACTCGGGACACGTATACATACCCGGTACATCTTGAGGGCATTGTAGATGGTCATATTGTATTGCAAGACTTGATCACCGATCAAAAACTCCAAGTAGTGCCTGCAAATAACACATGCACAGCCACACAAGAACATTCACACACACACACATCCAAAGTACTACTGCATAATAATATGTGTACTACAAATAAGTTAGGCACACACACAAGTTGCATATGCCAGGAGAGAGTGGAAGAATACTAGCAGTGACACAGGTATGCCATGCTGAAGTACACACACAGCTACACTATAGGACATGCATGTTGCTCTCAGCAGTCATGCAAGACAGTTTTCCCTTGGCCGCTCATGCGTTGGGTAGTGAAACGAACCGTTCAGAAGACGGAGGCTCCATGCTCTGTGTGGAATAGATAAACACACAAAACACGAGTAGGCACTGATCAAATTAATTTTGTGATACAAAAGAGTACTTTACATACTCTTTCTTTCATATCCACACAATTTCAACATTTATCTTCCCTTTTTTGCCTTCCATCACGAAACACCAGCAAGCAAGTCAGATATCAAAAGGTTTTGTGCACAAAAACAAAAACCTCGGACACACACCATTATTGCATACACGTGACTACTTCACATTCCAACAACATTTCAAGTAAATATCACCTGTTAAACAATAAACAGTGCACCAAACACTCCTCAGTCAGGTCAAACATGCGCTGCCACTAAGAAAGATAAGAGTAGCATACATCACTTACGAATGGCTCCTCGATTTCTGCTTCACTACTGACCGAGGAGAGTGCAGGAGAGAATGTTTGTGCAGCAAATACGGAAAGCAAACACAACACAATCCAAAGCAACACCATCAACAACAGGGCTCTAGAATTGATAATGTCGCCGCGACGCGAAAAGGATACTACTACCTGCAAAAAAGTGTGTGCCTCGCATGATGATTGACGGTTGCAATTTTACTGCAATGCACCGACCGCTCTATCTTGTGCAGAAAAAGGAGGAAGAAGCTGGCAGTTTCGTGTCTCGAAAGGGGGACGAATACCTGGATACTTCTTGCGAGGTATCAACTCTATTTATAATTACTGTAGTGCCTTGTATTAAAAGACTGTCTCGTATAGAAGCCTGATTTTAAGATACACTGTCAGCACATAAGCCTTGTTTTAGTATTGATATACATAGAGATACATGGTTCGAATAGAAGCCTAACACTGACATGGGCTTCTGCAGGACTAAGCACGGCTTTTGTACGCGACAACACTGTACACATTGTAAAACTTGAAATGTTTCACTGTTTGTACTCAGTTGCTATGCGGTCGTCAATGAGCTGACATTGCACTTCAGAGCCCTATATCAACATCAATGGCACAACACAAAGTCTAAGCAAATGATGTGCAGTGAAGAAATACTTTGTGCATGTACACATGTGTTGCTGCCTTTGCTGTTGGCCGTGATGTAAGTTTACGCCATCAGGCAGCGGATCCCACAGCAAGCCTGTGCAGAGCTGCACACTTTTGGGCGGTTATATACCTACCGGTACATGTATTACACACAGCTGAACATACTCATCTTCGCTGTCGAGTGCGGCGTTGTCAAAGCCAGACTGCTAAGCATCAGAGAAACACATCACAACATACACATACACAAATACAATCAGAGAAACAAAGTATGTCCTGGATACAAACAGGCAAAACAATACCGCGATCTGCAGCCAGGTGACAATAATAATAAAATAAACACAGCTCGCATCTTCCCTGAACCTGTTAGACAGGAGCAAGGTGGACGCATCTGTCAACAGTGTCAAGCCAAGTTAGGGATCATACAGTGACTATTTTCAGAACACACAAGCAGTCGACAGGATGAGTAGCCAAGTCCTTACTTCTCTTCGTCTTCCATAGCCTTTGGCAACCAAGTATCGCTCGACGGCCTATTACATATCCAGAGAGAGAGAGAGAAAAGTACATAAAGCTAGATGCAAAGACATCCATAACCCGATGAGACCGAGGTTAGGGCTAAACTCAAGAACTGTTCAAATAGACTGTATGATCAAATACCCAGATCATGCTGCCAAGGAAAAATGAACACAGCCATATACAAGTACATGGCTGCTATCACACACACACACACACACACACGCACGCACGCACGCGCGCACACATACACACACCATGTACCATGTACCATGTATACGCCCGTCGCAAGAGAAGCACACGCATCTGCAAATGCACTGGATGTGCACCCACAGATTTTCTCTTATAGCAATGATAGCGAACAAGATCTGAATGAGACAGATCAAGACTTGCACCAGATAACTGTCTAATCCACACACACAACACACACACACACACACACACACACCCACACCCACCCACACCCACCCACACCCACCCACACAAACACACACACACCACACACACAATCGCCCGAGAATGCATGCACACATGCACAGGGCATATGCGTCTAAGGATGAGTGTGTGTACAACATACGCAACAATTTAGTGCCATCGTCCCGTCACCTGCCTGAGGAGGCAGTGAAGATGATCAGGTTGTCTTGCACAGTAAAGTGGGTGACCCTATGTACAGTGCAAGCCTATCCACAAACCAACTACGTACATGTACTCGTATGCAGTCGTTCACAGTCACAAGTTTGTTTTTGTATGAGCTCATACCGTAGTTCCGCGCATATAAGCCCACAGGCCTATATCCGGTTTTAAGCCCACCTCTAGCTCTGTTTATAAGCCCATGGGCTAATAAACAGACACAAATGCAACTCACATGTCAAGTAGAATTTTTCACAAGATGGAAAAGTACTCACACCATGAGAGTATTGCAACATATGCACTGTACACTGCACACATCACACACCCGTGAAAAGTACTCACCATGATGGATGCAAGCGGATCTATCTTCACTGCACCACCTTTCCACTGCGTCAGGTTCCTGCAATCCGGATGACGCACCAAGTGACACTGCACACACACACACACACCATGTACCATGTACCATGTATACGCCCGTCGCAAGAGAAGCACGCAAATCTGCAAATGCACTGGATGTGCACCCACAGATTTTCTCTTATAGCAACGATAGCGAACAAGATCTGAATGAGACAGATCAAGACTTGCGCCAGATAACTGTCTAATCCACACAACTTGTTGCATAAAAAAGCTATTGTGTGTGTGTATGTGTGTGTTTCCCTACGAACCGGGAGTGACAGGCCACTGTCCAAAGTGAAGTGCGACTACCTGCCTATAAAGGCCCCTTAAACCATGGTTTCCTGTATGTTCAGGCCATGGTAAAAATTATCTCTGATTCTCAAGTACGCGTGCACCGATTTTTGGCGGCGCACCGACGATTTTTTTAAATTCTATGCATGCATATGCGTGCATTGGCCGGCCGGCCATGCATGATGTACAAATACAGCTGCACTGTACAGTCCTGGCATGCTGTGTACTAGTACACACTGCACTGTTTGTATAGAGCTACGTGTACATGGCAGTGCTAGTGAGACTCGACAAGTGTGCATGCAGTGCAGCACTAAGCGTGTGCATGCAGTGCAGTGCAAGTGGATCCGAGTTCACATCCGGAGCAAGCTCACGTGTAGGTGTGATCATGTTGCAAGCGCAGCAGATCCGATTTTGATTCTTCGACTCGATCGAGTGTAGCGAAACGGACTGGCTTTGTGCTATGTGTATACGACGGTCCACTTTTGTATCTCGCGTACTGTTGCGTGCCCTGGCGCGTGCCAGAAGCATTCGGGTCAAGAAGAATCTTGCCGCATGACCGCTTTTGCTTCCTGGTCTCTTCCTTTTCAAGTAGTTTCTGCTCAAGACTCGAAGTAGGAGTGTAGTTGACTTTCAGCTTCTTTACTCCCTGGCCTGAATATATGAACATGTGACCACAAAGTCCACAAAGGACGAAACAGTTCTGTCCGCAGATTGAACATGTGACCATGTACATATGTGTGACCCTATCTTTGGAAATTAAAAAAATTGTGGGAAATAAAATGAAAAATCGCTCGCTCGCACTGATTTTCACAGGCTCATGACCTGAAAATCAACTTTATTTTTTACCATGGCCTTACCGTAAAAAGGCTAATTTTAGCGACGGTGACATTATAGCGATTTTAGCGAAAGGAGGGTTTTTTGTGTTTTTTTTTACAAGATAACCAACCACAAACCATCATGGTGCAAACGCCGGCAGAAACGCACAGAGATGCACATAGCGATGGCAGCCGAAGCAGTGGAGGCGGGGCAAGAGCAGCTAAACCAACCAGGGGTCTCGGTTTCAGCACTGCTCATGCGCGCCACGTTTTGCAGAAGTTTTGCCGGGCCAATCGAAATTTTGCATGTACAGTACAGTACTAAACATCCTTCTTTTTAAACTCTGAAACTTGGATCACTAAAATATTTCAATGCGAATTGGTCCAGATTCAGAAACCAGTAAAAAATTCAACTCGGATGGTAAGCCAATTAAATTATGGTGAAAAAGGAGAAGGACAAAAGGACATTTTGTCGCACTCGCTGACTGTATAAGATCTAGTTACGTTCGTGGACAGTTAGTCATAACTCGTAACATTTCGTCCTTCTCCTTTTTCACAGTAAAAAATACCCGCTAAAGTTAGCCGTTCTACAGTACTTCTGGACTAGCAAATCTTACCTTCAGATGGTGCGAATGGACGAGGTGGTATAGATTACGCTCCCTGCCAGAAGGAAGCACAGAAGTGGGTAGATACACAAGCAACAACTCTTTCAGATCAATACAGAAGGAACACGATATTATCTCTACAATTTGAGTCGGCCAAACAGCATGAATTGTTCTGGAGCAAGCAACACCAAGTCTGTACTGCTACACGTGCATGTACGGCACTTTTCACAGGAGTTGCAGCACAGAACAGTAGAAATATAAGACTTACTGCGCACTTGCGGCTGCTGTACCACCTGATGATGCTAAATCATGAACTTGTACTGGAAACTGAAGTAAAGACAATACAAACAGAACGGCATGGTTGGGTTCGAGTTGTCACGTGGGTTGTCACCTGAGACGCAGACCTCTGCACCCAGACATCGAGTCCACCATTATCTTCTTTCTCCACTGTGAAAATTTATGTCCGGTGATTTCGAGTTGGCTGCTGCGAGCATGTAGACCAGTTCTTCCTTCTTGACAAGTGTGAAGGGGTCGTCCACCTCAGCCAGGTCTGGATGTTATGACCGCACGTTGCTAATAGCCGTTCTTCCAGCCACTCCCTGAATAGATCCGCTAGGACTGGTGATAGAGCGGATCCCATTGCTGCTCCTCTCGTCTGCTTGTAAACGTTTTCCCGTACTGGAAATAGGCGTTGTTCACACAGAATCCAACTACCTTTGCAATGTTATCGACTGACAGTGTGGTTTCCCCTGGGGCCCTGTGTTGATAGTTTCTCCTTGAGGATCATCAGCATGGTGTCCATGGGTATCATTATGTTCTTGAGGATCATCAGCATGGTGTCCATGGGTATGTTCTTGAAGATCATCAGCATGTTGTCCATGGGTATGTTCTTGAGGATCATCAGCATGGTGTCCATGGGTATGTTCTTGAGGATCATCAGCATGGTGTCCATGGGTATGTTCGTAAAACAAGCTTTTCTGGCCATTGTGTGCGTGGTGTCGATTATTGTGCCATAATAATCAGATTAGAGGTCCAAAACTTAATTTTAAGCGACAACTAATTGACTACACCACGAGAAGATCGTTTCATTTTCCACCCACGACAGTGTCAGCAGATGTCAGCAAGCTCGTATCATGTATAGAAACTGTGACTTACGTACATTTGCCATGACTAACACATGCAAACTAACCTGCTCAAGCTGTCCAACACAGCAGTGCAAGCGATCCAAGAGCGAGCTGATGGGTGCTCGAGATTCGCCTGAGATCTTCTGATGCTGCAGCACAGCAGTAGAAGTATAATATGGACCACATGTATCATATCAGAAGGAGTTCATTGGTCGTACACCCACATTGCATGGCCATGTGAACAGGCTAGAAACGAGTGGAATCAAGGCATCCTAACTTCCTAAGTTGCACTTGTTATACTCGTTCTTAGCAGGAACCGGAGGTTTTTCCTCTGGTGAGAAGGCAGAATTGCCTGTGCTCTAAACGAATTCAAATAAAAGAAACAAACAAACAAACTTGAAGATGAGACTGAGGAGTTGGAAATTCATCAAAGTGTGATCACTTTGCTTACATTGAAAGCCAAGAATGGCCGACAATAGATAGCAATGAGTGGAATCCAATGTACCGACATGCATGACCAGCAATATACATTCACATGGGATATGCATGGAGGCAGAAGTTCAACACAAGTCATAATACTGCTGACAACTTACAGGAGACGCTATACAGATCGCTGCTGGCGCCTGTAGAAAGAAGACAAATCCCGAATAAAAATAGTATCCAATATCAGCAAGAGGCTCAGAAGCCAGGCAACAACACATACACAACATGGATGAAATACACAACACATAACATTCCTTGATTTTGCGGCGCACTAGGAACTACATAGCCCGGCAACAACACATACAACATGGATGAAATACACAACACATAACGTTCCTTGATTTTGCGGTGCACTAAGAACTACATGTGTCATGCCCCAAGTATGACTATCAAAAAGTGTGACTTTCGCTGTCACGCATGCCTTGAGTTGGCCAACATTAAACTACCTTCTTTTCCAAGCTGGAACCAACGCGGTCTGTTGCACAAGTAGGCTAGGGGGCACATATTGAACTTACTAATAGTGGAACACAACAGGTGTATGTTATGCCAATCAAATAGATTCCGCAGTCATGTAGTGTTGTGCTGGCAGTGCGGGCACTATGTCCATAGTAGTCACTGTTGACCGAGAGACTACCCTGTGATACTGGGGAGTATGGTGAAAGGATGATGATCCTCCACCGTACTGTAAAAAAGACAGCGCTTGTTGTATGTGCCACGCGCACATGCGTACATTGGTCGGTTCCGACAGAACCAGATGCTTTGTATCTATTCTAAAAGTTCCTAGAATGAAGAACCTTAGGAAGGGATCACGGACAGTGTAGGACTGTGAAGAAAGCGTCTACAGCCACTTGTACAGCGTCGACAGGGTGGACGTACGGGGAAAAGAGTGTTGGATTATTTGACCAACTTCACTAGGCACAATGTGGGCAAGTGCTACACACAAAAACTCACTGGGCAGCAGAGGAACACGTGTAGGAACTGCTTCCATCGCACTGCCAGATCTACACACCACGGCTCAGTGCTGGTCAAGAACCTGAAAGCACAAGACCAGCACAGGGAAGCAAGTCAACAAGTGATTCTTGACTGAATGATGGCCAGAAGAGAATGGTATGGTCACCGAAACACAAAACAATGTGATGCAAAAATCAAAAAGCGGCAATGAAGAGTGAAGACCGAGCACTGGAAGCACAGTCTGCAGGAGGGAGATGGCTGATATTCACGCATGACTGAGACTCATGGCCACAATCGTAACCTCAAACCAACTCACTTGAAAAGCACATTCACAAGACCGCTCTGCATGGTTTCGAAGGCTGATACGTTAGTCTGCTCCTCTTCCAAAATAGAAGAGATTTCCTGCACAAGAAAAGAGAAGAACGGAAACATGTCATGACTCAAAAGCAAAGCAACTAGTCAAACCCTCCCCCCTCTCCAAAAACATCAATCAAAGATGACTCCAACGGGAGTCGAATATAGCCATCATCAGGCAAAGATCAGGCACCAGCGGATGGCCACATCCCGACTATGATGTTCGAAGTCTCCTAAGTCTCGTGGTGAGCCCTGACACTATAAACAACTTACCAACAGTGCTGGTATACATGCTTCTTCGTTCTGAGCATAGAGAGCAAATAACAGAACGCCAAAGAAAGAAAATTAAAAATGAACTAGAAAACGCTTCAGAATCTTAGTGTACACATTCCATTATTTCATCATGGTATTATGTTGGCATCACTTGTTTTATTTATAGTGCCATTGAAACCTTATTCTCTCCGACACTCCTATTTGTATAAAATAAAACAAACACAGACGAAAAGAAATGTTTGGGAAGCAGTGACAACAGATGTCCGCATCAAGAGCCTGAAAGCTATCATGATCGTAGCGGCATATCCATGCAGTAGTCAGTAGAGTTGCACAGCATCAATATCACTATCACATCTCGATATTAAAATTGCCTGGTCAGCAGGTGCACACACATACACATACACACCCACACGCACACACGCGCACACACGCGCACCCCCACACACCCACACCCACACCCACACTCACACCCACACACCCCCCCCCACCCCCCCCCCCCCCCCCCACACACACACACAGAGCACTGTACACTGTAGCACGTCTGCTGTGATGGATGGTAAACAATGTATACACACCGATAAGTCAATCTTGGCAGCAGCTGCTGTCAATCTGTGAAGGGTTGCCAAAGCTGGGTGAGCACTGCCGTTTGTCTTCGCAAAGTGCTCAGCAAAGAAACGACGAGCTGTCAAACACGATAAAAAAGAGAGAAGAATACCGATAGTCACTGTCGCCACACAAATTTGTACATACTACCTCTGCTTGTAGTTTCCTACACAAATCTATGGAATGTTGTCATACGATTGTGAACTAAGGCATTCACTAAGCACAAGTGTGCGGATACAGAGAGTAGGTCACTAGGTGTCAACATTATACACATCAGGACACTTTCACGACTGTCGCAATGGGCTGAAATCATACTAAAGAGCGGCACAGGTGTAAGACAAAAAAAGACGTACATACTTATTCTACATTCCTGGCTCCATACAGGTCGTCCCTCGTTAATACATAATCTCTGGGACTTGACAAATGTTATGTATTAATGGGGTTTATGTACTAAACGAAAGTGTACATAACTTGCTTGTATACCAGAATTTTTGACTTTTTTCAACTTTTCTGAGTGTTTCTTGCTGCCATGACTAGGGAGCGAGATATTCTTGATTCCCTCGATATAACATAAAAATTATGTTATAACGGTCACAGTCAGCGAAGATTCTACAGTTTACATGATACATTACATGCCCAGCCGCGCCTGTACAGTCACTCGAAGAAAAAAACAGAGCTTTGTCGGTTGGTGATGTGCGCTCTGATTTCTGAGCTAATTGTGTCCACAAGTAGAAACTAGAACACGACGTGCCTCCACTGGAAGGCCAAAAGACCAACAAATTATGTACTATTGAGGTAGGTGGCATGCGGGTACGGAGAAATGTTATGTACTAACGGGGTTTATGTACTAACGAATTATGTACTAACCGACAAAATTTGTAAGGAAGTGACCCCGTTTCGTCCGGGACTTGAGATTTCTTATGTACTAACGGGGTTTATGTACTAACCGGACTCGTATTAACGGGGGACGACCTGTACTCGGATCACTGGCTCCATACTCAATGATCACTGGCTCCATACTCAATGATCACTGGCTCCATACTCAGATCACTGGCTCCATACTCAGATCACTGGCTCCATACTCAGATCACTGGCTCCTCACTCAGATCACTGGCTCCTCACTCAATGATCTCTGGCTCCCCACTCAATGATCTCTGGCTCCCCACTCAATGATCTCTGGCTCCCCACTCAATGATCTCTGGCTCTCCACTCAATGATCTCTGGCTCCCCACTCAATGATCTCTGGCTCCCCACTCAATGATCTCTGGCTCCATACTCATGATCAGTGGCTCTGCATGCCCTCATCATGATGACTGGCTCCATACTCGTGATCACTGGCTCCATACTCGTGGTCACTGGCTGCACACACAATAATCACTGGCCAAGCCTAGCGCAATCAAGGTGATCTACATTCCACAGCTGGTGTTGAGTTTTCCCTAGCTACAGTCCTGGCCAGAGAAATCCGACCTCATGAATATAATAGCGCCGGGGGGGGCTACGCGGCCCTAGCACCCCACGCCCCACTCTGCAGCAGCTCTTCACACCTGCTATTACAAATCCTCGGGTGTATCACTTACCATGTGCTAGCACCCATTGTCGACATGCAGCTTCAGACTTTTCTGGTGAGCTGGACATCTGGCAAAAGGATGCAAAGAAACAAGAGAGCAACAAAGCATTGGTGCATGTAAGGAATTTGAATGAGTGAAGAATAGAAGACAGCGACAAGCAGATGAAAACACATACCGTATTTTCCGGGGTATAAGCCGCACCGGGGTATAAGCCGCACCCCCCTTTTTGAGGCAAAATATTGACTAAAAGTTGGTATTCGGAGTATAAGCCGCACCCACAAACCAAGATTTTTCACACTCATTGACAAATGGCCTTTCTACAAATTTATTATGGTTATGGAGCTAAATACCATGTTAGATCAGATTATGAAGTGTTAGTGCACCACAGGTTGCTGCAGAGATGTTGGTGTATTGCTGTATTGACTATAGATCACTCCATGTCATCTGCAATATTGAAGCTGAGTCGAATGACATGTCACATGACGTCAGCATGCTGATGTACATGTATGCTAAGCATTCATTCGCGCAAGCATATTCGGTGTATAAGCCGCAGGGGCGATTTTGGTCCGATTTTTAGCGAAAAAAAGTGCGGCTTATACCCCGGAAAATACGGTACCTACATCCAAGTGAACTAGAGGCACATAAGTGCACACGCACGCACACACACGCACGCACACGCACATAAACACACGCACACACACATAAACGCATGCGCACACACAATCACACGTACACGAGCGCACACCCACCCACACACACATACGCACACACCATGCACACACACACGCAAACACATACACGCACACGTGCACACACACACACCCATATACCATGCATACATACATGCACAAACACACACACACACACACACACGTTCATACACATTCATGCACAGACACAAATACATACAAACACACGAACGCACGTGTGTGCATATGTGTATGGGTGTGCATGCGTACGTGTATGGGTGTGTGTGCGTGTGTGTGTGTGTCCTCACCCACTTACTGAGGTGTGGTGAGCCCATAAGTGGGATCATTTTCAAGTCCACCCAGAGTTTTGGGGATTTCAGGGGGCGTCGGCCGTTGGGCGGTTCAATAACCAATTGAGTCATCTTTCCAAGATTCCTTTTGAGTCTCTCTCCCCTCTCCCGGGGGGGGGGACTCACGTGACCAGTTTTGGCAGTGAGCAACAAGTACAGTACAGTACAGTACAGTACAGTACAGTGTGTGTGTGTGTGTGTGTGTGTGTGTGTGTGTGTGTGTGTGTGTGTGTGTGTGTGTGTGTGTGTGTGTGTGTGTGTGCGTGTGCGTGTGATTGCATGTGCACACATACACACACACACACATACACCTTCTAACAAGTAAACTACGGTGCATTTACACATACCTGCCTGTCCACGGCGGAAAGTGACTGTGATCTCTGGTACATTGGTGCAGGCTGACTTAGACTTGCTGATACTGGCAGAGAGGTACTGGGTGGGGGCATATCTCCGGCGGCAAAGGCACTTGAATCCCGGTGCATTGCCTCGCCAACCGAAGTTTGGTCGCGAGTGGAGCCAGAGCTTAACAGCTGCCGATGCTGCCGGTATATCTCCTCATCCTGCTGTTGTGCCTGCAGTTGTGCCTGCTGTTGCTGGGCCTGCTGCCTGTGACGACTGCCACGCCGGCCTTTCATCACATCGCTCAGACGTCGACTGCACATGGTCAGCGGCAACACACACACACACACACACACACACACACACACACACACACACACACACACATGAATACTGGCTCATATTTACATGTACATATAGATACGGATAGCATGACAAGCAGTTCCCAAAGCAAGTGTATATCTATGTGTGAGAGACAACTGGCCACATGTAGAGAACAGTGGCGGCAAAACGCGTAACGCATAACACTGGTGAAAGAACACTGGTGAATTTGTGAAAACCTGCGTGCGAGAAAGCACTAGTACACTTATAGGCTTCAGCAAGAGTACAGAAACCAGAGCATGCAACTCTGCGCAAATCATCCTACTGCGGCTTTCGTTTAGTTTGGGCGATACCTGCATGTCACACCTGTTCACAAGGTCATGTTACTGTATCACCAAGGTAATTTCTGTTGCGTATTGCTGCTTGTCGTACAAAGAGGTAATAAAAAAGGTTTAAAAAAACGCACGCAAATTTCCCGTTGCCACCTTAGTGATACCTAGTGATACCTTAGTGATACGGTGATTTAGCACAAAACCTACGGCATGACGGGTTGTCAAACACTCAGGATGACCTAAACAAAAACCTTCTCCACGTGATCGGTCTTACGCCGCATAGATGCGTATCTGCACACATTCTGGTTTATGTACTCTTGGCTCTAGTCCAGAGTACCCAGCCCATGTACACAACTACCGGGGTGTTCAACTCCACAGAGATCTCCGTCACAACTTGTTTCAAAATAACCTCATTTTTCGTGACGCAATGCACCTGGCTGAACACAACCAAAGACCGCAGTACGCACGCGCACGATCAGCGCTGCATCTCCAATGCATACATACTCGTAGGGCTGGTGACATCATGAAAATGATGCACAAAGAATTTTGAAAAATGAGTCCCGACAGCCATCTATTGGCAGTTGTTATAGTGAGCACCCTCATACCACTACCGCTGCGTTTACACGACATCGTATTTCGTTGTATACGCCGAAGTCGCTTCACAGGTAGAAAATCGACAGGGGGCGGATCAACGGTACTTTACGGTACTAGTACCATTGATCCGCCACCTCTCTAATCCCCTCCTGTCGATTTCTACCTGTGAAGCGACTTCAGTATATACCGTAAAGTACCGTTGATCCGCCCCCCTCTCTAATTCCCGCCCCCTGTCGATTTTCTACTTGTGAAGCGACTTCGGCGTATACAACGAAATACGATGTTGAACCGACGCATGCACTGCTGTGCACAATTCTTGCCAATCCAGGATGAAAATGTGCACAATCCAGCACATCGAGTCTGATCCTCTACGTTGTTGTACATCGTACTGCACTTGACAGCCTTGATCTAATTCCCGCCCCCTGCCGAAAAGCCAGCTGGGAAGCGACATGGCGTGGGGGGGGGGGGGGGTCAACGGTACTTACAGCAGTACATAAAAATACGGTGTGGACTGACAAGTGCATTGCCGTACACAATACGTACCAGTACAGGTGTGCATGTGGACTGACAAGTGCATTGCCGTACACAATACGTACCAGTACAGGTGTGCATGTGGACTGACACTGTGCATAATGCAGGACGGCAAGTCTGATCTTTTGTGTTGTGCATCGTACTGCACTTGACATCCTGGATTTAATTCATGCCCTTGTTGATAAAACTAGTTGGGAAGCGTCCCAGCATGTAGTCGGGAAGGACGGTGGCGGATCAACAGTACTACCGGTATACGCTGAGTACATGTCAGCAAACCCAGGCCAGTTTGATTTGTACCTTCTATTTGGGAGCAGAGAGAGGGAAGGAGGCGTGTTCTCTTGCCGGTACCCAATGCACAAAACAAGGAACACACATTCATGCATAATGTAATAGGCTAGTGGGGGAACAGGGCAGTGCTAATTCCCAGGGAGAAAAAACAACACACGCACACAAGCAAGAAACACAAACTGTGCTGCTGCTGCTGCAATGTCACGACTTACATTGCAGGAGACGGTGTGCTGGAATTATCCACTGGTGATACGAACGACGAGGATGAAGCCTGTGCGGATGACTGGGAAACTGCTGCCCGCCTGCGTCGCGTCGCGGGCGGTGATGGCTGGCTGACGGGCGTGATGTTTGTGCTTGCACTGGCACTGGTCGCGCTAGCGAAGTTCATATTGCGAGCACGGCCCTGCGACGGAGGTGTGTCACATATGATGACGCCTGGTTCGGCGCCACTGGCAGAGGAAGTCTGTCGCGATCTGCTTGAGCCACGCGTACCAGGAGCAAAATGCCCATCACGGTCGGACCCAACTGCTTGAGAACCAAACGGGGAACCTCTTAGCGCACTGCTAGAACTACCACCTGCCTCCATATGGCGGCTCTTGGGAGTTGCTAACGATGAAGCAGAGCAAAGAGTATCGGTCATCATTGCCGAAGTTGTAGCGCTTGCAGAAGCAGTGCTAACTTCCACACATGGAGGTGTATTGGGATTAGCCAGACTGTCGATAGCATGCATTACACCTGTGCATGACAACAGCAGAAGAGGAATATAGATGTTCAAACTTCAACCAAAACCATGGCCGTAACCAAATCCACCATAAAAAAACCACTGCAACCAGCATAACCAGCAGCACCAGCATCACCAGCATCATGTTATGTCACCATAATACAGTATGATCACCAGTGCCAATAAGGAGTGGAAGTAAAGACGTAAGAAAACTGCTTGCCCCAAGCAAGGGAGTTAGTGACCTACATTTGCGCTCACTTAAATCCGACCCGAAGTGCAAAGCTGGCGCCCTGGACCAGTTCTGATTACATCATTGTATTTGTACATGTGTACGTCCAGCCGCATTCGTGCCACTTCCAGGGCGTCAAGGGCGTGCTAGTTGAGGGCGCCAAATATGCACTTTGGGTCGGATTTCAGTGAGCGCAACTGTACAAGCACAAGGGCTTTCTAGCCAGTAGCACACTGCACAGAACAAACCAGCCCATTATAATATGCATTCCGCTACTACTGTTGTGGACATGGAAATCCAGTCGACTGACAGGGGCCGGCGCCTTCAGCGTATACAGAACGTCGTTGCATGCAGTGCACAATGTGCATGTAATGTTGATTCGATGCGACCAGCGCGCTACAGCGCATAATAGCATAATACATGCATGTGTGTGTACTGTTTACCCACGGCTGCATGGCCTGCGCCCTGGGGTAGCTAGACGTGCGACCGGATTTCCATGTCCACGACAGTAGCACTGGGCCAAGCATAACAATACAGACACAAGACTTCAGAAAAAATTTAAAAACCCAGGCGTGGAATATTCTAATTATTACACCGCAGCAATAACACAAGCATTCTGACCTTCACGGCGAAAGTGGACCTCAAAGATGGCTGGAAGCTTGTCAATGAGAATGGTGGACATGACTATACCAAGCATATTCAGCTGGACGTTGGGTGAGGCAAGTAGTTGAGCAACCAGTGATGACATAGGCACCTCACAGAGTACTTCTTCCAGCAGGTTGACAGGGGCAGCAAACAGCAGGCGCAGCAAGGCAAACAGGCACTTCTCGCGAATGGCTGGTCCAGCCTGTTCATTCAGCCACGTGTAAAAACATGCAGATACACACACATACACACACACACACACACACACACACCCGTACACATGCAGGCACGTACACAGACAAACATATCGACACACACACATACGCATACACCATTGGACCATTTGACGCCCATCGCCGGAGGCGATGATAGCGATGCTACAGCAGAAGCCATAGCAGCTTGTGCTGGGATTGCACCATTCAACAGCTTGCAAGGCTGAAGAATTGACTGCCACTATTCAGCCTGGTCTACACCACACACAGCTATGAAGTGGCTTTTTTTGGCCAGTGAATCCCTACTTTACACACACACACACACACACACACACACACACACACACACACACACACACACACACACACACACACACACACCGCGAACAAAATAAATCAGCCACACACAAAAGAAGGGTGTGTGCATGCTTCATAGGATAGCATGACCCAGCAGCCAATAAGAAGAAAAGACCTCTCAAGGCACGACTTTCAACAAGAAAGGATGTCCTTAGCAGGTCCTTGTGATGAATTGACTTACAGTAGCTCGGTGAACCTCAAATAGTACCGGTAGAATGGACTGGACAGACACAAAGAAAAAGTGGCAGGGTTTAATGAATGGCTGACTACTGTACATGTAAGTTACATTGCAAACACCAGTGTGTCTGGGTAGATAAATGCAGTAATGTGTGCAGCAAGCAGACAATTCAGGGCTCTGCAAACATTCACAGATACAGGCACAGAAAGGAAGATCAGCACACAAAGCACAGAAGCCATATATTATAGTTTCGACTAGGCCTTTCGTACCATTGCTTTTCAAGTCGAATACAAAAGGAAAGGAAAGAAAGGTCCAAACATACCTTGCAGAAATTCGCCATGTGCCCCGGTTCACCAGTAAACAAAACAGCACGCTCATCTTTCTGAACATCCTACAACACAGCACATCCAAAAAAACACATGACACACACACACACACACACACACACACACACACACACATACACACACACACACACACACGCCAGTTTATACACACACATGACACAAACCAGTTTTATATACATACATGACCCAAACCAGTTTTATTCCCGTAGCTATGCAAAAGACGTTACTTTTAAGTAACGGCTGGCGCTAGCCAGGGTCCCCACCGCTTTAATTTGGTGATTGCTTGTGTTTTGTGTCTGGCGTCGCGTCGGCATGCCTGGTATACATACATGACACAAACCAGTTTACAGGTATGTACGAAACGAATGAGTTATCGAAAAGAAAATGTCCTTGTGCAAAATCACCTCTCGGACCATTGGGGAACTGCTGAAAAAAGTCTGCTGGTCTAGAGTCCCTACCAAAAGGGTTCTTTGTTTCGACATTGTCAACACTTGACAAATGTAAACACTAAACAACACCACTACTACTGCCAGTTGCGCGAGTTTCACTCGACGATGATGTGATTGAAGCGCGAGCGCCGACCACACCAGCAGCACCGTCACCAGCACACCATAATCGGTGTCCTACATGCCAGATACGAGTACAGTGGAGATCGGATATAACGACCTTGCATATAACAACAGATTGAGTTTAGCAATACAATTCTGTTGGCCAAGTCGTTTATTAAGAGCTTTGTGAAGATCGGGTTTAGTGACAGATCGAATATACTAAGTAGTGACATGTTGTTCTCCCCCGGAGGAGTGTCGTTATATCCAATCTCCACTGTAAGTGCATGGAAGAAGCGTACAAAACTAAAAATAATCGTCAGTACTTGTGTGCCCCCCCCCCCCCCCCCTCCCCTTCGCACTAGGACAGGTTTCTAAGCTTCTCTGTTTTTTCAATACCTGCAGACTAGCCCGATTGTCGCTCCACGCCCCCCCCCCCCCCCCCCCCCCCCCCCCAACGCACATATACACACCATGGATACAGCTGTGGAAGCACTCCGCTATCTACGCACGCACGCACGCACGCACGCACGCACACACACACGTAAACATGAGTGCTACAAAAAGATGCAAGCATCTGAGCAAAGGCCATACCACACTCTTTGTGTCAATCAGTTCTGAACACGGAGGAACAGCTGCAAGTGATAAAGCGAGACAGGCAAAGAAAACACAAGTTAGCTCTCATAACTCACGCTTGCCAGTTTGGCAAAGTTACATACATATGCATGTTGTGTAGGATGGACAGTAGGGAGGTTTAGTTCCCACGTAACGGAAACGCGTACGTGGGTGATCCACGTAAAGTGGATGAAGGGCACCCACGTTGCAATGTTGTGTTTAGTCACACGGAACAAACAAAAGCATGAAGCTAAAGGCCAAAACCTGGTCAAAGACGAAGCTACCCCGGCCTAAGAAGCTCATCCAATATTTTGATTTCGTGCTTCGGAAACTTCTTCAGCTGAACACCCTCACAGCTCGCACAATGCGCTCCATTCTGATTTTCACCCACGTTCTGGCGGAACGTGGGTGAGCCTCCATTCACGGTATGTCGTGAATCAGAAAACGTCTGTACGTGGGTCACTGAGTATCACGTGGTACACCCACGTAAAGTACCCACGGATTACGTGGGACTAAACCTCCCTAGTAACTACTGTCGTGGACATGGAAATCCAGTCGATTGACCGGGGCCGGCGCCCTCATGCTCGGCGCGTACAGAACGCTGCGTGCAGTGCACATGTCGATGATCCGATGCGACCAGCACGCTGCATGCATGCAGCGCATAAATGCATGTGTGTACCGCTTATCCACGTGCCACGGCTGCATGGCCAGCGCCCTGGGGCAGCTAGACGTGCGACCGGATTTCCATGTCCACGACAGTAGCAGGATGTGAATGTGAATCAGAACATGGCGAGCATGGCAAAGTGTAGGATGAGACGAAGTACACTTACGGACGACAGTGGTTTTCTTGCTTGGTGTTGTACGCTGCACGTTGCGGGTCTTACTCGTTATCTCGTTGACCTGGGCACAAGAATTATATGTATGTACACGCGTGCACACGCACGCACGCATACATACACATAACATACATACACACTCACCCATAAACATACATACGCACACACACACACACACACACACACACGCACGCACGCGCACGCGCGCGCGCACACACACACACACACACACACACACACACACACACACATGCACACTCACCCATAAACATACGCACACACACACACACACATGCACACACATGCGAACACGAAATCAAACATAGACATGAGTATGTGACAACCATTATAAAGGTCATACAGCGACAACAACAAGGGTGCACTGATGATCAATTTTTCATTACATCCCAATCCAAGGGTCATTACTCATCAGGTAGAGATTCAAAGGTACTACTTACCAGGAAGTGCTTACAACTTTCCATGTAAGGTAATATGTACCACAATGCAGCAAGAAGACGACAAAAAAAAAAGGGAAACCAAAATGGTAGAAAGCCACAGTACATAGTCCCGAGTACAGCTCAATACACTCATGCACAGCACTGCTAAATAAGGAATGGAGCGGGTACCTGTGTCATGCTGGTGAAATCGATGAAGTAGGAATGACCTGCGATGGTGAGCACCACTTCATCAGCACTGGCAGAGTATGCAGCCTAGCACATGCACAGAAGACAGAGAACAGACCAAAGCTATCAAGATGCATATCAGCAGGTGTTTCGGGGTTTTCTTTCAAACTTTTTTCTCGTACAACAGCACGTAAGCAAACCTGCATACTAATGCATACCAGTGACATTATGATTTTTGAACTATTCCAAGCACGATAAGAACGGCATCCAGTCTATAAGCTCCTGCCTGTCCTTTGAAAAACGTAGAATACTACTGGGAGTCATCCCATATTCTAAGCAGCATAGGAAAACATTGCGACAACGGCGGTTACATTACCTCGATTGTCATGCTGTCTACAGAGCTGTAGGGATGATAAACGCCAGAGTCGTCGCACCATGACCAGCTTGCCTGCAGCCATCAAACAATCAATCAAGACAACAACAACAACAACAACAACAACAACAACAACAACAACAACAACAACAACAACAACAACAACAACAACAACAACAACAACAACAACAACAACAACAACAACAACAACAACAACAACAACAACAACAACAACAACAACAACATGGCCATTAACCCTTTAGGGTCCACAATTATTTCAAGGAATGCACTGCATACGCGAGCCCAGGTACTTATCTGGTCGTTACTTTGGTGTCCTTTGGCCGATTTTGGTGATCTTGGGCTTTCTGGAAAGCTCTTGGCCAGAGGAACACAGCGATACCCAGAAATCCATCAAGGAATCCACAGAACCAGCGCCGCAGCGCGATTCAGCGCTCCAAAAGCCAGCATTGCGAGCGCCCAACTCAAATTCTCTGCCATTTCAACAAAATGCATCGCAGATCGCTCAATTTTTTACATGAGAGCTGAGAAACATGCCTTTGCGATGACGTGAACTATCTGTGGCTGTGTGTGCCGCGAGTCAGGGAAAACCCCCAAAAACCAGTTCAAAATGCACGCGCCCAGGGTGACTCTGCTGAGCGAATTTAGTTCGAGCCTCACAACTCCGCTCTCCGACCTCGGATTGCCTTCGGGTTTTTTCGAGCCGATAGCTGAGACAATTCTAATGTCGAGAGACCTTTCGATGGTCCGATTTGGTCAAGGGACGGCCGAGTTACGCCAGGTTGCGCTTACACTGGTACGGATATATCCGTACTATGGGCCTCAAAGGGTTAAATCCCGCAAACCAGCAGGCACAAGGAAAGACGAGCCACACCACCAGCAGGCACAAGTAAGGACGAGCATGTATGCAATCAAGGCACTTTACAGTTCATGTCTCAGTGAAGTGCATCCCTTGACTCAGTGGAGTGCATCCCTTGACTCAGTGGAGTGCATCCCTTGACTCAGTGGAGTGCATCCCTTGACTCAGTGGAGTGCATCCCTTGACTCAGTGGAGTGCATCCCTTGACTCAGTGGAGTGCATCCCTTGACTCAGTGGAGTGCATCCCTATAGGAATTGAAGAAACACTTGCAAAGGATGAATCCACATGGAACGCATCCACACAATACTTAGCTACCGGATATCTTGAACAATACCAAACAGAAAAGCATTGAAAAAAAGTAAAAGGGACCAAGGAACTACAAGTTACACTATAATGTCCACTAACACCACCAGTTACTAAACAATCAGTTCCTTGGTCCCTTTTACTTTTTATGAATAATCCTTGGCTCTCCATCCGAGAATAGCATTGACACAGGTTAAACAAAACAAAAACAAAAACAAAAAATTTCACGGTTCGCGTGAGACTCGGCCAAAGGCCCAGTTTTCCGCATCCGCAGGAACGCCACCACCCTCTTGGATCAAGGCGCAGATGCAGCTCCTAAGCGGTGGGAGGTGAGTAGATCAGACCCACCACAAAGTGGTCAAAGACCGAAATCCCATTCACTGCATCCATGAAACTTTTTTTTAAACAAAAAGTAGACTGAAAATCACTTACAGCTTTAGGAGACTCGGTCTGGCGACACAAGTAACCAAACACACCTGTAAAAAGACAACAATCACACAGAATAACAATATACATGTACCATTGAGCAAAATAGCTAACAATGTGATCATAAGCTACTCCTACTACTTCCAGCAAACACAAGAGGCCCAAGAACAAGAACACTAAGTACTGGTGGGAATAAGGAACGAGGTGTGGTGTGTGTGTGTACATGAGGCGCGTGTATCGCGGCGTGTAAAGAGCACTGTAACGGGGGGGGGGGGGGGGGGGGGGGGGTATGGACTATAGACCTGCCAGAAGACTGGCCGTAGTGAGTGCAGTACTGGGGGACGGGTATAGAGACTATAGACTTGGCAGAAGACTTGCTGTAGTAAGTAATGTAAGGCCGGTATCGACATGCTCGAAGACTGGATGCATCTAACACCAATGCAGTGGTCATACCCCAGCAAGTACAAGTAGCCATAACTCGGAAGTACACAGAACATTGGGTAAGAGGCATGGCATACGTGCACATGCCTTATTTCAAAGAGTTGGAAAAGACAACAACAACAACAACAACAACAAAAACGAAATAAAGCCAATCCATAAGCCCTGATAGTTGGCACAGTGCAAAACCATGCTGCAACGCACGTTGCTCACCTGCTTTTGGAAGTGGTGGCAATAGCTCCCTGTCATGTCAAGAAAGAGAACACAACAAGCACACAGGTGTAAACACATGCAGTACGTGCACATGCACACATACAAACAAGAGGCACAGTAACACAAAAACTGTACTGGAAGAAAGGAGAGCAGCGACTAATTTCGAGAAAGCAGACACTCACATCAATAGGTATCAGAAAATGCACTGAGAGTACCCAGAGTGAACACCCAGAGAGAATATCCAGAGTGAACACCCAGAGTGAACACCCAGAGTGAAGCCTAGTTAGAATATGCTAGAGAGTTCCCTCTGGTAGAATACAGCACTTACACAACAAGACTGAGTACGGCATGCAGTTCCTTAGGATTACGCAATGATATCTGAAAACAAACAACAAAAAGAAAAGAACATTAAGGGACCACTAACTAGAACAAGGCACCAAACTCCCTGAGTCAAGACCACTTGTATACATTACTAGTACCTGCCAACACAAAACAGCAGCTAACATAGTTGTTGCCGCTCGCCAACAGCAGTGGTATTGCTAGTTCTGTCTGTGTAGCCTATCAGTTGAACATCGCCTTTCAGCAGCTCACTGGAGTAAATCCCAGTCAGTAAGGTCGCTGCGGCTACAACACATCAAGAAGAATAGACCTGCTGGTTAGCTCCACAGTAGTAAATGGTGCACACAAGAAGATGTACAAACACACCTCAATCTGTGGGAGCTTCTCCTTTTCACTTCCAATCAAAAGATAACGTAGCGTGGCATTAATTCCTGCAGTTCACACACACCCAATAGGAAAGCACAGCAGAGGACTGCTTCCATCAGAGCCTATTCATTGGACAGTAGCGACTATTGTCAGGCTGTATTTACCAGAACACTGGTGTCATGCGCTAAAGGGTAGCTTTTTTCTTCCTTTCCTTTCGCTGCGTGCATTCCCTTTCCCCAGGTTAAAAGCTCAGGTGTGTACCCGGAGGCACTGTTGCAAAGAATACCATAACGTTAATTACTTGAAGCAAACAGCGAGCCACTCAGTCACTGTTAGCAAGCAGAGCCAATAGCAAGTACATCATGCCTAAGTCTATAACAAAACGGTTCAGGGTGAAAGGGAACAGCACCAGAGAAACCGAAAAGAAAACAGAAAACTCCTCTAGCTATTCGGAGTTGTAATCAGCAGGATATGATATGGGACATGCGTATTGAAAAGTGCATGCTAGTCTTTTCTTATCTACAAGTGCAGGGAGTCAGAATTTATGTTCTCTCTCATCCCATGCCTTTTCATTACATCCATGCATTAGAGAAGGCTGAGTATGTTCAAGCAAGCCAAGAGACCCACCCACCAGCGACTCGATCTCAGGACTCACTCACAAAGAAAGAGCATGAAAAATATGTATATAGAGTACTAGCAAGAGTACATAAACCAGAGTGTGCAACTGTGCATAGCAGATCTGAAACAGCACAGTTTGTGCACTACGTCACCCTGATGAGGTCAGCCAAGTCGCGACTTGCGTACAGCTCAAATTTTCGTGTTTCAGAGCCCGGAAATCAGCCAAGTTTGCATGATGTTAGAGGTCCTGTTTTAGGATTTCCGTGTTTTGTATGACTACGTACGCTCCGTACATCCGCTGAAAAGTAAATTCACCAGGCTATCCGTATCAAAAAACCGAAATCAGGACAAACTCAATGACCTGCACCACCGTGACTGGTTACGCAACTTTTCACCGTACCTGTGGCTTACCATGCCGTCAAAAAAGACGTACTGCACGGATTACACTCCCACAGAACCATCATGAGTTGCACACTCTGGTTTATGTACTTTGGGTTGGGACTAGTTAAACTCCGATGGTGAGCCAATTAAAATAATGGTACAAAAAAGGAGTCGCTGACTGTATAATATGGTCTGGTTACATGGGTGGACAGTTAGTCTTAACTCGTAACATTTCGTCCTTCTCCTTTTAAAAAACCCATATAAGGCCAAGTAAAAAAAATCCTAGTTTATCGTCCCCGCCCGCCCCATTTTTCGAGGCCGCCCGGAATTTATTTTTATTTTTTAAATCTAGAATTTTGCCAAAAAGCTTGATTTTTTACGTCGGCTAAGGCTTGAAAACACAGCTTCGTCTTTCTGCCGAAAGTCCGTCTTCATCCTGTCGAGACCTCGACAGTTTTCCGTTCTTTCCGTAGTTGCGACTTTGTTGAGAAGCGACATGCCGTTTGTTTTGCTGCAAATCCGTCGCGGGTTGAAAGTTCTGAAGTCCTGGTATGGCTGTGTTGTCTCTGCGTCTTCAACTCTCTCGGACATTTTCACCCAGTTCAGCGCTGGCGAGTTGGACCATGGGGAGCGCCTTGAGGAGAGCGACGTTGTCTCTTGTGTCCAAGCTAGTGTTGGCGACACAAAGCAAGGTTCCAAAACCCCTGTGAGTCCAGATTCGCCAGTAGGCGAGACTGTCAGCGCTCTTGGGCAATACGTGGAATTCGTTATCGCTTGCCCTGAACAGGCAGCGACAGCGACAACACAGGAGAGAACTCCGTCTGGTGACGCTTTCGCTATGTTGATGGCTGCGTCGAAGACGCAGTGTGCTCTTCCGCCGAAATGGAACCCTGTCAACAAGAAAGCTGTGCTGAAAAATGATCTTCTGCTGTTCTTGGAGGAGAACAAGTTGGGCTGGGAAGAGGCGCTTGCTGGATCAGCTGGTGTGAACTTCGTAGGAACAATCAGTGATGCATTGTGGTATATCGATGGCAATCACCACACCTTGTCAAGTCGAGGTTGTGCAGTGCCTGCATTGTTGGAGAAGTTTGTTGGGTACAACACGCCGGAAGATCGCAAAAGGAGAAAGCGGGACCAGTCGAACCTGTGCCGCCAGAATTTGGATGCGTTGTCGTCATCCCTGTTCTTCTTGGCTGGCTGCTCCTACATGAAGCACCAGCACTGGAAAAGTGTCCGGGAAGCTGTGTTGAGACTTGCTGACAACTTCCGCAAGTATGCTGCGTACCTGAAAGCGCATCTGGATACAGTCTACACCAGTGAAGCCAAGCGTACCTGCGTGAGAACTGACGTGGATGAGCTGAAGGTGATTGGGGCGACTCTAGTCGTGAAGCCAACTCTGGGTGCGAGATATAGAAGTCTGCACGCCGCTATATCTGCTGCTGAGGATTATGAACACATCCTGATTGAGGACCATTGTCCTACTGAACATCGCCGGAGACACGAGTACCTGGAGGGGATAGTTGTGCCCGTCAAGTGCGTTCTGTATTCGTACACTGGCAGCAAGGCGCATGTGCATTTCATCTGGCGTATTCCAGAGTGTGCTGAGGAATCTGAGCTCCTGCAAAAGAATTCCGCCATCCAGCAACAGCTCAAATCCTGCATGCCAACATTCCACACTCGCATTATGCGAAGGGAATTCATCCATCTGTTTGGCTCTGTGACGAACACCAAGCCTGCATTTCTGCGGGAGGTGTACAGAAGGCTCACGGGAGATGCGAGTGCCAGTACAAACGCAGACCAAGCAGCAGTGGACAAACGAATTGCAGAAATGTTCGAAACAGAGGATGCAGACCTCATCTGGGATTTGCGCACTGTGAACAGCGGTAGGCCCGAGTCATATACTGCTTTTCTTGAGCAATGCCAGCAATACATTGAGAGCTCCGTGGAGACTGCAGTTGATGACCGACGGCATGACAATGTGGAAGAAGACAACACTGTCATTACTCACCTTGCCAAGGCCTTGAGCGTCAGGGATATGCACGAGGAGGTCCCTAAGCGTTGCCCTCCAGACACACCCATCCCGTCAGTGCAATGGCTCCGGTATCAGTTCTGGCCGAGAAATCCTGCATTGGCTACAGCTCGCCACTACACGGGCAAACTCAAAGTAAAATTCATGGTTCAATCACGTCAGTTCCGGACAGCTCACATTGACTGCCACTACGCCAGCGCTCTGTTTCGCTATGAACGGGAATTTGCTGTGCAGTTTCGTGATCATGTGTGCTTTGTATGCCAAGATGACAAGCACACAATCAAAGTTGGAGAGCCTGGGCATCCTGTGGCAGCAGTAGATCGAGGCAAGCCGGTTCTGGTTGGGCTGAATGAAAAACTGGTAGTTTCGGACCACGATTTCACGAAGTTCAATCTCACACCAAGCGTGAATCTCATTGTGGATGTGCCAGAATCCATTGATGACTCCTTCTATCGCGGAACAGTCCACGTGGGCTTGAAGGACTGTGTATTTCAACATTCCTCTCCATCGCGCCATGGTTGCGAGCTCCTGAGTATCCTGCAGAAAGGCGATGTAAAACCTATCCTCTGCATGTACACCGATGGCGGGCCCGACCATCGTCCAACCTACCTCTCCACGCAGTTGTCCCTCCTGTCGCTGTTCATCAAGCTCGACCTAGATTATGTCTGTGCTGTTCGAACACCCCCGTACAACTCTTGGAAGAATCCGGTGGAGCGCATCATGTCGATCTTGAACATCGCTTTGCAGGGTGTCGGTGTAGTTCGGAATGAGACCACTTTCGAGAATCAACTGAAAGGCTGCAACAACATGAAGGACATCAGGAATGCTGCCGTGAAGACCCCTGGCCTGAAAGATGCAGTGCTGGATGCAATGGAACATATGAAGATCTTGATTTGCTCGCTGTTCCAACGCCTTCGCCTGACGGGTGTACCATTCCAGTGCTTTCATGCTGCCACGGACGAGGAGGTTGAGGCTTTTCGTGACACCGTCAAACTCATCGACCCGTCACTGGATACCAAGAGTACCACCAAGCAGTCCATTTCAGGGAACAAGGTACTTCTGACATTCCTGGAAGAGCACTGCATTGCCCGGCAGTACTCCTTCACCATCCTGAAGTGTGGCAAACCAGCATGCTCAGTGTGCAAGCCTCCGCGACTGCCAGAGGATGTCTTCTCGAAGCTGCATCACCTCCCAGACCCTGTACCTGATGGCGAGCGGTACAAGAGCTTTGATGCTGTATATGGCGAACCAACATCGGAGAAGCACAGGCCATCTCTGGTTGCAGCAAGCCAGTCAGCCTCTGGTGGTCATGGCATGCCATTCCCGCCCAGCGCCCAGTATGCCAAGAATGTCAAGGAGGTCATCAGGTGCTCCGAGTGTGGCAAGCCTCGTGTTCTGTATGCCAAGCAGAGCGTCAAGTCAGCAGCACGTGTGGAACTGGTCGCGGCCTTGGGGACCCTGAGCTTCTCCTGTGGCAGTCATCTCACGAATGTAGCTTGCGAAGTCACCAGTGCCCTGGCTTCCGTGCACGTCAAGGGAAATCTCACATGTGACAGTCCTATTGAGATCCCGTACTACTCTGCTGGGTATCCCACTGTATGCTGCTACTGCGCTTCAGGAGAGGGTCTAGTCAATAATGCCGATGCGTATCCTGTGTGTGGTGCTTGCCAGGAGTCTGGGAAGAGCGCCATGAAGAAGCGTACCCGCACGCATGTCCCTCAGGGGAAGAAGTGAATTGTATTCCAACATGTTCCCTTTATGACTGACTATTGGTTACTGTCCTGACTGGTTCTTTCCCTTCTGCAGCTTTCTATCATTTATCTGGTGGTCTGTGTGAACCAAACAGTATTGGGGTTTGTGTCTTATGAGTGGAGTGACAATCTGTCGATCCAAAGATTTTGCATGTAATTGTTTATGTACATATAACTGTTATAGCATTGTGTATTCCATACACTACCACTATTCTGTTGCAGATTGTTGCACATGATGTGTCATTGTTTACCAAGAACTATACTAGTCTGTAGCACATCAAAAAATAAAAAATAAAAATAAAATCCGCCCTCCCTCCCCGATTTTTGTGAAAAAAAGGACGATAAACTGGGATTTTATTTTACTTGGCCTAAATAGAGTACTAGTTCAGCAATTTGTTCTGTGTACACTGCAAACACTGCGTACACTGCAGCACGTACAGTGAAACCTGTCTAAGGCGACCACTCAAGGGACGAGAAAAAGTGGTCACTTTGGCCAGGTGGTCTTCTTATCCAGGTTCAGTGGGTCACGTGAACATATTCACTATCCATGTACATGCGATATATCATTTTGATCAGTGCATCACACTGCACACACCTATGCTACTATCACGACTCATGTGCCTGGGGACGGGCCCCAGATCTGTCAAGTGTTGTGCATGCACCATGTACATCTACACTTCCTGCGCTGATGTGTAGATCTACCATGTGTGGCGCACAGTGCAATGCATGCATGTACATGTACTAGTAAGAAGTAGGGTGCAACGCGGTCGCGGGTGGGTGGTCGTTGGTTACGTTGAGCGAGTGGTCGCCTTATCCGAGCTGTTTTGAATGTGAATGCGTTAGTGACAAGGAAAAGTGGTCGCCATGGTCGAGTGGTCGCCATTACAGGCTTTACTGTACATGTATGATCAACTGCAAAGCACGAACCAACTTTCCTATAATTATGGTTAAATACTGACCATTCTCAATCAGCTGCACAGCGAGCGTGGGACATTGGCCACACAACAGAACCATCATCTGAATGACGTTGATAAACGTGCTGCTATTGATTATCATGGGGCTCTCAATCAGCTAGAATCAGGGCAAGACACAAACACGCATGCACACACACACGCACGCACACAAACGCATACACACACACACACACACACACACACACACACACACACATCCACACACAGTATACAGCTTAGCATTGTTCACACCTGCAAGGCAGGGAGCGGGTATGCAACAGTGACGCGCACAAACCAGTTGTATGCATGGCAACAGAATGTAGCCACGTGAATCTCCATGCAGAGTTGCGATGTTAGAGATAGAACCAGTTCACTAAAATGTTGAAGGGAGCATTGCAATAATTCAGTGTGGATACGACTATAAGAGTAGGTCAGGTGATGTGTCCACAACAACTCACCAGCCGCTGGAGGTTGAGGAGCAAACCATACTCAGCAATCGTCCCTAGTAGTTTCTGAACACACCAACAGCGCATGGAAAGCAACAAACAACTCATCAGACACAAAGGACACAGCATATAGTAGAACTTGAGAAATGCAGACGACCAAGGGGCGAGCAAAAACATCTGCTCATTTACGAGAATGACATGTGCAAATCTGTATCCCCAATGGACTGTCCAAAGATGTCCTCAATTTCAAAGTGATCGTATTATTCTGGTGTCCATTGGGACAGGCTCCACCACTGCACTAAGCAAGGGTGTAAAGTGAAAAAAAAGGACAAAGAGTAAATAGCGTTCCCCATTGCTCTGTGTCTTCCTGAGAAAACCTGCTACGTACAATATCATGTCAAACTTCCCTTGCATATGCTATGGAACCATACTACCACCATACAACTAACCATACTACCACCATACAACTAACCATACTACCACCATACATTCTACCACCATACAACTAACCAGTTACGCATATAACACATGTACAGTGTAAATGGCAGAACACATACACACACACAAATACACACACACACACACACACATACACACACCACGCACGCACGCACGCACACGCGCACGCGCACACGCACACGCACACACACACACACACCTTGCCATAACAACATGGCAAGCCCACGCTAAGTCACAGTACGGCCATTAAACACGAAGTCATCTTTAGATCGTGCCTCCTAACTTTTCATATTCTAGTAATACTTAACATAACACACGCACATTGTATTGTACGTATGTGATGATGACTCCCACAACATGACTACGGGGTGGTTGCGGAAAGGGACACAGGCAGGGACAAAACACAACTGTACAAATTCACAGTGACCCACCGGAAGGCACTAGATATACATACCGGGTCCTGTGAATAGGTCTCTGTCAAACGTGCAAAGCATAGGCACACATGCTCCAGTGACTTCTTGTCCTGTGCAAAAGAACCAAGCAAGAAAAGAAATGAGATATTATAAATGAAAAAAGAACAGCAGTTCCCTCCTCACTCTGAAAAAGGAAAAAAGAGCGTGCTCCCAGCAGGGCTCGAACCTGCGACATTCGCGTTATTAGCACGACGCTCTAACCGACTGAGCTATGGGAGCTCATATGATAACATGCAGCAAAACTTCAAGAAGGCAAATCAATGCCCGGCTACAGTAAAAAGTGAAGACAGATTGGCGATGGCTCTAAGGGACCATCCGTAAATATAGATACTGAAGTTCAAGCCTGTCTTGTATAGAAGCCGGTCTTGTATAGAAGCCTGTTTTGAATACAAGCCTAATTTTTAAGATACACTGTCAGCACATAAGCCTCGTTTTAGTATTGACATACTGGTACATAGAGATACATGGTTTGAATAGAAGCCTGACTGGAATAGAAGCCTAGCACTGATATCGGCTTATACGACCGTAAGTACCTGCTTTTATACGCGACATTACGGTACTTATTTAGAAACGAAAACTAGTCGTTTAGGGGGAGGGGGTTGAGCGCCTGTTCGTTTCTCGAAAAATGGGCCGTCCAAAGCAGAAAACGACCTAAGGACCTTGATATCAATTATCAAGTTATGACGTTTCAAAGGTGACGTAACTTTTTGGAAAGCGTGCGCGGCTTGGAAGTGATCAGATTGTTTTTGTTTCGACTACATCCTTGTCGTCGACAAAAAAGCCAATGGGCGACTAGCCTTTGAAGAAGACGATCTTGGGAAACGCTCACAAGATAGTTGGATTGAGTGTAGTGCACATGCAGAATGAGTCGTTGTCGCAGTTTGGAGCCCATTGGGCTGGCTGTGGCAGAGCGAAATGCACTTGAACCACTTGACGCGAGCTACTATCAAATTTCCGAGTCGGGCGAGCCGAGCTCCGCTGAGGGTCAAGTACAGCAGGCAGTTTCCGCGGAGGAGCACTCAGATGGCTTATCTGACAGTGATAGCAGCATCGAGTTACAGAAAAAACGCATTGACTACGGAGAAGCCCTCAGCGGCGATTCCAGTGAGTCTGTACACAGCGAACTTTCCGCTGCTTCCGACAGCGATGACGGCGCCGGCGCGACAGGGCAGGGATCAGCAGATCAAGAGCGTGCCCTAATCGCTGCAGATATTCGAGACCTGAAATCATCCGGCTGCAGCTGTAAGGGCAAGAACCACTACGAATCGCTGTCGCCCAAGCTGCTGGAAGAGCTTATGTTCAGCGCGAAGCAGCTACACAAGTTCAGCGCGAAGCAGCTGAAAAAGAAAGCAAAAAAGTTATCATCGTGGCCGTACTGACAACTGCGCTTCGCTCTGAACCTGGCTCCTTGCGACACCGCTATTCACTGCTGGGATCTCAGGTTTATCAGTCTGTGGCACTCGATGTGTTTGGTCTCAGTCCTTACATGCTGAAGTCGCTACAGGGCATTGTGGAAGATGCAAAAGCAGAACCACCCTTGCATGGCTTGGCTGGCAAGTCGCCTGTGAATGTGACTCCTGCGGATGTTGCTGAGCGTGTTGTGACCTTCATTAGGAAGTATGCATCCGTCCATGGGATGCCACAGCCAGCTGCACTACGGGGCAGAGCAGGAGTAGCCCCAACATATCTGCCAGCATCACTGTCCAAGCTCCTTGTGTACAAGTGTTCTGCAGCGTGTAAGGAAGATGATGCAGTGTCCTATGAAGTTTTCAGAAGGACTTGGGTCAATCAGTGCTCTGATGTGGAGTTTATAAAGCCGCAAACAGATGTATGTGCAATGTGGGAACAGTGTGGGTGCGTGAGATCAGCGATGGTCCTGAATTTAAGAAAAACTTATTGAAAGCCAATGCTGGCGTTCCAGCTGGTCGCCCTGCCATCCTTGCGCCCAGTGGATCGTGACAACAGCGCTGCTCCTACCTCAACAAGGAAGTACTGCCCTACCTTAGCCAACGCAAAGAAGCAACCTGGGCTTAGAAAACATCGTGTATGTGGAACAAACGACGGTGAAAGATGAAAATACTGTTTGCGATAGTAGAATATGGACCCCAAGACATAATAAAGTGATTTTAAGCATGATTTATGTGTCGTATCAGTCTGAAATTTTGTACAGAGGTTCACTATGTCCATAAAAACAAATTCCAATCAAAAAACAATTTTCCAAAATTTGACCCCTTAGGTCTGTTTTTGCTTTGGATGGCCCAAATATCAATGCACAGTTTGTATGTGTGGGCACGTCCAGAAAAGAAAAGAAAAAATATCGAGATTACGCATTGTTTGTATTGGTTCGTTTCTGAGGGAGCGGAGGGGGGGGGGGGGGGGGGGGAGTTGAAGAGAAACGACTAGTTTTCGTTTCTAAATAAATATCGGTATTTACGGATGGCCCCTAACCACGGAGTACTAAAAACCGGGAGATGAAGCTGCAACACAAGAGTGCATGGACCCCAAGAGTGTGGAACTGCTCATACAACCTCTATCCAGTGTTGCGACGGCAGAACTTCACATCATGTGACATGCTTCAATTGGTTAGCTGGCAAACAGTGCAAACTGACCACCGGATTGCTGCACCCAAAGCAGGGTTACATACACAGGGTGCAAGTAGCGTGCACGGGTGTCACGATGTGTGAAGTTCGGCCGTCGCAGACCCCCTTGAATGGTGTTGCACACTGGCGGGGGTTATGTACCTTTCTAATACCTATACGTAGCTATGGTGCAGCAGCCAAAAGGAATCGATCACATAGAAATGTTCGACCATTCTGGTCAGACACAACAAAGCTCATAACAGAAGAAAGTTCAAGAAACAACACCAATTTACAACCAATACTATGGTTTGTTTCAACTCACATTGCAGTTAAGGCGTTCCGTGAGAATTCGGACTGCTTCGGTGATCAGCTCGACATCTTCAACTTTGAGCGCATTGCAACAGTTAGCAGCAATGGACAAAGCCAACCGCTAGGAACACAAAAAGCACATGCCGCATGATCACACATGCACACACAGCCATGTAAGCAACAAACAACACTAGGTCTCTTCTTAAAAAAAAAGAAGAATCGCTGACACGATCTGACCATCATGCAAGGTAGAGGAGACAGTTGAAAGTCGGACCGGTTTGACAGCAACATTGTGTAGAAATAAACCGAGTATGGATTGTTCACTCGAAATAAGTTGGTGGCAGGAAGCTGGCATGTTGAAAATTGCTCTGAGGTCATAGTCGATCGTACTGAGTCACTCCTTCGTGTTGGCCCGTTGCCTCCAAGTTGCCCGATTTTTCGTTTCAAAGTTTGGTGTCAGAGAGGTGGCTCCAAACAGGGACAGTTTTGGAGTCCACGTCAAGTTCACCCTGAGTTCTGAAAGTACATGTAGGTAATTGCTATCGCTCCACGACGACCAGTACAGAGAAACGATGAGCCTTGCGTGTGCTTCCACTAGTTTTCATTGGTATACGGTGTTCTATTGGTGAGAGGCAAGCTGCTGTTTACCTGCGACAAAAAGAAGCAAGGATTAATGTTTCTGTGTGTCTTCCGTTCATCCCGGTATTTCCAGCTTTTGACTAGTTGTTGAGGAGTACAGTGCTGGCAACCGAAATCCGACCCCTGAGCTATTATCGCAAAGACCCAATATGGGATAGTAAAACTACGAAATAGAGACCGCTAGAATGTGAACGCGTCACTAGGGGGTCGGATTTCAGTTGCCAGCACTGTAGATCAAGGTGTGTTGGACACTATGTCCGCTCGAAATCGTTGATTTTTCGAAAGACGTAAAATTCAAGTTGCAGTGCGAAGCAGCACGTCAAAAACTCATCTGCCTGGTATGGCGCTTCTGGTCATCGCAGAGCGGCTCGGAGTAAAACATATCGTAGTCTCACTGTGACATACGTTTTCTAATCAAAATTCCAAGAGAGAAAGTGAATATTGAGCCCAGTCCTGTTTTCGACCCCTGTCATATTTCTAACCGTCTCCTCTAAAGTGCCAGCATTTATACTTTTAAGACTCGTATGGAGAGCCAAGGATTAAAATTTAAAAAGAAAGGACCTAATTTTGGTCTTTTCTTTTTAAATTTATACTTTTGACTTTCATTTCCGCAACCTACTGCCATGATCTAAACCATTTCTGAGGCATTCCCAGGATGCCGAGTCCCAAAAGACATTCAGCTCGATCTCAGCAGACTCAGCAGAGAAAGTGAAATGGCAGCTGAGGACTCCATCTCTTGGACGTGCTCCAGTATGTTGCAAGTCTGGGTCAAGTTTGCCAGATTGTAGCATGGGGGTTTGGGGGCTTTGCTCAGATTCGAGTGACTTCAGGCTCAGTTTGTTCCTTGTCTAAGACCATTCCAGGAAGCTCAAGACCATGATATTCGTCCCAGGTAAGGCAAACTTATTGATCTTTGAAAAACTTAGTATTCTCAGTGGAAAAGAGAAAATTTCCGCCACAGCATTTTACCAGTGCTGTACACAAATAGCACAAAAACACATACCTGTGGTTGGATCTGAAAGAAGTCCAAATAGGTCAGACAGGCTGTCAGTCCACCCTGTTGCACAAAAAGCAAAATACAACCACACCAAAATACTCAGTGAAAAGTAGCACCAGTGAACACATCAGGGATAGATTAGAAAACACTATACGCCCTCCAGGAGGCTCCTCTCTCTCTTGTTTACACCCTGCCTTGCAGGACCAAGGGATGTGCTATAGCGATGGAATCAATCAAGGCATAGGCGTGCATGTTCTGCATGACCGCGCAGCTGCAAGGAGGGAAGCAGTGATCATTGGCATTGCTGAATAGTATTGCGCTCACTGGTTGTTGATATTGGTGCAGCGGTCTGAGGCAGCATTGTGAGCAGTGTAAGTATCTACTGACAGACGTAGTAAAATCCCAGAGATCAACAGTGGTGGAAAGTGACACCTGACCACTAGTTTCCCAGCCAATAAACACCAGCATTGACTTGTTTGCGCTGTGCATGCCTTTCTCAGCATATTCAACATGTACACCCATTTAACGGCTATATTCCGCTCAAGGAAATGAACAGCCATGGGCGAAGCCATGCGGTTCGATATTGCACAAGCACATGCAGTAAATGTGATCAGACTTCACTTTCCAGTTTCCAAAATCAATCCCCCACAAGGGCAGTGCCAAGAACATGTATGGATAGAGTGATCCGACATACTTCTTTAAGGATTTTGCTTCCAAACGACTTAGAAAGAAGCTCCAAAGCCAGGAGCGCCTGCTCAGCAACGTCCATAAACTGTATGGACTTGAGCTTGCATACTAGCTGAGGTATAGCAGCTGCTACATCTGCGGTCGATCGTGGCAAAGCATCCATCATGTTGTACAATGCTCGGCACGCATTCAGCATCTGCAACAACATCAACATAAACATTCAGCATTCAGCATTCAGTATCAACATCAACATCTGTCTGCACTCATTGCTTTCCAAGAATTGAAGAATGCACAGAGTTACGATGATTTCAATAGTGAGAAATTGCTCAAGGTGCATGATGTATGCACAATATACAACGTCCATTTACTACACAAGTATTCTCGTGATCGGGAAGCAGACCATCTGCACAACCTGAGTATTCTCATACACTGTTACACACCGGGTGGTGCGCCACGATTGGCAATCCGAAATCATCATCAATAGCAGCAGCAAAACAAGTACAAGTAGTATTATATGTATAGTCCGCCACAAACAACTTACGATTTCAAAGTTGTGCTCAAAGTCCAGGAGCTTTATCTGAACAGTTGCAGAGAGAGAGAGAGAGAGAGAGAGAGAGAGAGAGAGAGAGAGAGAGAGAGAGAGAGAGAGAGAGAGAGAGAGAGAGAGAGAGAGAGAGAGAGAGAGAGAGAGAGAGAGAGAGAGAGAGAGAGAGAGAGAGAGAGAGAGAGAGAGAGAGAGAGAGAGAGAGAGAGAGAGAGAGAGAGAGAGAGAGAGAGAGAGAGAGATAGAGAGAGAGAGAGAGAGAGAGAGAGAGGGGGGGGGGAGGGAGGCAGGAGGAGGAGCAGAAGGAGCAAGAGGAGCAGAAGGAGCAGGAGGAGCAGGAGGAGGAGAGAAAGAGAGACCTTAACACCAACAGTAATCCCTACATTGCCCCCTTCATGGCGTCTCATCATAGCACCACCAAATGCAGGGAGTGAATGTAGTACTGGCACTTAATGAGCGCGGGACGCATAGCTCAATGCATGTGGACACATTCCGTCTGTGATGACTTCAACTCGATCAGAATGCAAGTACATGTACAAACAAGTGTATACATCCAGGACGAAACGGGTAAAAAAATGCATATTCAGTAGTTGCAAGTTGATAGCGGGACAAGCATCTTCATGTGGACAGGCCCTAAAGTAGAGTGCTGCTTGTAGCAGCAGCACTCTACTTCAGAGCCTGTCCACGTGAAGATGTTTGTACTGGGTCTTGCCAGAGAGCATGGAGTGCTGAATATCACAGAGCAGTGAAGAAAAGGCAACGTACCAGAATGGGAATAATAGCTTTGATGGGAAATCCAACCAGTGTATCCTCATTGCCCATCATAAGAAGCTGTACAACAAAACACGAAAACCAAAACAGGACAGAGCCACGTCAGTGGTTACACAAACACCAGTGAGGATCATGCAGAATCAGTCAAAAGCAACTCCTGTCAAAGGAAGAAAGGACCTGGGTTCCATCATAAACCAGGGCACAGTTAGGCCACACCAAGTTATTTCTATGTTTCGCGTCGCCGCGCGCGTACCTTTTCGAATCCTTGACAAGAAAAAAAAGAACCGAGACGAGTCAATTGATGGCTGTTCTGGCGAACATTCTCTAGCGAGTATGGCAGATCGGAGGCTATCAACTTCCCGATAATCTTGCATTCCAGGCGATGGTACAGGTGCGAGCAATGAAAATTTCTATATTTCCACGCAAGAGCCTGCTCACCAAGCGAGCAGAGATCGGAGATACCAGGTGTCACAGGACTTCGAGATTTTCCACAATCGTGATGGAGCAGCCACTCGACTCATGCTCATGTCAAAGTGCAGTCATCCATAAAATCCGTTATTGTATCGCTCCAGCCCTGCAACAAGGCTCAGTACACATAGCATGGAGTTTTGTTTTTTCCTGTTTTTTTTTCGCCCGCCCGCATGCCTTTTCCAGAAAATGTCCGACGCGAAACATAGAATGAACTTGGTGTGGCCTTACCGGTACAAACACGATATTGCAGCTGTATAGTCCCCCCCCCCCCCCCCCCTCACCGTCCCTGCACTGAATGGCTGGTGAAAGGACGGATAGGAATACGAGCCTGTGTAGACGCAAGGAGACACACATGCACATGAAAATCACTGGAAGAGTCGTGGGCTTACCTGACCCAGTTCGTTGAGAGCTGATAACTGTGTGCCTTCATCTCCAAACTTCTGCAGCTGTTCAACGATCTGATGACCCTTGCCGCCGGCTAAGAGGATACAGATAAGTAATAAACCAGACAGCAATCAGAAACAGTATAGAACAAAAAAATGCCAGCATAAGCTGAGAGTACCAGACTTGCTAGCACACGGCAGTGTGCTGGATAAAACAAAAGGTCTGGAGTGACACGTGATCACGCAAACACAGCAGACCAAAGTTATTGCCATCCATACCAAAGCCGAAGAGAAGAAACCGTTGTTGCCCACTCGGAGTTCCCCACTCGAAAGAGCAGCTTTGCTGATCAGCAACGTAGCCAGCGTCCCACTCAACATAACAGGAGCACCGACAAACACAAAGAAATCCGCGGAGCAACGTGAAAGCACAACGCTTGGTGTCACGAATACAACACGCCGGCAAGTCCAGCACAGCAAAAACTGGATTCCTCCACTTCAGCAACACCAGACATCAAGTCCAGCCCATAGAATCTAGGTCCATGAGGTGACAATCACTTCCTCAGCGAACACATCCAACTCGAAGCTCCAGTCAAACCAGCGATGGCAAGCAATTCGATCAGCAGCACTGCCAGCATCAGAAAGCAGCCTCCCGATGTTGAATGACATCATGGTGTCTGATCAGCAGCACTGTGAACAACAGCTAGTCAAACTATCATTCGGGCAAGTCAAATAGCCAGGCCAGAGCCTCCAGTGGCCCTGTGCATGCAAGCACAGACGGATGGGCGGGCAGTCGTGCATCAGCAATAGCATACCGCAGTATACCGTAATAGTACAGTGTAGTATTAGTACATGTACGTAGAACAGGCATGCAGCAGCTATGAGTGCGTCATATGCATGGTGGCACGAGAATGGACACAGTGTGACCACTGCTAGTGCGCAGAGGTGGTCGACCAGTTCTCACCAGCCTTGTTCTCTCTCTCTCTCTCTCGCTCTCTCTCTTACCACTGGAGGAGTTCTGGATGAGTTGCTGCATGCGAGACATTACATGCGAAGGCACACCCTTAGCCTCTAGAAGAGCTGTACATGAGGGAAGCCAACATTGATCACAGGACAGTGTAAATAAGAACTGTAGGGATAACGAAAACAGCAGTAAATAACTGGTCCAGCTTCCTCCAAAACATGCGGATAAACAAGATCAGCAAAACCTTCCAATCTGAGTGCTCAGCTCTATTCAACTTTGTGCATTCTAGTGCCATAAACTCTATTCAACTTCGTGCATTCTAGTGCCATAAGTCTATACGGGGGTTCTGGGTAAACAAAGGATCTGATGTTAATTGCAAAACTTAGCTGCATATTCCGTTAAGTTGGATCGCAAAAAAAGACCCCTACCCAAAGGTTATCCATTAAAAATAGAGAAAATGCTGGAATGCATACATGCAGCAGTTCCAGAAGTCTAAGTATACCAAAGCAACAAAGGGGCTATGCATGATTGTGGCTTAGGTTGACAGGCATGGGTGGCAAAGGACAATGCATGTGAGAAGACAATGAACTGATCGAACGCATTGGAGGCAAAGTGCAGAGAACAAAAGCGATGCTAAAGGACAGCAAGTGAGTGAAGGATCAGAGATGGCGGACAGAAGATTTAGGCAAGAGACTTCAGCAAGGTAACAATAATGACATTTACAGCAGTGCCCAATGAACTACAAATCGTTCTCATGTACAGAGGTGTGGTTTTCACAAAACCATAGTCCACGTGCACTGCACTACAGTGTGCAAGGAGCAGTATTCGAAGCTGATTTCGGGCTTCATTGGATGTTACTGTACATGCACGTGCATGGCAGAGAAGCAGGCCCAGACTGACACACTGCTACATGTACCATAAAGCGATATTACATAACACTGCAGTGCCAAACAGGATACGCAACGGTCTAGCTGAAGTGGCACCCGTGACGCACAAAATCACATCTCTTCCTGACACAGGCATGCAGCACACATTGCTAGGTTCATACGGGTGGCGCGACAGCCGTGAGTAGTACCATATGGCCGTGTACGGTGTTGTGAGCACCCATCACTAAGACTATACGGGTTGGCAACAACTACTTCGATGAGGTAGAACAAGATTAGCGGGCTTACAACAGGCGATGAACGGGACTACAACAGAAGGCACATCCTTGTAAGTCCTCTATTAAACGGTAGAACTTTACATCACAGTTCCCGTCAAGAGACAAACCTTCATATACAAGGAGTGCAAACACAATGGTATGGTATGCTGTATTGAAAACACACACTCTGATATGATGTACATCCTGGGAAAAACACATACCGGTACTAGCACATGTATACTGGCTACAAATATTCGCTCCTTCCACATCACCTTGCCTTGCACACTGTACTCATTTGCAAGTGATCAGTCACTTGCCATCCTGTACTGTCTGGTGACATAGACTAGAGTTTAGAGTACCGTTACTGAGTGTCAAGCTGCAGTTACTACAGCTACCCTGCTGTCCTGCGTCTTTGTTCCTTGGCCATGCTAGCTAGTGGCCAATAAGAGAGTTGTTGCTGTTGTTGCCGCACATGTATCCTAACTCGCCACAAGAATCAGCAAAAGTACCTTCCCACTTGGGCTTTCGGCCCATGGGTCTCACAGTATGCCTCAGAGTTACCCAGGGCATATACATTGCACGAACAATGGAACAGAGAGGAACACGGAGGTGGCAACGGAAGCGACACTTCCCTGACAACGGTGGCATGGCATGGCAAGACTCCGACAGTTATAGGGCAAGACAGAACAGCAACGCGGCCGCCACGTACAGTGGCCATGACTGTCACAACTCCCAATGGCATACCAAAACCGCCACAAGCCATGACTCCAACGACTCCCAATGGCATATCAACACTGATACAACCACAGCGGGCTACAACTCAAACAGGAGAACACAGACAATAAGCCAACCCAGCAGCAGCAGCACACTGCTGTGAGCCAGCAAATGCTACATCATGTGCTCAGGCACACTGAATGGCAATGGCAACGACAATGGCAGTAGCAGAGGGCACTACCTAGCTAAAGAAAGAACATCCTGCCTAAAATAATACACTTTAAGGTGAGACCAAAATAAAATCGAGATTCCCGGGCAGGACCCATGTGAAATTGGTGCGGGCGCCGGGCGGGCGAATTTTTCCTTTGTATGTATCATGCATATGACATACTGAACTCTCTTTTTACAGTATTTTCCGGTAATTTTTTTAATTTTTTAGAGACAAAAGGTATGCGGTTTATCAGTACAAAGTTGTGTTGTTTGTATTTCGGCCAGCGGCAGCCCATCAGGGAGTCGTTCAAGTCCATCTACTCACACAATCAGTACTGTACTAGTTAGTACATGGATATGAACTCTTCAAAAAAAATTGGCTCGATTTCGGTGCAGGAGGGCCTGGGAGTTTCTTTTTTTTTGGTCTCGCCTTACCCTGATCTAGTATTGCAAGCTATGGTATTTTTATTATTATCATTATTACTTGTAGCAGCCTAGCATATTACTTTATTCTACGGCAAAGTCTAGTCTTGTGTAAAGTCAAGCACAGGAAAAGCACGAGCTCCCACAAAAGGAGCAACACACAATTCATCTCGTTTATTCTATTACACTGCACATTTTCAAGTATTAATTTATTACAGATTAGGAACGAGATTCTTAGCTTAACTCCTTATTAGCCAACGTCATACATGAATGCGTCGAATTCGATGCAGTGAAGTGGGAAATTTCAAATGATCGCAGCGCCATCAAACCCAGCTCAAATTGAACGGTTCAAGCATCCAGGTCGAAGAGAAACCCCTCAGCCGTCCGTAGAAACAATCCACGAAGTGCAACTGCCCATGGCCACCTAACAGCTAGGCCTCAGTCACACTACGGCAAAACTGCTGCGTCAGCGTCAGAATCATGAGTTTTCCATGGCAACTGACGAAAATGCGGGAAATTTGAGCGCCGGACGCAGCAGCGACTGACGCGAGTAAATCGGCTGCGTTGACGCTGCATGCACTTGCATGAAAAACAGTGTCCTTTGAAAAATAGCGTACGTGCCGTACTCTATCACAGGGATTCGGTTCGCCATACAGTGGTTTTGGGAAGTGAGTCAGGCTGCGACGGCAAAAGCAAAAATGCAGTGTGACTCCACGTCAGCGTCAAGTGCTGGGGTTTGACGCTGCGTCCAGCCTCAAACTTGCCGCAGTGTGACGGAGGCCTTACGGGAAATGCTTTGCGACGCCCGTCATAGCGAAAAAGTTGGCTGTTCCTTGAGCTGAACTTGACAGGCCCACCATGCAACTGTCACCATGCGCATTGCGAAACCTTTCTCGCGTGCAAAATGAAGTATGAATCAGGCTTTAGGCATTACACCATCGTATGTATTTTCAATTTATTTTACACAAACAACATTACTGGTGTTATTCAGTGAAAAGAGCTCCCATCAAACCATCAGCAAATAGCTACATGTAGCAACTGAAGCTGCTGTTCAAAACGCATTAGGCCTAGCATAGTACATGTACACAAATATGCCCATACTGCAATGCCTTCTTTAGGGTGCTGGAATACATCTGAAGGTATCTTTTCATTAGTGGTGACATTATCTAGTCACGCAGTTCAAGGCAATGAAATACAGAGTACAGTCAGACCTCGCGTATCCGGTCCTCTTTTATCCGGATCCCTCACCATTCGGAAGAAAATCGTTGGTTACCGATTTACAGCATATGTCATGCATACATACAGTATGTGCGTTCGATTATCCGGTTCCCTCGTCTTTCCGGATGTTTCTGGGAAACGGATGTGTGCGGTTAAGCGAGGTCTGACTGTACAGTACTTACATTGCAATCGGTGAAGATGAGCCTGCGTCTCTGACGGTGGATGGTTCCCTAAACCAAATACAAACCAAAACACAAAAAAACTCAAGGCTCAATTTGATCCCGATGCATTAGCGGCTTCCATTAAACGGAAACAGAAGTGGTGGGGCAAATCAAGGGAAATAAGGAACCCACTCAAGCACATGAACGACCACTTTGGCCCATGGCAAACTGCCAGTATATCAGTAATTCTACATAACGGTGTAGATGGATACTACAACAGAAGGATCACACGGCCGTGTCACGGGAAGTTCAAAGAAATATTTCCTCGTGTACATGTACAACACAATCGTAAGCCGGTGGAAACGCGGATGTGCAGACTTTACTCTTTTTTTTACATGTACAACTGTCCCAGTGGAGTTGAACTTGGTGGGAATGTGAACTTGGTGGGAATGCCGGTAGAGTGACTACTGTGTCACCTCGGCATTGCCTAAACCAGTTGCAGCAACAGGGTACGCCATGGTCATGCAGCATAGTGTGGAACGGTATCTAGTCGAGTGCGAGAGCATGATGGACACTAAAGGGGCCTACCCGAAAACGCAGCTACAGCAATGTCTACAATTTCAGAAGCAGATTGACCTGATCCTAAAGTTGCAGACGTAGCTGTTGCAGCGGCCGAACCACTCAGTGTGCTGCTGGCTGGGGCAGATGATCCACTCGCACTGGCTGATGCTAAAGCAAGACAACAATAGAGCGACATGGAGCAGAAATAAGGAAACATGGCCCCAGGCCATGCATCAACCAATGCTTATCTATCCATAACATACTAATCACTTCATTGAAATGCTGTCTCTCCCTAAAACTAGATTACATACATGCATACCAAGCTTCCAGAAATAGCAAACCAGCCTATAGTGTTGTCATGCCACCACCCTTTTCTTCGACTCGGCACCCACAAGACGGCATACAAGTACATGTGCTTGATGTACGCACGTTCTGAAGACTCACGCGCAGCAGGGTCTGACGTTGGCGGCGCCGGGCCTGAAGAGGAAGAACCGTAACGACGGGATGGTGTCCTGAATCACAGCACGAGCAAAAACAAAACGTCCCGAGAATGAGCAGGTAAGAACCACACCGGGCCAATAGTATTACGTGTGCATTCTATGTCTACATTTCAACACCGTAACCTGCTGAGAATACAAGAAAGAAAGGCAGAATTAAAAAAGGAAATTGGAAAGTGCGAGCTTCTCTAGTTCTCAGGTCAAGAATCTTTTAGAGTATCGATAAAGAGAGAGAGAGACCGCACACAGTTAAAACCAGGACGCAAGAGCGACAATATGTACGGATTCGAATATCATTTTCATTGGACTATCATCAGAAACAATCGCCACACTGAGAACTGGACTACAAAGGAAATAATATATAAATTATAGCCCCGTGAAAATCAATTTTTTGAAGACAAAAATGCAGCGAGACTAATGAAGGACACAAGCTTCAGGCTCTTCCAAAACAGCATTTCAAATTTCCACAAGCACTTTTAATGCCCTCTCCTTAGGTGGACAGCAGTAGGCAGACTAGCGCAGACGAACACAGAATAAGGAGTAAAGTGAGCTAAAATCTAATACGAGAAACATTGCAATCTTAAAAATAGAAAAAATTGAAGGCGTGGTGACATGGCGAGCGTTGTGGAAACATGTCTGGCTGGAGTGGAGAGTGTTTGGTGCGCAACCCCCAGTGTGATGTGCTACATGTATACCAATAGCTTTCGTCTACTTCCCATGATAGAAGCCATGTTTATCCGCACCTGCACTCCAGATGTATGCAAAACAGAAGGAATTCGTCCTTCGAAGTACCAGCACTCACGTTCTTCGCTTAGCACAACCCCCCCCCACACACACACACAATATTCTGGCCTGTACCTCTCCGCTCCAGACAGGTTTCCACCAAGAGTGCATAAACAAGAGTATGCAACTGTGGTTATGGGCCAGTGCGCGGCGCGCTGCCTTCATTACGTAACTTGCCTCCATCACGCTCTGAAAGCATGCACTCAAACCCACAATTTCTCGTACGAGCCCATCCGTTTTTGCTCGATTCATTCCCGTACCTACGCGATCTCTAAATTTTGGCGCGTGAACTCCAGTTCCGTACGAAAATTCATTTCAAACCAGAGGGAAAGCGTAGTGTTTGATTTTCCGCAGTGCGCGGACTGCAGCTGAATGATGTAATGAAGGCAGCGCGCCGCGCATCTGGCCCATAGTTGCATACTCTTGTTTATGGACTCTTGGTTTCCACACCACTCGCTTTGCAATCGCGCCTTCAATAAAATTGCTATTTTTAGGGATATCAGTGACTTCTCGTAGTACTAGTATGCTTCGCTCAAACACTTTCAACCATATGTTACTTGAGAAAGCATCGAGACATATAATGTAAAAGCTCTCACACTTTCAAACACAGTAAACCGGAAAGGTTTGCGCCGGTTTTAGTTCGTGATTTGCAAGCACAGACCGATCTGCACGTGGAAATGTTTGTGGTCCGAGTAAATTTTATTACTTTTTAATAATAAATATGGACAAACCATACTATAGAAGACTAACAACACTATAATAGCAATATTATTGTAAGAACTACTTACCGAAAATCCATTGCACTAGCAGCTCTGCAGCGCAGGTGGAATAAAGCAAAAGCAAACAAACACACGTCAATGAATGAAACGCCTCATAGAATGGGAGATATTGGGTGAGTGAAATACAACCTCAATCTGAGCACAGCATAGGATGAACAATTGCACAGCAAATCCTACTACAACAGCCGTGTACCATGTCACATTGAAAACACAGTCTCTGGCTACAGAGCTGGAGTGCTGACTTGGGACGCTTCGACCTCCACACAGGCTATAGTGTATACTAGAGCTTTGTGAAGGATGGGGCGCCGTGCCCGCCACCGGCACTCACCCCGAGATTGTGGTGAACAGGTCGCATGTCAAAAGGCATTGAAAAAGTATACGAAATGCGACAGGTGTCTCCACCAGCGCTTGGAGCGATACTGAAGCTTGTTCTTTTTCGCCCAAGCCATGGAAGGGCTTCCTGGCAACTGCTCTGACTCAACACGAGTGTCGGACATCAAGTGCAGCGCCATCCTAGTGCTTCTTTCACTTCCATGCATCCATTCCCATACAAATTAAACGTGAACTGGGCTTCGCCTGTTCACCAGCAATTCAAAAATCTTTCACATGTGACCCCAAAAAGTGCCCGTTGGTCCAGCCTTGAAAAAGCTCAATAGCGCAACTGAGAAAAGCTGCAGCAAACAGAATCTAGATATGGACCAAGATGGTACAGAAATGCCAACTCTCCTGACAAAGAAAAGCAGGAACGTTCACAAAGAGAGGAAGCTTCAGTACAGTGCAAGTAAATCATTGCAACAACAACTAGAACATACCGACTACGTGAGGAACTGGACGACCGAGAACCAAAGCCAGATGATGCTGCAGCAGAAAGACTGGGTTCACTGGTTCTAGGCCTCGACGATGCCGTGGACGCCGCTGACTGAACGTCACCACGTGCGCCCGAAGATGATTCGGTCTGAGCACCTACGCAAGCTCCAGCTCTACGAAGGCTGCGTCGCACAGGACCCCTTGAGGAACGCGCCTCATCACCACGAGCCTGTGCCGCAGAGGGTGACGGCTCAGCGGATCCGTCCGTCGTCGACGGAACAGACGAAGGTGCAGAATTCCCCAGCGTGCCTGTCGCTACTGAGCCAGGAGGCCAAGAAGTCACAGCAGACGCACGACCCTCACTCTGACGAAGCGCCTCGTACTGGTGATAGCTCAACAACTGCGGAGTAGCAGTGGCTTGAACAAATGTACCTTGAGCACCAGCTGCAGGAGCAGGTGAAGCTGCGGCAGCAGCAAAGTAGGTAGTGGGTGCAACACCAGGCTGCTGTAAACCTGCTGGCCCGCTATGCTGAGGCGCTAAAATGTACCCTGGATGCAACTGCTGCAGTTGACTCAAACTGCTAGAATCCGGCAGGTGCTGCTGCTGCTGCTGTTGTTGCTGCTGCTGTTGTTGCTGTTGCTGCTGCTGCTGTTGCTGCTGCTGCTGCACTGCACCTAGACTAGTGCTACTTGCAGGAAACGCCCAACCTGGAGTGGACGAAGCAGTGCTTGGAGGAAGGCTACCCACGGATGCAAACCAGCCAGCATCAGCTGGTAGTTGCTGTTGCAGAGAATGCTGAGGATACGCCTGCCCTCTTCCACGGGTTCGACTCCTCGTAGTGATAGGTGCTTGAGAAAGGGACTGGGGTACAAAGTTTTGGAACAGTGGCACTTCGCTGTTCCTTGCCTGGCTACGTGTGCAAATAGAGTACGCCGCCTGTGGTGCAGAGAAAGGGTATGCTGCATACGACAACTGGTGTTGTGGTTGGTGTTGTTGTTGCTGCTGCTGTTGTTGCTGCTGCTGATGTTGCTGCTGTTGTTGTTGCTGCTGCTGGTGTTGATGTTGCTGCTGTTGCTGGTGCTGCTGGTGTTGCTGCTGATGACTACGAGCAACAAGATGCTGCTGCAACTGTTGCTGTTGATGCACAGCATGCAAAGAATGCAGAGGAATATGTTGGCCCTGTGCAACTTGATGTGGTGGTGGCAGCGCACCTTGTACCTGTGGAACTAATGAGTACGGTATAGAAGAAAACAGAAGAGCAGGAGACTGCTGATGCTGTGGCTGCTGATGCTGCGGCTGCTGATGCTGTGGCTGCTGATGCTGCTGATGATGATGTGGCTGTTGATTAGCTATTGCCCCGGAGCGGGATCGACCGGACCGACGAAGCTGGCTTTCTGCAGTTTGCCCTCCAGTCGTAGCTGCAGCAGAGACCAGGGAACTTGCCGCAGGTGTGTAATAAACCGGCAGTGCTTGGTCAGCGGCGGCAGTGCTAACCGCACCTAGAGGGTTGACTTCACTTGCGGGGACACCTGCGCCCGACGTACGGCGACTAGACACAACGCTGGCACTAGCCGACGACGAGAATGACGGTGATGAAGAATTTGAGGAGGCACGTTCTGCAAGGCGAGCCGAGCGTCTTGGTGCACTACTGCTGCCAGCGCTGCCCGGTGAACCATACACAGAACCGTACGGAGACTGAGGCTCCAAAGACTTTGTTGCTTTGCTACCGAGGGATGCACTTGCAGACAGAGACACGCCGGAGGATGAGGCAGCCGCCGCTGGATGCGATGCAGCAAGACTGGAAAATGCGCCTGCCACTGAAGAAGCTGCTACCGAGCCTGCACTTTTCCGTTTTCCAACACTGGAGGAAGCAGTGGCTTGACTGGCTGGTGCCCTTGTTCTTGACCTACAGAGTGTAAAGAATGTGAAAATACAACAGAGACCAGAACAGAGGTGATAGTAACCAAAGAGGAATGAGGTATTGTTCATTTTGTTCAATACACATGCCACCCAAGGCCGACTTAATACTTGCCAAAACGAGTGAATGTTCATACAAGCATGTATCATACCCTGCCTGCACACATGCTAGCAAGTCCGAAGTCTGAAAAAAATGGCTACGAGGACTCGACCACCAGGACTCGACATCATGGACTTTCGCAAAGGCCAGCGATGCTTTCATTACAAGCTACGATGTAGACAATATCCCAGCAGAGATTGTTCTCTTTTCTTTTTCTTCTTCAAACCACAAAGCACGTAGCAGCTGTTCAAGACCTACAGCAGACAGCTAACAACAAAGACACTGGTCCTCAGATGGCAATTAATGATTGACGTACAGTGCGGATCGGCTATAGGGTTGTCGGCTATAGTAATATACCTCTTATAGTGATCGTATTCTCAAATTCATTTTCGTAAACCACCCCTTTCTATACATATCGGATCGGCTATAGTAATAATCGGCTATAGTAATATATCGGCTATAATGATACGATTTCTTTGTCAAAATGATCTTATTGCATACATTTTTCATCGGCTATAGTGATGATCATAAGAAATTATACATCGTACATGGCGAGATCTGATCGCGGCAGCCAGGAAGCGCTGGTACGACTATGATATCCCTCGGAGGAAATAATTCGAAATGTTTGGCGTGGGCTGTGCTTGTTGTTCCGGGGCATCCTCGAGCGAGATCGGAGGCAGTAATGAGTACCAGCGCTGAAGCGCTACCGTGGTCTCCGCCGAGATGTTGGAGAAGGCATTCAGGTAACAGCGAAGACAATCAGGGACGCCGAGAAGCTTCTCCGTAAAATACGACATCACGATCGACCTGCTACTTGGAACGGTTTCAGCGGTGATGAGTCGAGCGATGGCGACCCAGACTGAGACTCTACTCCCACTAATCGATCCTGTAGATATTGTTATGTCGATTGAATGTGTTGAAGTGTTTCTCTTCCAAAAGAACACATTTGTTGAGCACAGCAACTCCATGAAAACTCATGTCAAAAAATCACGAAGTTTTTGTTTCCGCAGGAAGTAGCTCTGCACGTTGCACTGATTCGAATGACACCATACACGCATTTGTCAGGCATACCTAAGTATGCATATCGCCTATAGTAATATATCACCTATAGTGATATTTTCACGAAAATCAAACACCAACGCTATAGCCGATCCGTACTGTAACACTATCATTCTTGCACTCTCAGACCTGCCAACCGTTCAGATCTGGTCAGGGCCGTCCCGATATACAGGTCCCAACACGATGTCATGCCCGATGACTAAATGTCCTATTCGTCTCCCAACATCGCCCTGAAAATCGACCAACGCACATCAAAAGTTGAAAATGTGAAGAAAAGTCGGCAGTGCAGCGCGCACTCTACTGTGCTTTACTACAGGCACAAGTCTCTGTATGCCTAGTAGTACTGTGCAGGGGGTGTGATCCGTGCACTGCACACCCCTGATATGCACATGCACATGCACCGTACTTGTACATAGTGTCTACAATCAAAGAAGGGGTGCGCAGCCTGCAGCACCCTTCCTTTGCCAGACAGTTTGGTGCATGCAGATTACAAATGGCCTAGTGAATATGTTCACGTGACCCACTGAACCTGGATAAGAAGACCACCTGGCCTTAGGTGACCACTTTTTCTCGTCCCTTGAATGGTCGCCTTCACTGTAACCTCTTTGGGTTTGATCTTCTGCGTGTAGTCGTGCCTGGCCAGTTGGTATAGTCCCTGCATCCTGTACGAGACGTAACGGGTACGAATTCAGCACTGCGACATGATGCGTCTCTTTCTTTTTCGCGCGATGTTTCAGTTGGATTTGCCAACTTTGCCGTATTTTATGCAATTTGGGCGAAATTGAGAGTCACTTGGTGCTCTACTTCTTCTTTTGGCTACTACTGTAAGACCAGTAATAAGGACGTTTAGCAACGCGAAAGTTCGAAAGAAAATTCGAGTCTGGGAATGAGTACAGAAACAAAGGTCGAAACTTCGAAAACTTGGACGCGACGTTGCAGTGATTTGCGAAAGTAACTTTCTCTTTTCTCGGTACGCATTTCACTACAGGGAGTAGTAATTTTACAGCCCCCTGCTTGAGACTGAGCTGCATATACGGTACGGCACTATAAGATTCAAATAGTTTCGAGAAAAAGTCGTTTCGCATTGCTAAACCTCACAAGTTTTCTTTTTCGAAATAGATTTTCGCGAAATATCGCCACCACCAAAAGTTCGAATTTTCGCATTGCTAAACGTCCCTAATGTTAGCCAACATTTTATTCTAACGAGTTAACCCTTTACCGTTTGTACGTACATGACTTCTATGCGCACAGCGCTGGACTGGTTCACCGTAGAGAGCTGGGATTTTCCCTACTGGTTGCCAAGATGTATGCGCAGAGGGTGCCAACAATTTTTTGTGTGATGCAATATAAAAAGTCACGGAAATCGGGACTTGAAAAATGCGTTTTGGGAAAAGTGCGTACCCTGCCTTTTGGTATTGCCTGCAGATGTTTTCGACTTTTGCTTGAGCTGGCCTCGCGACTGTCTGCCCTGCTGTGCAAGCCATGGACGCAGAGCAAGCTCTTTCGCTTCTGGAGACCCTTCCTGACGACCCTGTCGCCGCCTCATCCAGTCAAGATGAGTTTGTGGAGCCAGACGATCCTGCTGAAAATATTTATTCTGACGACGACAGCGACGATGACATGGCGAATGAAAGCAGCGCCAGTGAGAGTGACATGGATGTCACAGACGACGACAGTGTCGCTGAGATAAGTGCTACTAATGGAGGAAGGGGACGTGACAGAGAGAGAGGATTCGGCCGTGGAATAGGCTGTGGTCACGGTAGAGGTTGTGGTGTACAGGTACTAGGTACAGCCAGCGGTGCAACCTGCACTAGTCGATATTTGCAACATTTGCGACAATACTGACACCGCTGTGATTGGTAACACTCCTGCATTCCACCCAGAGAACGAACCTGGTATCCACTTACCTGAGGGAGCCACTCCAGTGCAAGAATCTGATTTATTGCATATTGCAACAGTTTGCCCGATCGGCAATAAATCCAAATAATTATTAGTGCTAAATAGTGAAATTTTTGTTCGTTTTCTGGACTTGAAAGTTTGCATCGCATTCCTGAGGGGTTTTACTTTCAGAATCACCTGATGTTGCACTTAATAAAAGTGAAAAATAACAAAGTTACGGCATGAACAATGACGGTCGGTTTTGCTATACAAATACCTTAAACGGTAAAGGGTTAACGAATTTGAAAGAAGCGTGAACATTTGATGTCGTTATGTGCAAAACGATATGTACATGTACAGTCATTTGCCGCATTTGAGACAGAATTCGTCAGAATATCACCTCGCTAAACCAACAAAAATCCGGAGATTGTTAACTTTAATTGACGTTATTAATAATAGTCAATGTGATAGTAGTAAGTAGACTTGCCCCCCCCCCCCCCCTTCCCAAACGTTCAAAAACCCAGTTGCCAGGACCATAAAGTTGTGGAGCTGTCCATTCGCCTCATTTTTAGTATTTTTTCCAGTGGCTGGATGGCACAATCATGTAGCGGTAAAAATGGTTAAGCAATTACTTGCTTCCCACTCGCTTTCATTGCTACATTCTCGATACTGGATCGATAGTATCGATACTGGACAGCTGCATAGTATGGCTAGATCATACTTAGGTCCAGTGTCATATACCACCCATCAAATTGAGAACATCTATATTCTCAACACTCTGCATGAAATATTCACTGGATAAACCAGCATTCTATTCCACTCAAGATTTCATCAGTGAAAGTATAATTATCATGTCAAAAATCAGGGAACTTGATGAAGTGAAGTGAACTATGGCCACATGAGCCACATGAATTGATACACCAAACCTTTATAACTAAATTCCTTCCCAGAATGCATTCATTATCTCGGCAAACAGGCACACCAAATTTAACTGTCAAAAAAACAAACCTTTTAGCTGGAGGTTCTGGTAAATCACTTGAGGAAGAACGGCTCTTCGACCCACTCTCTCCTCTGAAAATGGATGCCACAGGAAAATAATAATGAAAAGAGCAAAACAGCAATCAATATACGGTCGTGTCAGTCAATTTTACTGGAATTAAGATAGCAGTTGAAACAGAGAAAGCAGAGCATAATATACTAGTACCCACCGACGATTGGACGAGGAATATCGCCGGTTTTCACTAGCGGATCCTCGGTCGGCCATGCGTCATACCAAACAATATCTAAAAACTGGGCCTTCTCAGGCTGGAAATGGAACCTCTTTCAGCGAGTAGGACTTGAGACGCCTCGGCACTGTGGGAGAGCGCTCAAACAAATCCTCGATAACTGCTGAATAGCAGTACGACGAAGCAGTTACAATCAATGAAATGCTATTACTTGCAGTCAAGATTCAATGAGAGTTTTCCCGTCTTGCTCTATCTACATACATGCCACAAATGATGTTGAATAAGAACACATTTGCAACAATCACTCCTCAGCTCGACTCGTAGAGTGTACAGCTGATCCACTCATGTCATGACCTGCACTCTAGCTGCATGCATGTATCACGTACAACTATTGTGACTGACTGCACTCAGGCTGAGTCAACACAGTCTTTGAGTTTGATCTTGATGAAGCAGTGTACAGTCATGTACCGGTATACCTGGTATACAGTCAGCATGGTCAGTGCACCTACGGTTGTCAGTGGATACAGACTGACGCTAAAGAGGACGCTGCGATTCTCGTGTAAGTAGTTACAATTTTAGTTGTAGTCGTAGAACCAAGACGAAACAACACCTAGCAAGGCTACACTACAGTATACTACACATTGTACCAAGAGTTATTACTCTTGATTGTAGTAGATCTTGCCAAGACTGCAAGAGACTGTACTGGGCCCTTCAATCATGGCTAAAAAGTTACAAGTCTTACAACTTACAAGTCATGATATTGTATGTATTGTAATTCAAAATAACTAATCTTGGGTCATTGACTCAAGAGACCGTGAAACTCATACCTGGCCATCAAAGAAGATTAGCAGACTGATCAGGCGCTCCTTCTTCATAGGGCTCAGACTCAAACATCAGACCAAAGTGAACCTTGCGAAATGAATTACATGTGCTGGCAACACGGCTAACTTTCAAAAGTCATCACAAACTAAACTTCATGCTCAGTCATATCAGCATGATTTCTGTATTTGATTGTGCCACGTTCACCAGTGCAGTGTAGATATCTACGTCGTAGATTTACCAACACTTCAGCCTCATCTGCTGAGCCACGTCCACATGCATTGTAGGTACCCCGCAGTGCAGCCTGACACAGAATGTCCTGAGCCTGAGGCTGATGGCCGTGATCGCTGAGTGGAGATCAGCTGGTGCCATGGCCCTGGTCCGGGAGTAGTACAATACTACATGACTTAATTGTACTCCCTGGTCCGGACACAGACAGGCTGGATAATTCATGGCGTGGAGCGTGACGGATCATGAGATGTCATATGCGCATATGCCTGGGTCTGATTATGATACAGTACAGTATGGGCCTAAGGCTGATGTGGTAATGCAAAATATTAATTGCAAAAAAAAGTATTCTTTCATGTATTGTCATGTTCGTCGTGCGCTAGATCAATATAGTCAGTAGCACCAAGAGTACATAAAGTAGTCTTTCTTTATCCACTGACGATGTTGTTCAGAACAACGAAACGCCTGGAAAAGTATCGTAAATATTTCTATCTCATCTATACCACTCTTTGGTTGTAGAAAGAATACTTTTTTGATATTACAATTGTAGTTGATTAATGTTGGGCATGACGTCACGACCCCGTGCAGTGTGATACATAATGATTAATCATTACTAGTACTACATGTACCGGTAGTATCAAGAGCTCTTGGAGCTTACATCAATGACAATGATATTATTATTATGAGTCGGAATTGACTACCATGCTCACGAGCAGGGCTAGGGAACCCTACCATGCATATTATTCCGCTGGCATTCTCCTAAAGATCACGTCCAAATCATCATATCACCATAATTATTTGACAACACACACACACACACACACACACACACACACACACACACACACACACACACACCATGTACAGTGTGCCACACACGCACACACGCACACACACACAAAGCGGCGCATTTTAGAAACTAGGCCACCATGCTACAGCGAGTGCTGCATAATGCACGGTATATGTTGAGGTTGGATTGTGACAGTAGGCAGTGGCACATTCAGAACTATTACTAGTGTTAGAACGAGGCAGCATCAGCATGCTGAATATACACGGATACAAGGCATGTGTTGAGAGCTTTGTGTGCACATGTGTGGACAGCACAAAACAGTAGGTAACTCCTCCGCAATGATTTTGCATGAGCTGGACTGGACTCCAGTCATACCGGCACCTCAATATAATTATAATAAGAACAAGAGAAAAAAAGGCACGGCTTGAAAGAAGTGGACGACTTGTGGACGCGCAGTCATGGGCTTCAGCAAAACACTACACACGAGTATCTCCAAGTATGCAACAAGCTACAACATGCATGACACCAAACACTCCAGTGTTATCGTAGTCTCCAAAGGGCTTATAAAGAGCACCATGCTCGCCATAGGGACAAGGACCAGATCAACATGTGTTATGCACAAAATTGGGCTTTCACAAAAAAATAACTCAAAAAAAGAAAAGAAACGACAAGACACGACACGACAAAAGCAAACTAATGAACCAAAACAGGATGCGTGGATCGTTCATAAACAGAGCATTGACACAGCGTACAGCGCCGGACCAGGCACACACGTAATGGTATCATGTTGCATGGAGCTACCTACGTGAGGTCTGATAGCCCCGGTGACTGCCCCGCCTGTAGCAATTCAATGAAAGTTGGAACAGCTGCTGTGACACAAGCATCTAGCAAAGCGCCTGCATTCAAACTTGGTCTACACGGGAGGAGAGCAAACACGCAGGCAAAGAATGCCGTGAGAAATGGTTAGCAACAACAGGTACCAGGCAAAATCCAGCTTCTTCGCCTGCCTGGTAAGCCAGCGCTGGGCTAGCTGTCAAAAGCTTCCCAGGGCAATGGATTGATCAAGAACACAGAACAGATCAGCTCATCCAAGAATAGTTCTTCCTCGTGATGCTGATGATGCCGATGATGTGTTTTGTGTCTTTGGCTTCACAGCCGCTGCCCGAGACGGATGTGGCAGCTCGGCAAAGCGAGCATGCAGCGTGCCAGCAGGCTGGAGATTGAGAAGAATAAAATTATACATGTACACAGGCACACCACACACCCACCCACACCCACACCCACACACACACACACGGACATGTGCACATATAAAAACATACAATACCATTACTGAATGCTGCAGGCAGCCAATTGTTTTGGCCAACGAGGCTGGATCAGTGCAACTACAAGCTCCAACTAATTGTATCATAATATTTTAAAAGTTACCCGGAGGATGCACCCAGTAATAACTAATATTAATTAAGCTATCAACACCTGATATCAACACCTGATATCACCACCTGATATGATAAAATAAAAGAGTGGACGCAGTCACACCATGACACCAGAGGGACACACATTACATGTACACATGTACCAGTATGTAAGGATTTGACAAAGGTTTCGTGTGACTTGCATCAGAAATCATAATCACATTTGAAAAAGGACTACAACAAAAGATGTTAGTGGCAGCTGTATGTGCACTACTGTCAGAGACAATGCTTATAATGGAGACAGTGCTTTTATTTATTCCCGTAGCTATGCAAAAGACGTTACTTCAGTAACGTCTGGCGCTAGCTGGGGTCCGCACAGCTTTAATTCCGTGTTTGTTTGTGCCAACGGCATGCCTGGCGCTATCCCGTACCTGTACCGTACCATCGCTGTCCCACAATATTCGAATAGGGCCCTCAAATGCAAGATCATAACGTGAAGCAACTTGGAAGAATGAGTATGTATGCGAAGTGTATCTGGGGAATGCATGCAGGGCAATAGTGCGGGTTTGAATCCTAGGTTATGTCTTGAAAAAAAAAGGAGAAATGAAAAAATTATAACATCCCTATGCTTTTTTTGCCTGGGTCATCAAATCGGTAGACGGTGTCGTATTACCCTCGAATGCAAACTTATCCCGGCTTGTTATCTACATATAACCAGTTACAAGACTGCCAATGTGTTCACACTCATATTCAAACTGATTGAAACGTTTTTGCAATACAATGATGGAGCCAATCAATGGAAAAAACATTTCCATCACTTCTAATAACATGCATGATGAGCTAGGCAAAAAGGCATAGCGTAGGGCCATGAGCTTCCAAGCTCTCTCATTTTTCAATCTTCTAAGGGTGCGTTCTTAAATCCTCTCGGAAAAGTCCGAGAAATGTTCTTATATCCTCTCCGAATTTCAGGAGACTCTCCAAAGCTCTCCAAGCTCTCCGAACTTCAGAGGTGGCTGAAACTTGGAGATTCCCGTGTTTTGGGGTCAGCGCATGCGAACTACTGCAAAAGCCACGTGTTGATCATGAGTGTACGACATTCCCTATTCGCATACGCACAGGGCGTACTACATTCGTGTCACTCAAGATTGTGGCCTCTTTGGCGCTTCACATTTGCAAAAGATCTCCGAATTCTTCGACACCCACTCCTAAATTATCCCAGTTTCTTCAACTTCCAGGAGAAATTTCTCCGAGAAGCTAGAGAAAATAAGAAGGCACCCTAAGCCTAAACTCGAAGGGAGATTGTCAAAACTGATGCTTCACAATAAGATACACACCAGAGAGATAGAGGCAGATCAATGCGCTTCCTTACAAATATGTGCTTGGCATGCTGAACTGCTATCATAATATGCAGTCAATGTAACACTACTGTTATATGCTCAAATTGTCACCAATAGAGACGCTGCTCTATTATCTCAAGCAACCCTTGCCCCGGGTAACTATTCGAAACTGGACTATTATCGGAGACCTGGGCTTTTAGTAAAGTAAAATCCAGTGTGTACAACATTTCACGTGCCCCGCCACTGCCCTGAGCAATCACAGCAATCGCCAATCGATTGAAGTAGGTCAAGGACATTGCTGCAAGTAAACCTACCGCAGGCAGGGAGGCGATGGCAGGACGAGAAATATCCACTCCCATTCCTTGGATAGGTGCTGGGGTAATAATATTCTACACACACGCGCACACACACACATACACGGCATACCAAGCAACAGATGGCGAGATTGAAACAAATAGAAAACAAAACAGCGAACACGAATAACAGAACAAAACTTAGGTAGACAATCCGAAGCTGACGAGCTATGCGTGTGCAATGCACTGCAGTTCCGACGTATTCAAAGAATGCCAAAGCAATCGGCCTGCACAGTGGTGGAAATGGATACTCTGCAGCAAGCAAGTATGCAATACCCACCTGGAGGAAACCATGCCACCACATCACCCGGTGACAACTTTCGCCAAACTACACAGCCCATTCTACTCATGAGCTGCACCTCCCAAGGATAGTGACTCTACAACGGCCAAAGGCCAGGGCAGGTGTGGAGATATGATCGGAAATTGACAAATTGTACATTAGCTGAAGGCGTATTGCACCACTTGCTGGCCAAAGTAAAACAACACAAGCTAGCAACACCATTCGTATTTGAAACAAGGCTGCCAGCATCAACCACACACACAAAAAACAGGCTCAAGCAACATGATTGGTAAGAAAAACATATTTAAAAATTACAAACCTGTCGTATACTTGTTTGTAGAATAGCCTGATTGCAACAAACACAGAGAAAAGCACAGTAATCACTTTTCTATAGTCAACAGTAGTTAATGGAACAGACCAGTCAGTTTCTGAATGGAGATAAATTCAACTATTACTATTCCATTATCGGCCAGCTTACGCATGCACAATACTACAAAACAGAAGAATTTGCTCCTGTTTTTCTTCCCTTTTCAACTCCTGTAAAACTGATGAATATTTGATGGATAGGGCTCCACGTCTACTAGCTTGTGCATAATGTGTGTGGGTGCACTGCAGTGGGTACAGAGAGGGCTGTGTCTCACCAGCCTGTGAAGATTCGCTGGGAGTGTGAGTTCCGAAGTCTCATGAACGGTCTCTGTTGGGATGACGACTACATCTTAGCTTAGAGCACCGCTGTTCTTTAGCGAAGGTCCCTGGTTCGAGTCCTGGTGTCCTGGTGGCGACAGTCCATTTTTTCTTAACACATTTTCACTTTCCAACTCCTCAAACTGATAAAAAATTTCATGAAGACTTTCTCTGGCTACAAATCTACTCTTTTGACATGTCTCTCGCCACCCAGTAAAGTAAATGAGCGGTGAGATTCAATGAACCTCCTTGCAATGTCAGAGTAGAAGAGGACAAATAACACGAGCACTTACGACTGAATGAGCATCCCTAAACAAGTCAACATCTATTGACGATGAGGGCTGCGGCCGTACACCAACAATCGTGCTGGGTTGCTGAGCTGGCAGATCATTGTCTACTTGAATGGTAAGCGGGCGAGATGGAGGGTCTACAACAATCGGCTCATTCGCCAATATTCCACTTGATCCTGATGCATTAGCACGGGCACGTGCCAGGCTACGACGAGCAGCATACTGCTGTGCCCTACAAAGCACACGCATACGTGCAAGCATACAAACAGACAACACACCATACAATGAATCCACCAAGCAGAATTACGCACTGTCTGTCACCTCATTGCACCTCAAATTGAAATGGACAATCTCTGAATTTTTAGTTTTTCTTACGCAGGAACAGTGCCAAATCCACAAGATCCAAGTCAACACAATCATGTAGTGAAGCACACAGTGTTCTTGCCACAGAAGTAACCATGGCAACGACCCTCCTCTTACTCCTCTCTTTCCAATGGAGTGAGAAATGTTATCATTGAGCGGCTCGCTTTGAGAGGAGTATTATCCTGCTCAATGAAATCCAGTCGCGTCACTCAAGTTAGCGCCTTGCACCATTTCGCAGCCCAATGTCCGCAGGTCTAGGGCTGCGCAACGCCCGGCGCGTACTTGAGTGACACGATTGGATTTCATTGAGCAGCACTGTAGCAATAACTGACACCCACGGAGCTACAGGACTCTGCGCTGATCACGTATCTGTGTCGGAGCAAAACAAGTCCGGGCATTATTTTGCTAAAGCAAGCGTGGAGCTGAAGCTGGATTGGTGATTGCCGCGTACACTGCACACTCCACGACACTGGCGCAATCTACAAGAATTCATGTGCGTTTACTTCACACCAGCAAGTACTGTTGAGTCTATGTAATATAGTTTGTCACCAAGAAACTTTGTGAAAGTCTGCTCATGATGTTATTGGACTCATGTACTGAACTTGCGACAACCATATACTGCACAGGCAGAAAATTTCGTCGGTCAATAATTTCGTCCAACTCCAAAGAAAGGGAGTTTGCCCGGTTGAAAATTTCGTCCATGGATCATAAGAGTGTATTGAAAAGCTGGACAAATCGACATTAGTCCAGCATTTAATTTAGTCCAAAAGCTCCTTGGATGAAAAAGACGAAATTAAATTCCAGACGAATATTTCTGCTTATACAGTAAGTACTATACCGTAATGTCGCGTGCATTAGCCGGGGCTTATATGCCTATAAGGCTTGTACACAAGACAGGCTTATACACGAGACAGGCTTATATGACAAGCACCACTCAATGACCAGGCTTGTATGCGCAAACTGCTGACTTTTGGACGTCAAAACCAACATTTTCCAACGGGATTTTTTTTCAAGCTTGAAGCTTGAAGAGTGCTGCATGGCCGTCGAGCGCAGCTGGTGTTGATTTCCGCATCTTCCCACGTTTTCCGCGTGTGCAAGTGTACGGTACCATGCAAACATGAACATGTAAAAGGCGCGCTCACCAGTCTTGCGTAGTAGCCCGGCTTACGCACGCGACACGTGGCGCGTCTCGTGTACTGGCCCGGCTTATGCATGCGACAGGCTTGTACGCGAAAAGCTGTTGCAGATTTCATGCTTCTACACGAGACAGGCTTATGCACAAATCCGGCTTATGCACGCGACATTACGGTAATTGTAGTGATCATAGCAAGTGTTGTAGTATTGGTTTTCAGTGCTGTTCACCCCCATTTAGTAAAGCCAGTAACTGCATAGTTGATGTTACCTTGACTCTGCTGTGTACACGTTTTGTAGGATGCGCACAATACAGTCCTCGCTTTTCATCTTGCCCACTGTAGCACAATCATGGGACATGCATGTTGCTCCTTATGTGTTACCGTTTATCATACCGGTATTTGGTTGCCTCCCAGCTATCTATCCTTTCTCCTCTCAGCCTAGCCAGTCAGCACATGCAAAGCTGTGGACTCAGCATCCTCCTGATACACTTCAATGTGAACATACAAATAATGATAATGGGAGCACATATACTGAAAGTCTTTGAACGCAAAATAAATCGCCAGGGTGCTGGAATAAGTTACATGTAGTATCACACACGGTCCTGAGTGAATTCATGCTGGACACATTTTTAACTTCTTGTGATGGAGAGTACGAACCATTCGAGGCAATGTGGCAAAAGACGAGGGAAAAGAACGTAAAATTCAAACTTACTTTGTCTTGGAGTTCTTGATTTTCACAGTGAGTAGGTTAGAATTGCCAGCTGATTGCCTAGGTAGGCAAACAAAGCAAAACAAAAATGTTCTTCAAAGTGTGTTGATCAGTTACAAGATAGTGCCATGCAGCCTGGAACCTTTTTACACAACTTATTTTCATCTTCTACATTCTTTTCAGCATAATACAGCCCGCAGTACAGGACAGTGACTGACCGGGTGCGACAAACGCACCGATGTAACACGAAGTTCTTGCCAAAAGGAGCAACATATTAAATAAAGACATCTGGTTGACAATTCACACTGCCGTTGAAGTACAGTATGTCGCAGACACGGGCATGCGAGTTTTAACGAAAGGCAAAAAGCCTGTAAGGAACGGACTAAAGGTGCGCTCGGACTGACACGAACAAGGACAGGTGCAAAACAAGGAGAAACTGCAAACGCAATGCACATTACACAGGTTATACGCGAAGCACTCGATAAATGAGATTGGGGAAGTGTGTGATACAGTGACACTTCAGTAAAAACTATAACATATCCTGGATATTGTACTTTTCTCTTTCCATCGGATATACATTGTATGGCAAAGAGTACAAACTACAGTGCGAAACTAGATGCACACCCACCCTTACCTTTGTCCTGGGCGGCGTAACTGCGAAGATGAGGACTAAAGAGAGAGAGAGAGAGAGAGAGAGAGAGAGAGAGAGAGAGAGAGAGAGAGAGAGAGAGAGAGAGAGAGAGAGAGAGAGAGAGAGAGAGAGAGAGAGAGAGAGAGAGAGAGAGAAATATAATTCTCACGTTAGACTGTTTAGTGTGGTGGCACACCTATACACGTACATCATAGGAAAGAGTTGACCACCAGTGTACACATCTCAGGCTTACATGTACTAGTATGTACCAGTGTATGTAAGCCTGCTGCTTGGGCTAGCTGGGTAAGCAAGACTGGACAGTTCTGAAATACAATCAGAATGTTTGCGACTCAGGGCCAGGTAGGAATCATGACAGCTCCACGACAGTCCATGTACATGAAAGAAAGGAAGAATGTTAAAACTTCACTTCATTAGGTAAAGACGGTTCCATGAAAGTAGTATGGGGTGTAGAGTACGTTTCTAGTGAGTACAAACGCTATTGCATGCAACATGCTCTTTATTTCCAGTCAACAGAGATGTTCTACCACGAGACCGTGATGCGAAGAATAGCTCGATCACTGTTCGCGCTTCCGTAACGTGTAAAGGCCCATTCACAATACAACATTTTGCAACGCAACATGCGACGAGCTGCGACAGCGACACACGGTTCACAATCTTTTTGGTGTTTTCGACATCCCTATGCACTAGTAGTACTATGCATGTGAACAAACGCCTGTGGGACACACTACAATACAATGCAAATGAACAGTGATCTGCGAGGAGACAATAATTTAATTAAAGCTATCAAAAAAAAACCCGACTTCACCACGCTACACAACACTGATGTCTGCAGCCTTTATACTTTTGGCAGCTTTAATTGAATGAACAGTGCCTGGTACATTCTCAAGCCCCTCATACACAATGGCATGAAGATGATGCAACAAAATGCATCATGAGATGTGGTCCTAAAACGCAGCACATTATCAAGTCTCCCGTACCTGAACAGCCTGTGCCTGTTGATTGGTCAGCTTTCTCCGCTGTAGCTTAACACGTGGGTTTCCAAGCTCCTTCATGCGCCTCTGCTGTACTACTTGCTCAACATGCTTAGCAAGTTGAGTTTTACTGGTGACTCCAGCTGAGAGCAGCGGAAGACATGAGAAGAAGCACAAAGTATGGTGTACAGCAGGGATACGCAGCATCTAGGGAGACGCCATGAGACCATAGTATCCGAAGCCATGTGCGATTAGGAAGTTCTACGTGATGCGGGGTCTACAGGCACTTCCCAGTAGTATCATCGGTGTTGTCTGGGGATTGGCGAATAGCCATGAAGCTCTTGACTTACAGCTAAATCCAGCCAACTTCCATTGCCGACTTGTGCTTTTGGCTCTGCCCTTGTGGCATTGAGCACTTTTTGCAAGGGTTTAGCCACATAGCTTGTGGCCAGGGGTCTATAAAGGTCGCGGCCACGACTGTGGTCTAAACCTGCTTACCCCAAACGCAGCCCAGGCCAGCAATGCAAAAAAGACGAGCGTGTATAAATCGGCCATGCCCCAAGGGCGACTGGGGCGAGCAGCTCGGGGAGCGAAGTTCACATCTTTTAGCATTCCAGCCGCCCGTGTCATCGCCCTAGATGCCCCGACTACTCCCTGGTGTACAGTGCAACCCTAGTGGACACTGGGGAACAAAACATTCAGGAGAATTTTTCAAATAACCGACGAGGAGACAACAGTCGTAAAATAGCAATGAAAAATATCAATTGTGCACTCATAATCATGTATAAACAATTAAAATGAAACAATTCCACAACGTTTTCTTGTGACTATCATCAGTGGAACATCGTCACATAGTAAGAATCACTCAAACAACCAGTTATATAGCTAGAATAATATGAAAAGAAGCGTGAGAATGCAGCACTGCTAGCGGTTATGCATAACGCGTGTAGTGTGAACTTATGCAGTGTATCTGAGAATGGTAGCAGTAGATGAATGTGGCAGCTGTGAGTTTTGTCCACACGCACTTTTCATATTATTCTAGCTATAACTGGTTGTTTGAGTGATTCTTACTATGTGACGATGTTCCACTGATGATAGTCACAAGAAAACGTTCTGGAATTGTTTCATTTTAATTGTTTAAGGAAAGAGACATTATGGATACGAGTTAAGAGTAACTCTCCATCACTGTAACTTGATACTTTATACAGTCAGAAAGTGCAATAACTAGGCACAAAACTGACAGAGTACTGAGACATTCGACGTCCTGACACCTAGCTTCAACACATCTCCGTAGCGCTAACCGACAGCCTTCCAACTTGGAAGGTTCAAGGTTATGGAAAAAACCAAAGAGGGGAAGGCAAGCGCAACGAAAACGAGCAAAAGCTACAGTCCCAACGGAACAAAGAATGTCGATTGTTACTGGACCGGATGACGAGACCAGTACGATATCTGACAAAGCGGTCTAACTACAATTCGAAGCAGCAAAGCAGCACACCACCCAACTTGGGTGGGTCATAAATATCAAAGATAAGTAAATAAATGGGAAGCTTTGCGAAAACGAATTGTACAAGCCGAAAGCCAAACTCCTACAGTACTCCTCATGCATGACATTGTGATGGACTAGTTGACTACAAAACAAGTTGTTTCACACGACGTACGTTTCGCCGTATGGTTCGTGACGGCTCATCAGGTGTGCAATTGTAAAACTCGGATGTTGAGCCATAAATAAATGTATGGCTCAACATCCGAGTTTTACAATTGCACACCTGATGAGCCGTCACGAACCATACGGCGAAACGTACGTCGTGTGAAACAACTTGTTTTGTAGTCAACTAGTCCATCACAATGTCATGCATGAGGAGTACTGTAGGAGTTTGGCTTTCGGCTTGTACAATTCGTTTTCGCAAAGCTTCCCATTTATTTACTTATCTTTGATATTTATGACCCACCCAAGTTGGGTGGTGTGCTGCTTTGCTGCTTCGAATTGTAGTTAGACCGCTTTGTCAGATATCGTACTGGTCTCGTCATCCGGTCCAGTAACAATCGACATTCTTTGTTCCGTTGGGACTGTAGCTTTTGCTCGTTTTCGTTGCGCTTGCCTTCCCCTCTTTGGTTTTTTCCATAACCTTGAACCTTCCAAGTTGGAAGGCTGTCGGTTAGCGCTACGGAGATGTGTTGAAGCTAGGTGTCAGGACGTCGAATGTCTCAGTACTCTGTCAGTTTTGTGCCTAGTTATTGCACTTTCTGACTGTATAAAGTATCAAGTTACAGTGATGGAGAGTTACTCTTAACTCGTATCCATAATGTCTCTTTCCTTTCTACATTTATTTATGGCTCAACATCCGAGTTTTTTAATTGTTTATACATGGTTATGAGTGCACAATTGACATTTTTCATTGAGAATTTTTCAGTTCTAAATATTTTTGATCAAGCTGGTTTGAAATCTGCAATCAGGGCACACCTCCCCCTACAGCACACATGCTCAGTTCTCTGGCTGTTAGTGGTCTGCAGTGTATCGCGCAATGTGTCAATAGACACATGCAGGCACACATGAAGGCACACATGCAGGCACACACACACACACACGCACACACACACACACACACACACACACACACACACACACACACACACATACATCTAGAGACAGGAAGATGACTTGCGTTCGCAGCCAAAGCAAAGCGCATACATTTACACATGTACAGTACACGAAGAGAAGAGCAACACAGGCAAGGCAACAAAACGCCAGGTCAGGTTGTAGTAACATAGTAGCATAGACACACACACACACACACACACACACACACACACACACACACACACACACACACACACACACACACACACACACACCAACTCCGACAGCTGCAGCTGCAGCCACCAACATCACCGACATGCTTTCTAGTACAACATACCCGATGGTCGTTTAGCTGTAGTTTGCGGTCGACCCTTGGTGCGCACAGGCGACGTGACTGAACTTGGGGAGCCATTATCTCCTAGACGGGACAGTATACCAGCCGATGGTTGCCTTCTCTTCAGCTTAAGAACTGGCTGCTTAACCGGGCGACCGCCAACCATCTTTTGTTGCCGACCCTGCTGTTGCCGACCCTGCTGTTGGCGACTCTGCTGTTGGCGACTCTGCTGTTGGCGAACTTGTTGCTGGCCCTGCCGACTTTTCACAGCTTTAGCCGAGTTTGCTCTGTTGCCCGCAGCGTTCTGATTGCACAATTAATGAGTAATACAAGCGTTAGTGGAGCAACTAGCAGTGGTGAATGCATGATGCTTGCAAATGAAACCATGCGGAGATCGAAAGAGCGTAATATAATATGACCCAACAGAGCAAGAGAAGAAGGCATACTACCATGTTTAATGACATGGGAAACTGTTGCTTTACGTATCGACATATGAATTGGTGCATTCAAATACAAAACAAAATATTATTATCCACCTGCTTTGACGACTACGAGTATCGCGACATGTTTAAGCCTTCGAATACAATGCATCTCTTAGATAATACATGAAAAACATTGTTTTTAATGAAGATATGCGACATGTTGCTCAGCAAAAACACTGTGTAGAACACAAATTCGCTCTTCTCATTGCAAGCTCAAAAATGAAAATGTCCAAAACATTCTCTCACCTGTCCGGCCTTGCGAGGACCAGCCTTTCCACCAGTTGCTCCTTTAGTTTGCTTGCTTCCCTGGCCACCACTAGCACTTTTCGGTTTTCGATTGAGTTGCTTCACCAAAGTATCTAAAAATTTAAGAATTCAGTCAATCCATCAGTTGGTTGGCGTTTGTGGCGACAAGAGAGAAATCTCGCGTAAAAACTTCTTACCAAGACTTTGGTTAGGATCCATCCTGCGAAACTCTAAATTACTAAAGTGAAACAAACACACAGAGGACTACTTTATATGCTGTCTGAAACCTACAGAGTCGGCCGACTCAAAGATCTAACACTTTCAAAAAAGATCTTCTATTTTGGATCTTTGGCGTTTACGTTTCTTCATTCACTGATTCACAACATTAATTTTTATGATGACATAAATCTACATCTTCACGTGATCGTGACGTGCTAGCGCTATATAGGTACGTGCATGTGCTGTGCATTGCGATCTACAAAATAATTCAATGTAGATGGTAACTACATAGTTTCCAGGTTTCTGGTCTGACGAATATCGAATGCACCCGAGTTACATGAAGAGTCCACACGGCTGTTCAAGTGATCCTAGCGCTGGCAATCTAATATGGCGGCCGTCACGTCACAGATTTTCGAATTTTTGAATTTCTCGTATCCCAATTATCTAAAAAGTTGGACCAAAATTGATACGAATCAAGGCCTTCCTGACTTACTTCGCTGCTGTTAGTCTGAGGAAATCGGTCTTACGAAACGGGGAATCATCAAGGAACGTTTTGATGCCTTTTCCACCCGTCTCCTCCATCCTCGTCCTGCGCTACGCGATGTGTTTGCTGGTTGGCGATCGAAGCGAGGATGCGATGTAGATGAATATGTTGTTGCTGACTTATCATCCGTCGTGGAGTTTTGGGGGGTTGTTGGTGAGTTTTTACGGGTGCAGGCATCCTTCGTCTGCCCAAAAAATTGAAATTCGTTCCAAGTTACTCCGCGGAAACGAAAGTCACTCGTCACCCATTTCCGAGCTTTTTGTGTTATTGGAACAGACAATATTCACTCATGGACGAGCGTCGTGCCATTTTACTGTCAAGGTGTGGAGTTGGTGGCCAGAAAATAGCCAGCCGGACTCAGACAACCAAGTACACCGTCTCAAACTTCAGAAAACAATATTGCAGGCCCTGAAAAAAGTGAAAATTGATGTTGACCATGCATGATGTATACAATACAATGTACATGTATGTGCATCCAAATTGACTTTACATTCAATGTGCAGATTTTGTACGAATCCACTTGAGCGAACTTGCAGGGGATGAGAGGGTTGTCGCTGTGCTGAGCCAGTAGTATGGGTTGCACACACACTCTCTCTCGCGCGCGCGCACGCGCGTGCGTTCACATGCACACATTGCACCCGCTACGCAACCAAAGCGTCTCCGAAACGGAGAGATGGCCAAAATTTGAGCAGAGCTGACATTGTGCCACTCAGCCAAAGTCTTGTACTAGCAAGTAATTTACTTTGCTTCCACATCAACCATCACTGCAACTGTTCGCCAAGTTTCTTCATCATTCACACCAACTGTCACAGCTGTAACAACAGGACCGGCACTGCGACAAGTCATATGATTGTAACAATTGGAAGAGAACATTATCAGAGCAGGGAAACTGTGAGTAATTCTAGTCAGACAACACAGACATAAGTCACGCAAAAGCGAGAGGATTTCTTCTGCACTCATAGCCGTGGCTGCACACACACACACACACACACACACACACACACACACACACACATGCATGTAAGATGGAGTCACAGCAAGAGAGGCTTTCTTTTGCACTCATAGCCGTGGCTGTGCACACAGACACACACACACAGACACATACACGCGCTGGCGCGCGCGCGGGCACACACACACACACACACAACCAAATACACACACAAGCGCGCATAACATGGATAGCAATGTGCCATTACCGTTTCGAAGCATCAACGCACAACAAATGCACAGCAATAAGAACAGGGAAATGAGCACATACGTAGTGCATGACAGTAACTCAACATTGGAGAAAGGCACTGTTTAAAGTTCAGTACAGGACTGCGTTATGTCCTGTGTCAGACTCCTTGTGGAAACGACCTTGCACTGGGCTAACTTGTGCCAGTGTTGCATCTAGACCTGGGGATTTATTCCTGGATGTATGATGGATCAGTGCTGGCAGAGGTCTGCCAGCTAATAAGAGCTTGATCAGTGAAGCGTCTGACGCATCCAAGGGCAGCAGGCAGTTATGGCATGGGTCATGCTACATGTCAAACTGCAGCAAGACATAGCTAACGAGGAAGCAGCCGAGCAAAAGGCCACAACAACCAAAAGCCAGCTCAGCTACGTAGCTCGGCAAGGCTATGAGCAAGTTGTCATTGGCCACAATTCGGAGGTTATGTGCAACCAAACTAAGCAGGAGTGACATTGTCACAATTTGTGTGACTGGACTGAGAATTTCAGATGACAGACAGTTGCTCACTCCTGCTCATTGCCTTTGTCTTCATTATCGGGTAGCTGACTCAGACTTGCACTGCTTCTTCAGTTCCATTGTACTCTGAGGACTCAGCAAAGCTCAGCAGCAACATGAAACATCGAACATTTCATGAGCTCGTACGATCGTACGAGACAAGATCGTGAAGAGAAGCAAATGGCACGTCACCCCTAATACCTGCACCTTTAGAGATGCACGCCGTGCCAGCTATGATCCGACTCCGTGTTGGCCTTGGTTTGCTCGCTGAGCAAGGCTAAGAGAGCATCCATGCGGAATTCAACTCTCTGGAGAAGCGTTTCTGTCAGATTCCTGCGCCCATGAAACATTTCGAAGCACCTAACAAGAACGCTGCCCGGGTCCAGGCCACCCAGTCGCCGCAGCTAAGGCATCGAGGAAAGCGGCAGCCATCGCGATCCTTCTCTTCATTCCATAATCATGTCAATAATCAGTGACTCTCCGGCTCTTTTCAAGTCGGTTCTTCTTCGCCCTCCATCTCGTCCTGTTGCAATTATTTTTTACTTTAATATCTGTCCTGCACTTCACGTTCGGTCGGGACTCCCAAACCTCGATTTACCTAAGGTCACCTACTTGATTCTACTAGATTTGAAAGGATCCACCTGAAACCATGCTAATTTTATAAATCGAACGTGTAAAGTACAAATGTGCGATTTATTAGTAAAATCGCCGCCATGTTATAGAGGACTTTCCAATGAGTCATACCGTGCGGCCTATGAGGATTCGGGCCAAAGATCATCGAGTTCACCACCGATCACCAGACTTGAAACGGAGCTTGGGTGGCAAAAAAAGAAGACTGCATGGAAGGAAACAGTGTTTTTCGAAAGCAGTTCCATTTTGCATACTGTAGTTTGAGAATACCAAAGGGCTGCTCGCGATCGGATGTTCCCACACCTGGATCGTCTTTGAGTTGTTATCGTTTTCCCTACGATGGAGAACGACGGAACCAGTGGATGACGGACACACGACTCGAGAACTTCGCTCCTTATGCAAATACTTCGAAGTACACGAATATTGTTCCATCACTTCGTTGGCGAAGAGAAAAGTCATGATCATCCCCTGTCACCCCAGTACGTATCGAACTAACTAACCAACTTGTTCAGCTCATTTGTGGCAGCACCAGTAAAGGCGGAAACACGAAGATGATTCCGAACACTATCAACTTACTTAGTTTGTTGGGGTGCAAGGTATAGCTGGAGTTTGATGATTGATAGTGCTGATGCTAATGACTAATGTACCCAGCTCTATGCACGTACCTCTACATGACTGGTGGTGCTAGCTATTCTAGTACTGGCCCTGGGTGCAACTCATCATCTCTTCCATGCGAGTGTGCATGCCTCATGTTCTGCACAATGTGTATTTCCTTTGTCATGGATAAATACTCTGATCGACCTACTTGCGCAATCTTCTTCTGCTTCCCACTTGGTTGCTGCGCTGTGCAGTTCTTCATCTGCTGCGGCACATACTAGTATACCTCATCTTCTGTCTTTCTGGTCAATTAGGTACATGTATTCAGCTTCTTGATCTTCTTGTGGTGAGGATCATCTTGATCTTACTTCTTGTGTAACTCTGGCAAAGGCAGTAATGGAGGACACTCTACCGGTAATCAGCAACTGCTTATGGAGAATGCCAGGTTGAGGGACGACCAGGAAAAAACAATTGCTGTATTGGATGTGCATTCATCAGCGTGTTTTAAGATCAGGACAACTAAGTTCGCCACTACACCAACTTTTTGGCTACATAGGAGCAATGATGATGATGGCCGTGTTTGACTTTGTCAGCTTTCGTGCTACCAGCCACCGCATGTCAACATTGTCATACTCGTACTGATAAGGAAGAAAAACCCACACACGCACGAACACACACACACACACACACACACACACACACACACACATGGATACACTGACAGGCATGCAAAGCAAGAGAGACAGAGAGAGAGAGAGAGAGAGTCAGGCAGCGAAAGAGAAGTGAGACTACTTGTAGGTTATGGGCACGGTGCTCCAATTTCTGCCCAGCTGAAGTAAAATCCATGTACACTATTTTCGTGTAGTGTTCATTGACGGTGCCAGCCACTGGTGAGTGACCCAGTGGTGTAGCTAGGTGTTGACATTCAGCACACATCACATTTCAGTCTCCAACGTAAATTCAGTCAAAACAACACTGCACTGCAGCAACATGGGAACATGCTTCTCCCAGGCCCACCATGCAAGTGCAGTGTGCGCCAAGAACAATTCCAGGTAATTCAGCAGCTACCCAAGGATGGACAGGTTCGGCAAAAACACTCCGCGAGTGCCTGACGTTTGCAAACGTATTTTGTTGACAGTTGTTGTTTCTTCCTTCGATTGGGCAAGACACGATAATGTGCCAACTCAGCCAGCAATGAGACACATGCATTTGTATCCATCAGGGCTATTGTAAGACTTTAGAGAGTCCTTTGCATATGTGCTGGGGACATTCACTAAATATTTAGAGAGGCCTGGATACCCAACGCAGGGGGATTGGCTGAAAGGTCTTCGTCCATAGGTAAATATGGATCAATGTACTGGGCCCACGGATTCTGTCAATCTTCTCGCGGCAACGCCTCTTCAAGGCTGGAATAAACAGTAGAGTAACTGCGGCTAGTAATCCTCGCGACTTACCGAAACTATTCACCACATCAAAGAAAAGCAAAAGTGCTTCACCACTGCGACGGCCTGCAACATCATTTTCAACCGTACACCGAACAACACATTTGATTCCCTTTTTGCCACCCAAGCACATTTTACCGTAGGACACGGACTTGTCTTATGGGTGATCTTTGGGTGGACACCGGGAAGGCGCCAAAAAGGTGATGTAATGGAAAGTCCTCAATATATGATAATATTAGATGGCCGTGGCTGAACGGCCGTGTCCATAGACTCCGTATTATGGAGTTCATGAACTCTTGGTGATAATCTCAATACATGATTGTACTAGTATTCTTATCATGGCGTGAGAGTCAGTCTAGATATACACTTTTACGGATATACTAGTAATCAGATGCACCTTCTTTTCCATCCCATGCAGCATCAATTTATTATTTATTCACCTCCGCACAACAACGGCCTGTGTACAGCTACAGGTAACTCGTTTGCCTTCCACAAGTACATTGTACATCCAAGCTATTGTAATCCAAGCTCCCTCCCTGTCCGTGCACTTTGGTACAGGACACAATGAACTCAAGTATCCAGGCCAGGTGTATAACTTGCCGGCTACGCGGCAAGATGGTGCCAAAAACAACTGACACAAATGCACCGTGTTGACCTGCCTGACGAACTGGACCCGGCGGTTACAGCAGGCCTGAGAGTATGACAACCGCCCCTGACTTGCTCGCATGTGCATGCAGTTAACAGAGAACGTGAACATGCATGGTGATACCCTTTTCAGAGAGAGACTGTGTACCACTTGATCAACACCGTGTGGAACTTGGCAAAGAGCAAAACGCAGGTACATGCAATGTGGCATTGGACAATCGCTCATTGGACAATCGTTCGTTGGACAACCGTTCGTTGGACAATCATATAGACGCAGAGATATAAATTATAAAGGCATTCAGGATAATGAAATTGGAAAGAAAATAAGGACAGAAAACTGAGCACATGACCGGTGGGATAATGTCAACTCCATCCACACAGTAGAACAATTATTAGGATCAAGTCATCGAACCGTTGTGGCGTTGGGTTGGAGAGACACATACGCGTTACCAGACCATCTGATTGCATCACACCACCAATAACATTATCACAAACGACACGCACACACGCGCATACACACACACACACACACACACACACACACACACACACACACACACACACACACACACACACTGCATAGTAATTATACAAGACAATATTGGAAGCAGCTAGAGAAATATGTTACAAGAAAGTAAGGCGGACCAGCGCACTTCTTATCAAGTGAAAGATGGGCATATAATTACATGTATGTTGCCAGTTCTATGGAAAATACACAGAGAAAGCAGGGACACATCAGAAAACAAGACAACCCCAAACAGTGACGGTCACCTGATAATGACTGAGCTGCCAAATGATTCAACAACTCCAGAAACGAAAAGCAGAAGGTACTAAAAGATAAGATTACAAACGTAGACTAGAATGAGAGACATATTAAATAGTAGAGCTGAGAAGTAGGGGAAGGCAGAGGCAGACATGCAATGCTAACAGCGGGTAAGTAGGCACACATACGGCCATACCAGGGCACCACGAGACAGGCCAGGTTGTTGTTCAACTGATTCAAGAGAGAGAGAGAGAGAGAGAGAGAGAGAGAGAGAGAGAGAGAGAGAGAGAGAGAGAGAGAGAGAGAGAGAGAGAGAGAGAGAGAGAGAGAGAGAGAGAGAGAGAGGAGAGGAGAGGGAGAATGCGAGAGAGGCTGGTTTAGTCAGTCCAACTACAGGGATTTGTCAGTCTGGGCTTTGATGCGCAACTTGCGGATCATCTTGCCGGGCAGTGGTTGTGGCACACTGAAGACCGACTACATCCAACATGTACAGACACAAAGAAAAGAAGAAAAAAATGAGAAAAGCAGCTTATCATGTATCATTCTCCTTGGCATGAACAAACCCAGTTACAGGGCAAGAAACTTACAACTTCACCTAATCCAGCAAGTCAGAAACGCGATAAAAATTATTCAGGAGGGTGGAGGCAGGCAAACACTCCAAAGTTGATGTAGATGGACCTTTCGGGCCAAGCACTAAGTTACTACACTGCCCCTCACAAAGAGCTGCGTCTGTTAACTTATGACTCACCTCCATGAACTCATGGCAATGCAGCATCCAATTCTGAGTGAGAATTTCCTGCAGATGAAGAAAAATACATGTACAGTCACTAGTCAGTACAGCCGGGTGAGGTGCAGCATTATTTAAACAACACACCATGATATGTTTGTGCTTGTGAGCACCTAGGCTAGCATTACCAGTGCAGCATACACCAAAAGCCCAAGCAGCATGCAAGCCAGGACACATACGGCAAAACAAAGAATGCCAACGCAGGAGAAATTATCTCAGGACAATCTAGCAATGAGGATACACACACACACACACATATTGCAGTAATAGCAAGGTACATGATCAGCAACCTGAATGGGCAGCTGCTGCTGCTAGCTGGATACTAGGCTAAGGTTAGAGGCAATATTGCATACTACAGTGCGCACCACCTTTGGACACATACTGTAAATCAGCAAATATTATAATGAAATATTCGGCGCATATTTATTTTCGGCCTGGTCATATTAATTTTGCAAGGTTCAGTGTGACAGTGTATACAGGCAGCAGCAGTACAGGCTGAAAATTTAATGTGGCCGAAATAGGTTTTAGCCCTGGGGGCCGACATTTGAATGGGCCGAAAATTTGTAGACCTTACAGTTAAACACATATAACACATTAATAACACAGCTAGGCATAGTACAGTGCTGCTCAGTGATATCCGCCTGGACTAGTCAGCTAACACCGGGCATCATGGCGTGGTAGCCTTCTGAACACTCTGGGCTGTGCATTCCTTTGAGCAGCACTGTAGATCTACACTGCACAATGCCATGTACCTTCATGAACATCAGCAGGTCACCGATGTCAGAGAAAGACAGGAGGCGCTCTTCTTCATGCTTGAGTATGGTCAGCGCGACACGAAACAGCACTTTAGAACCCTCGTAGAACAAACAATCCAAAACTCTGAACGCTGTCTGCAGATTTAAAAGTGTGTGAACAGAAAGAGGAGAAAAACAAATCAGCTACATGTACATGTACACGGAATAGTGGTCTGTAGCGTTACAGACTACACCAAGTACAAGAACAACATTGGGGTTGATGAACGAAGGAATTTAATGCACTAACTTCAGAAAGAGTACATGTACCTGTAGCAAATGTAGCACCGGCCTGAAACTCCAGCACTAGACAGAAATCAGTACTCATCTTCAATGCACAGCCACTGCAACAACACATACACACCTCTTGTGGGAGACAGTCAAGGAACAGGTTAATGAACCACTTCGTAGCAAACAGGTCCACAGAGCAGCTATGCCGGAGGAAATGATCATGAAGCCGTGGCATTTTCATTCTGTACAGGGTCACAGGGAGAGACAATGACATCGGCTTCAAACTCTCACACAGTGACAAGTACACTGCGGTGAACATCACACACCTACAAGGTAGTAGCTGTGCTGACCAACCCCATCACTGCTACACGATCATCACTGGGAATCAATGGGAATCAATGCAGAGAGAGAGAGAGAGAGAGAGAGAGAGAGAGAGAGAGAGAGAGAGAGAGAGAGAGAGAGAGAGAGAGAGAGAGAGAGAGAGAGAGAGAGAGAGAGAGTTGATGGGAATCAATGCAGAGATAGATAGATAGATCGTTAGATAGTAGGGCTGAAACGAATGCTCAATGAAGCGAACGAATATTCTCTTTCCAAATAATACGTGTAAAACGAAGAATATTCCGAATATTTTAAACAATACAATATCCATGGATACCTAGTTGTATCCATGGTAACCATAGACCATCAACTGGTGTATACCCCAATTACAGGAGGGACATTTGAAAAGGACAATGTTATCATTTGTCTTGCTGATGACAACACATGGAAGGTGGCAATCTCACCCACTTTCTGCACCAAATAAACCTGTTGGATGTAAAAAAAAAGGCGAGTTTCTGTACATTTACGAACATTCTTATTCTACTCTATTAAAACGAAGAATATTCTTTTTCCGATCTGCACATTTCGAATATTCGAATAATTCGAATATTTCTTTCAGCCCTAATAAATAGATAGATAGATATTATATAGATAGAAAAGGCAGATAGATAGAAAGAGAGAGAGAGAGAGAGAGAGAGAGAGAGAGAGAGAGAATAGAGAAGAACGGGAATAAACTAACACAGGCAATATCATCCTGCTCACTTAACCAGCTGCTGAAGCACGTAGCAGTCCATTTGCATGCCACGCAGCTTATCGCCATAATAGTCTACAGAAAGAAACACAAGTGCCTCAATGACATCATCCATGCACAAAACGAGATTTCAAGAAGAACGTACCCGGTATGTGGACTACACAGTGTCATAGCAATGTCATTCCTTCTGTTCCCTTCCCTGTGCTACTTCAAGTTCAGTCTTGCTAACATACATCGGGATTCCAGCACATGAGAGCAGGATCTGGGCGCAATGTCCGAGGACAAGAGGTAACAGGCTCTGAGTACAATGCCCTCCCCCCCCCCCCCCCCCCTCTCCCATGACATAAGATAGCACTACAGTCCATTCATACAAAGATGATATCCTGGCCTTTGGCCATAAATGGGTCAAATTTTGAGTTTTTTCTCACAATTTTTCAGCAATCCCAGGGGGGGGGGGGGATGCTCTTCCAATTATGTTTCTGAAGTCTATTTCTCCATTAAGCAAGTATATTTGTGGTTCAAACCCCAGCTGGGGTACCTTTTTTGGACCCTGTTTCAAATCTCGCAGCACTGCACCGTGTACGGCAAAATTACGAAAAAGCGCCAAATACGGGAGCTCGCCAGAGCCAGCGCTCATCTTTTTCTGAATGGACTGTAGGTAACTTATAATGTCCCAGGACAGGAGATAGCAAGCCATTGCCACACTCACCAGGTAAGGAATCTAACAAGGCAATCATCAGCCAAAACACTTCTTCCTCATTTTCCACAATTAGGAGAAGATATGCTGTCACAAAATTCAAACCCTGACATCCAGGTAAAACACAAAAAGACACAGAATACTTCAAGTTAGGGGTGAAACAATCCCGCCGATTGTTCGTCACTTTAAAATACTCGTTTTGGCACTCGATACTTGCAAACAATTGCAAAACGTGCCTATCAAGTACTGGGGAGGCGTTTCAGGCAACAACATGATGGAAACCCATTTCAGGCCCAGCCACTCGCAGCTCAAATGATGTTACTACGATGGAGAATTGCATACTAGTACTTCTCTATACTTTGTCTTGTCTTCTGTTTCTTTCTGATGGAGAAAGTATGTAGTTTGCAAGCAAAGTCAGTGTGTTGTGATGCAACTGCAGTTATTTTACTTCAGCTGGCTGCTTAGAGCCTTACCTACAATATAGCTACGCTGTGCATTTTAGTATCGCATTGCCTCTCACCGGTATTATAAACAGTATAAAATATCGAAGACTTGAAAATGTGTGTGTGTGTGTGTGTGCGTGCGAGAAGAGACCGAGAAAGAGAAGAAAGACAGACGTGTGCGACCATAACCGTCGGGAATTGAACCCGCAACCTCTCGATTGGAAATCGACTGCACATACCACTGCACCATATGGGACACACAGCCAACAGCCAGTGTATGCCGGAGTATGTGGTGTGGTGTGTGTGTGTAGAAAAAAAAGAAAAAAGAAAAAAAATGGAAAAATGAAAAATAGGGATTCACTGGCCAGAAAAAGTCACTTCAATCAGCTGTGTGGTGGATACCAGGCTAAAAATAGTGGCGGTCAATTCATCAGCCTTGCAAGCTGTTGAATGGTGTAATCCCAGCACAAGTTGCTATGTCTAACATAGCTGTTCGCTATCATCGCTTCCGCGATGGGCAGGTCTGAGGTGTGCGTGCGTGTGTGCGTGCGTGTATGTCACTATGTGTGCGTAGATCATGCTAGCAGGTGGACAACTTAGAGTCCCTCTCCATTCATGTACACGTACCTGACAATAGCCAATCGATGGACGATGCTTCGCAATGGCAACAAGAACATTGCGCAGCGAGTCAAGCTTCAATTTGCTTTTGTCCCCGTCCAGCCGAAAATATACATTGTCTGTAAGGGTACGATGAATGTCTATTGGGATGGCAAATAACACACAGAGTATAGAGTTAGAGAACACCAGCAGTTGCTAATATAATAGTAATATTCGTACCAAATTTACATGCATACATGCATACATGAATGTAAGTTAGAAGTGGCAAACTTCGTCAACTCCCTATCTAATCCAAGAAAGGAACACATTTGTCACATCACAGTGACACGGTGAGTCAATTTAAAATAATAGTAAGAAAAGTAGCACATACAGCATACAGTATTCAACAAATAGAGGGGGAGGGGGTGAGGAAATAATCTAACCTGGATATAGCAATGTGTGCAGACCTTACCGAGTTCAATAGGTCTGCTGTGTTTCTCTTCCAGTTTAGAAATGTCTTTCAGTTCATCGTAGAGTCCCGGTGATTCAGCCAGGAGGTCCGATGCACCTGATACTGATAACCACACCTGTCAAAACACGCATGTACACACCGGCATAGAAAATTATATATAATGATGAGAGACACAGAGAGAGAGAGAGAGAGAGAGAGAGAGAGAGAGAGAGAGAGAGAGAGAGAGAGAGAGAGAGAGAGAGAGAGAGAGAGAGAGAGAGAGAGAGAGACACACACACACACACATACACACACACACACACACACACACACACACACACACACACACATACACGTGTATATATTATATACACGCACACACATATATACACGCACAGAGACAGAGAGACAGGCAGGCAAGAGATAACTATGATTTTGGATGCTCATACACCAGGATCTATGCAGGCATGCCACAGTGGCAAACTTTAGCATAAAATATGGCATACACCATGTCCAGAGTGAGCTTTGAGGGACTTCATCAGCAACACTCATGAATACAATCAAGGGTACATGCACATACCGTAGTTAGGGTTGAATAAGCCCGGGCTGATTTTTCTCATGTAAACGGCCTCTAATTGTGAATTCAAGTGTATAAAATGCAATAGGCTTGGTCAGTTTCTTTCTACTTGTTGTGAAGCCAAGGCAATGAAATTACTAGTGGAAAAGCTTAGTTAGAGGATGTTGATTGTGAGGATCCTGGAACTTGCACATACTATAGTCAGTTAGTCACTAAGTACCGCAAACACAAGCAGGTGCAACTAAACACAAAACGCTCCGAATCTTAGCTGGGGCCTGAGACCAGCAGCCATACTGGAGTAATAAGTATAAGGCAGAGACGGCACTCACTTCACGACGCATGCTGGATGGCACGCCTTTCCGAATATACCGCTTCACTGATGTACAAAACACACAAAACACACACACACAGTTCAGTAGCCGACCTAAGAGGCTACAATGAGGACAACTCGGCAATTAACAAAAAAATGGCTTGCTCACTCACATCTTCTATGCCGTGCATTATAATTAACTGATGTCCAACGCCTGGTACGTCTCACCAACACAGTTGTATATGCAGCGTTGAAGGTGTCATACTCAGCATGATCAAATCGATCTCCACGAACAAAACCGTACGGGTCAAGAGTTCTGCAAGGACCAATATCACAGTGTAGGAAATCATCAAAAGTCAGGCATCCCTACTCAAGTCAGTCCATAGTCAAACAAGGACAGTTATGGGGATGGCAGGTTTGGGGGAAATGCAGCATTCCTGGTGGCACGAGCTAGTCACCAAGTACTCTAGGTCTAATTATTTGTCAAATACATGCACGACAAGAAACAAAAGGATGACACTAGAGCCAGCATGCACCCATCAATGAGTGGCGGTTGCGGAGTTTGCTGCAGGAAGTACAATGTACAAAGACTGCTCTGTGCTGGTCACCGGCAACCAGTCTAGGTACGTTTCATGGCCACGCTCCACTGTGTTCAACTACTATGCATACATTATACCAAGAGTATATAACTTCATAGGAAGAGGAGATTACCCAAGTACGGTGGTGATACCTAACAGATATCAACAGCGACTAAGAAGCATGAGGGATTGATATGAAGCATAGAATCGTCCCAGTATGCGGGTAATATCCTGTTTATCCCAGGAACATCTGTAGTAACCTCACGCTTATGTTAATACTGCAGAAGCATGCGCAAGAATGAAATCATTCTCTTTGATCTGTCTTCAACAACAGCAACAGCCATTGTAGCCCCCCCCCCCCCTCCCTTCCTCATCCTGATAGCTTCGAGGTGGTATGTCAATGAATTGTCTGTTCCTATTTGCAAGACATGGTCCCTGCCACCTTGAAAACCTACAAGTACACATCTACGCACTCTTGGAGATCAGCTGCGTCCTCTTGCACTGGATGCAGTCACAAGCAACAACACTTCTACAATCATGTTGCAAGTCAATCAAAGCTGGTTTTTTAAATTTGTATTTCAATAAAAATAAATAAAGAAGATGTGTCAGAGCTAGGTGTCAGGTCATCGAATGTCTCAGTACTCTGTCAGCTTTGTGCCCAGCTGTTGCACTTTCTGGCTGTATTATAGTATCTAGTTACAGTGGTGGACAGTTACTCTTAACTCGTATCCATAATGTTCCTTCCCTTTCTCTATTTATTATTGGCTCAACATCCGAGTTTCATATTAGATAAAGAAACAGAATATGACAAAGATGGCATATGCATGTCTTATGGTACATGCAGGGGTGATGGTCAGTGTGATTGGACATGTACTTCAAAAAAGGTTACTTTGTGCCGAGTCCTTGAAGATCGAGAAATGGATACATCATGGATATGAGCTTGTGTTACCTCCTTGTCGTAGGATGGGCGTGGAGCTTTCTACTACAGCTGGGAACCGTTGTACACTTTCCGTGCAGCTTTGTGATGACATTTATTGTGAGAAATTGGCACCAGTGAGTTAATCGCATTTACTATGCAATGAGAAGAAGGCTGACCTTATTTGGCGCATATGATCTATTTTTATGCCTGTGGGGTAGCACGTACATAACATTGTAAAAAAAGTCCGTGTTACAACCGGCTATACAATTGTGTTGAGAAACACATAACCAGCTAAGGAAGTTTTGCTTGTGCCAGGCCACCACCATGCCTGATTATACCAGGGTGACATATGCAGCGCCTAACGGCAAGGATGGGATGGTGAGTCTCGCAACCAGTATCCGACAAGGGGGGGGCATTGTATTTCAAAGTACATGTACATGTAGATCATTCTAGCGGTACTTACACTTGACACAATGGCATGATAATTACTCGAATACCGTCTGACAGGACTTGCTAGGTTTCTACACACAATCTACAGTTGACAGTTGTGGCCAAAGAAATTCCACCCGCCAGTCAAAAGTAGCGCCGCGTTTCCATTTCGATTACCTCATGCGCGCTCCAAAAATATTTCTGAGGGCTGCAGGGGCCGCATGAGCCTTGGCACTGCTTTCGGCACGTGGGCCGGGTTTCTTTGGCTGCGACTGGACATCACACACGCATGGCTGAGTTCTCCTTTCACACTCGTTCTTGCACAACATTTTGCATCTCACTTCTACATCTTTGCACTTTCCTTGCTACTAGTACAGCGGTTTCTCTCCTTGCACCTATTTCATCTGATAGCAATAGTTTGTGTTGTCTTTAAGGTAAGAAACAGTGCAGGAAAACTGTTGTACTTTGAAGTATGCTTTTGCTTCTAGTGTGGAGCTAAAGGGGAAGTTAAGGCAAAAATCAAAATTTCACCAGTTGTAGTCTTCGGGGTGCTGAGTCGAATGGTCTTGGTCCGAGAAAGCTGAGACGCTCCCTTCCTACTTGAATCCCAATCGAACTCGCGCACTTCCACCGAAACTGGGTGACTGCGCCCTACTAGATGGGGATTTGTATGCAAAATGTCACTAAAAGCGCCATTTCGTTCTTATAAAAGCACGGATGACCGCGATTGGCCCATATGTTGTAGTCTTTTGGACGCTGAGTCGACTGGTTTTGGTCCGAAAAGGCTGCGATGCAGCGTTCCTCCTTTATTCCCAATCGAACATGGTTGAACAAGTGGTCACGTGCTCCTGCGTACACCAGTCACCTGGTCACCGTGCCTGCAGGGTACAACTTACTAGCCTGTTTGACCTTTTTTGGGTGCAGTCCTGTCACTCGAGTTGAACTCGAGTTGAACCTTGGTGTGAAAGTTGTCACCTGCTGGCGTGGTGACCAGGCCATTTGGGCACCCAGGAGCACGTGACCACTTGTTCAACCATGTTCGATTGGGAATAAAGGAGGAACGCTGCATCGCAGCCTTTTCGGACCAAAACCAGTCGACTCAGCGTCCAAAAGACTACAACATACGGGCCAATTGCGGTCATCCGTGCTTTTATAAGAACGAAATGGCGCTTTTAGTGACATTTTGCATACAAATCCCCATCTAGTAGGGCGCAGTCACCCAGTTTCGGTGGAAGTGCGCGAGTTCGATTGGGATTCAAGTAGGAAGGGAGCGTCTCAGCTTTCTCGGACCAAGACCATTCGACTCAGCACCCCGAAGACTACAACTGGTGAAATTTTAATTTTTGCCTTAACTTCCCCTTTAAACATAAAAAGTCATTGCAGTTCGATGTTTGTTTTTGTGGATGTTTGTCTGTGGAAGTGATCGTGGAGGTAAGTCCTGCCAGGTGAGTGCTGTGTTGTCATGCTCCCATACCGTAGCTGAGACTCTCCACGACCACTTGCCTACACACATTTCTCCAGCAGCGAAATTGTTACAAGTAATGTATGGAAAAACTGTCTTTCACAGGCTGCGAACTAACGAATGGAAAACAGAAAGCCAGAAGTAAACCGGACTCACTGCACAGCTGATAATGACTTACTCTTCATTGGCTGCAAGCTCTTCGTTGTTCGAGGCTTCAGCTTCTGAACGACTACTGAGTCTCTCTTGCAGCCGCTCTTTGGCTGATTCCGGCGACCGAGCTTCTGCTTCAGACATGATCTACTTCTACGCTCTGGTACATTACGAGACTTACTTCAGGAGTGAAACAAAAATAGGAGCCCTATACTAATAAGTAATATAACACAATCTGGATACAGTCATGTAACAATACTAACATGAACACTCTCTTCCACAATCCACGGAATCGGAGTGCTACTGTACGCTGCACCTGTTCGACTTCGAGCTCTCGACTTTTGACTTGATTTCGAATAGCTTGACACTTTTGCCTTGTTTGACTCGAAAGGTATTTTTCTTGCTTGACTTCGAGCTTCGTCGCACCCGCGGTGATTTTTTTATGAGTAGCGCATAACTAACTACTTCCATAAGCAGCGTGACTAGCGTCGGTTTGGCGTCGGATCGGAACTGATGATGTGATGTACAACTCTCATCGATCCCGTAGTGTGTAGATCTACAAAGCCTGTAGCATTCATGTATGGGACGCGACCAGGGAGTAGTACAATACTACTCCCTGGACGCGACGTCGCTGGTCGACCAGGTCGACGTGTCAACAAACCGATCACCACGCGCACGGCTGATCAAATCTTTGATTGTGTGTCTGTCCCACTGTCTGTCCTGGGTTTGCCACTCTGTTGACCCACTGGATCGAGAAGAAGCACAACCTCTTTCGTGGTTTTTCTAAACACAAGCGTTCACCACAGACAACATGTCGGGACTTGTAAAGGGAAAGGAGTATGACTGGAAGGACAGCAACCTTGCTCTGTTCGGCTCAGACCTAGAAAAGAATGTAAGTGATGGTTGCTTTCTTCCTAGCTGGCGTACAACCAAGTTACTTCCTGGTGCTGTAGTTTTGATTGTGATAATGACTTGCTTGTATTTCCCCCTATGCCAACTTCTAGATCAAGAAAGCCTCGGCAGAGACTGAGAAGGCATGGTCAGGTGCCGGTGAGAAAGTTGGCGTGGAGATCTGGCGAATTGAGAAGTTTCAGGTAAGGAATGTCACGTCCCAGAAATGCCCCTGTAGCCTTGTAGGTATCTGCGTCTTTATAATATCACTACAGTTACTGTCTGTAGTAATCTATTATCACCTTTGTCAATACCATAATAGTATACATGTACATACACACAACAATATGCAATGACATGTATGTGTAACAAAATTGAGCAGCAAATTGTAGCTTACTCAATCTCCGGACAGACAGCTTTTCGACCTTGTTAGGTCTCCTCAGCGGAGCTCTGAGCTACTGGCCAAGCCAATTGCAATGAAGTCTACTGAACAACAAAGCATTTTAAATGAACTCAAGGCATCAAAGTCAGAGCGCTCTATTACACTGCGATAAACACAGCGAGCGTTGCACGAGGGCAGAACACTTTGACGCTAACCAGAAAGAATGCTCAACCAAGCCAAGACAAGGGAGCGTAATACCGTCAATCTCCGGACAGCTAGCTGTTCCGACCGTGTTAGGTCTGCTACAATTATAGCATATAATTATACAAGTACTCAACAAAGGTATCACTCAAAATGGTCTTGAAATCCTCCGATAAAGGCACATCTAATGGCACTGTGGATTGAAGAGATCGAGGCTAAACAATTACTCTTTAGAGGCATGATTGCAAACTGACAAGCAATCTAAATAACTGCTGCAGGGCTGTAGCAGCGGGATTTCAACTGATCCGGCCAAATGATATACTTGACCAGAAATGAACACAATTGACGAAAAACTCCGTTTGGCACAAATTGGGTAGGTCAATTTTTCGAACTAAGGTCCAACCATGACCTGGCCAATCAGACCAGGTGCTATGGCCCTGTGCCACTATCATGACGCGAAACAGTCCTGACCTCACCAAGCACATGGGTGTGGATTTCCTTGGTCCCAGCCATAGCTTCCCATGTCTTCAGCCATTATAATCAGGCAATCATGCTGTACTATTCAATGACCAGATTCTAGGTTTTGATGTGGTCCAGTAACGCTTACTAGCATTTTGGGTTTGTGTGTGTGTGTTGTTGTTGTTGTTGTTGTTGTTGTTGTTGTTGTTTAGGTGAAAGCCTGGCCATCAGCATCGTTTGGCAAGTTCTACAGTGGTGATTCCTACATCATTCTCAATACGTACAAGGAGGACGGTGAAGATGTAAGTCACCGAGTGAAATTGCTGCACATTGCCAACTGCTGAGCATAATCATGTCACATGTGACCACCGTATTTTCGGCAATACTGGCCGAGGCACGTATATACACGTACCAGTTTCTGAGCCCTCAATTTCACCCAATTTGAAGAAAAATCCACACAAACGACCTGAAATGCTGTTTCGCTCATTTCAGACAGGCGGTAATAAAAGACCGGTGCTAATTTCCGAAAGTACGGTATGCTTGTGTAAATGAAATGGTGAAGTGTGGGTCACTTGCCAATTTCCCTACTGCAGCATCGGTCAGTAAAAGCTTTTTTATGTACTTGGCATATTGTGGAGTGTGAATTATACTGCAGCACGGCTGTACAACAATGTCCCTTTGTGCACATTGTGTGCCTTCGTCATTGAAATAATCGGTGTGTGTGTGTGCGTGTATGGTGCCTGTCTCTCCCGGTGTACGTGTATGTGTACTTCTGTGTGCAGGAACTGCAATTTGATGTTCATTTCTGGATTGGTCGCCACTCAACCCAGGATGAGTATGGTACAGCCGCTTACAAGACAGTGGAACTGGATAACCTGGTATGTACTTCGAAGTATAGACATAGACCTAAGACGGGAGTTTGGATGTGTTCTTTCTACCTAGAAACCTATTCCAGTTTGTCACACCAGTTTTGGAATGCTAGTGCGGTCCTTTTTGGCCGCACGGATTTCCCTACCGTAAGCGCATATACCCTTGTCTACGGGTATGGCATTCATGTACTATGATAGGCCGTACAACTCGTGTCTGACAGACTTTTGAGCATGTCCCAGTAGAGCTGGCCTCAAATACGACATATTTTGTGGGTTTTTCACACAAGGCTTTACCAACTGGGTTCTGCTTATTGTCAGGGGCACTGTTCCTTGCAGTGGGTCCTCTACCCTGTGACACGCTGCCGTATGTTCTATGTGGTAATTATGTGTGTGTAGTAGTAGCAGTAGTAGTAGTAGTATAGTAGTAGTAGTAGTAGAAAAAATAAAAAATCGGTGGATGCCGGCGGATGCAGACGGAGCTGGCTGAGGGGCTTTCACCTGTCCAGCGGCAGCTGCTCGCAGTAGCGGATGAGAAAGGCGTCTCAACATGGTTAACAGCACAGCCGTCTTGGACAAACCGCACCGTGCTGAAAAAGTCGGATTTTAGAGATGCGCTTTGCATACGATATGGTCTCCCACTGGACGGTGTAAGTGATCATTGTGTCTGTGGGAAGTCCATGACCACCCACCACGCCCTCACGTGCCCGACCGGCGGCTATCCGGCGGCTCGCCATAACGAGCTTCGGGACCTCCTGGCGGGAGTGCTGCAGGAGGTACTGCCCGATGTGGAGGTTGAGCCACATCTGCTCCCGGTACACGGTGAGGACATCTCTGCCGTCTCCGCGAATCGTCAGCCAGAGGCACGCCTGGACATACGGGCTAGGGGTTTCTGGTCGCGGCAGCAGGACGCCTATTTTGATGTAAGGGTCACTGACCTTGGGCCGTCCTTGCTGTCTCGTCCGGAAATCCTTAGCCACCTGAGAACACATGAGAGAATGAAGAAGGCGGCGTATGGTGCCAGAGTCAACCAGGTGGAGAGGGCATCATTCACCCCACTGGTGTTTTCGACCTCGGGTGTGGCGGGCAAGGAAACTTCTATATTTCTGAAGTCGCTAGCTGCTCTCGTTGTAGACAAAAACAAAGACTTGGTATATTCTGCTGTGATGGGTGAGTTACGCACCCGAGTTTCATTTTGCCTGCTGCGATGGGCAGTCACGTGCTTCAGGGGCTGCAGGGCCTCTTACATTCGCCGCAGGGTCGGGAGCCCCTTTGCGGCTTATTGCCGCCGGCTCTGCTGACACGGCCAGAGCTCTGACCGCTCGCCTTTGCATGCTTTTGAGTTCAAAGTTTTATATTTCAATTGAGTGTTCTATTTTATTCCGAAATTGGGTTGTCTTTTTGCTTTGACTCTTACTTCATGGTGTTGTGAATAAAACCGTTCTCAAGTAGTAGTAGTAGTAGTAGTAGTAGTAGTAGTAGTAGTAGTAGTAGTAGTAGTAGTAGTAGTAGTAGTAGTAGTAGACTAGTAGTAGTAGTAGACTAGTAGTAGTAGTAGACTAGTAGCAAGTAGTAGTAGCAAGTATTACCTTCACTGGGGGCAGGGGTAACTGCAGTTGGATCCCAGGACGGATACCCTGATGCCGTTAATCCTTTTTCTGCACCTTGTCCTCGCCCACTTACTGAGGTGTGGTGAGCCCATAAGTGGGATCATTTTCAAGTCCACCCAGAGTTTTGGGGATTTCAGGGGGTGTCGGCCGTTGGGCGGTTCAATAGCCAATTGAGTCATCTTTCCAAGATTCCTTTTGAATCTCTCTCCTCTCTCCCGGGGAGACCCACGTGACCAGTTTTGACAGTGAGCAACAAGTAGAAGTAAGTACAAGTGTGTGTATGTGTATATGTGGGTTGTGTGCACGTGCCTATGCTTGACAGCTGGATGACAAGCCTATCCAGCACAGAGAGGTCCAAGGCTACGAGAGCAGCCTGTTCAAGAAGTACTTCAAGCAAATCGAAATCTGGAGTGGCGGGTAAGGGCAGGTGGCCTGCTGTTAATAGCAGTCACTGACCATTTTTCAATGGTGGTTTCCTGTTGGCTTTTAAAAAGTGTTCTTTCCAAAGTTCAGGGCAATAAGACTGTGGATGGCACACTAGGGTGGCGCCAGTTTACTGATAGCTTCACTAATCATTGTACTGCATTGCTGGCTTTGTTCATTGCAGTATTGAGTCTGGCTTCAACCATGTTGAGCCAGAGAAATACACACCACGCCTGTTGCACTTCAGTGGTGACCGACGCGGTATTCAGGTCAACGAAGTCGACTGCATCAAGGAGAACCTGAACTCCGAGGATGTCTTCATCCTGGATCTTGGCCTGACGATCTTCCAGGTAGGTCCCACTCAGCACCATGCGCAGGCATGTTTAAAAAAAAGTGTTAGCCAGCGCGGGTGGCGGCGTGCGCAAGTGTATGGGTGTGTACCAGAGACTGACTGTATAACGTATATTGTGTATCAATCTGATGATCCTTTTGACAAGCTGCGTGCACTTACTGGCGCTGATGATCTCTGTTATTCCTACCTGGATTGCTCACATCGCGCTCTTGATTTCTCTCCTGCCACGCTCAGTTCAACGGTACGACAGCGAACAAGGACGAGAAGATGGAGGCATGCAAGTATGTTGCTTCACTCAAGTCCAGCCGTGGCAAGGCTTCTTCTGAAGTCCTTGGTGAGTTTCAACAGTCTTTGGTTTAACGCTACAACTCGGTACTAATGCAACCTTTCAAAGAGAAGCTCGGTTCATGTATTGGTGGTCATAGCTAATTTGCTTTATATCGGTATTGTCTGCAACTCTCTCTCTCTCTCCCCCTCTCTCTCTCTTGCTTGCTTGCTTGCTTCTCCTCTGGTCACAACCTTTAGATGAGGCCGATACCAGCTCAAAGCATGAGTTCTTCTCTCACCTCGGCTCAGGAGTTGCCTCCAAGAAGGTATGGGTAGCTGGGTTTTTTTGCTTAATCTGATGTACTTTGAAGAAGATTTGTGACTTAGTGTGTCAGTCTTCTTTACCAACAAGTCTCCCAACTCAGCGGTATCTGTAGACAATAGAGAGGTTAAGTTTAACGTAAAAGTCTTACGTCCGTGAACTTTTACGTGAAAAAGTGAAAAAACTCACGTAAAATTTGATGTGTTTTACGTGAGTTGACTGTCCCGCACGTAAGTTCATGACGTGAGTTTTTGGAAGTTTCGCTTGGTTATCCCGACCGAATTTGTGTGAGTTTCCGGAATTTTATCGAGATTTATCGAGTTTGTTGGAAGATTTGATATTTGTGCGAACTAAACCCGAATCCTGCCAGGCAAAATTTCACGTCACGTCACACATGTAACTTAACCTCTAAAAATTACACGTAACGTGAGATTTGCACCGCGTTTTGAAAAAGGGCAAAAAAACTTAACCTCTCTATTCTCTTTGTTACATACATGTATGGCTGTCTTGGAGTAAGCCATTATTATGTTTTCATGATCAGCTGTGAGATGCTCTGCTCCAAACTGTATTAAGTTTTGCTCGACATACCCTTGCCATACCGTAATGTCGCGTATAAAAGCAGGTGCTTACGGCCGTATAAGCCGGTGTTCAAACCATGCTTCTATTCAAGTTATGCTTCTATTCAAAACATGCTTCTACGTCAACATCATCAGTCTGCACTGTGCAGTGCATACTGCCACACATGTACTCGCAAATGTACTTTGCAGGGAGCGGCTTCTATTCAAACCATGCTTCTGTGGCACGGCGCGCTTCAAAAAATCGGCTTCTATTCGAGTCATGCTTCTATACAGGTCATGCTTTTCTACGCGACACTACAGTATATAGCCACATGCAAGGGCAATCCCATTTTTCTGAAGAAATATGTACACTTGCACAATGATGTGAGTTGGTAGTGAAACTAGCAGGAAATACACTGTACCGTGTTGCAACTTCATTCCCCTGTTGTTTTACCTTGATTTCTCGTGCTTGTTTCTTTTGTTTTCTGAATGAAGATCGTGGACAGTGACTTCAAGAAAACCTTGTTCAGGTTAGTGGGGTACGTGTGGATGTTTAGCAGCGTGTCTTCGTGTCATGGGTTTGTTGAATGCACTGTTATACTATACCACCACAATGCCTGTGTGTGTGTGTGTGTGTGTGTGTGTGTGTGTGTGTGTGTGTGTGTGTGTGTGTGTACCAGCCATGATAGTCCAGTTGTCATGTCCATCCATCGGTCCACTTCCTTCATATACTGTCAAACATGTTATTTTCGGTGCAACTTTAATTTCGGCGATTTCGGTAGAGAAACCAGGCACCTAAATTTAGATAACGCCTGAAAGGCACTAAAGTATGCACTGTATGTGATGGGAATGCTGGCCACCTAATTCTACACTACACCTGAAACCTGGCAGGTCCCTGGTACCGAAATTGTAATACACCTGAACTGAGTAAAATTACATGTTTTACAGTACCGTAAAATCCCGCCAGAGCGCCCCGTCTCTCCCATCCGCCCCTCCCTGACTTCTTGTCAGGGACGTGATTGATTGTATCCTCGTATGACTCTGTCGCAGTCTGTGATGCCGTACTGTACTGCAGACGCGTGCTCAACCCTGTTGGAAATGTACGCAACAGTGCCCGCCCTCTTGACCAGGGATCGCACAAACCCTGCGTTTTGTCGGGCCTGTACGACTCCTGGCTCTTGACCTTTGGTCGGTGTACGAGATGCACGAACAGTTTTCGTAGGGTGAGTACTTTTTCATGTAGCACTGAATGCGCCCCTCCCCACCTGAAGCGTCGAGGAGGTAGGGGCGCTCTGGCGGGATTTTACGGTACTAGTAAACATTGGTGACTGGACACAGGATGCTTGCATGATGTTACAATAATAGATGTGAGTGTGCCCTTTGAGCATTGCATGAGTCTCCCACCCTCGTCCAGTGGCCAGCGTTTTTACATCCCTCACAGGCAGGTGTCGACGTCCCGGCGGAACCGAGACGGTGTCTTTCATCTTCGTCCTCCTGCCTGTTACGTGGGAATTTCTGGATTCACTTTTCTACACTTCTTTCTATGTATGTGGTGTGTAGGCTGAGTGACAGCACTGGTGACCTCAAGTTGACCCAGGTGGCCGAGGGTACCCTGTCCAAGAGCATGCTGGACAGTAGCGACGGTGAGTGGTGGTATGGCTTGTGTGTGGAGAGCATTCTGTGTAGGTGTCTTATTTGTAACCTCCGCGTCAGCAGTGCATGTTCAGTGAGGACCGTCTCTGATCATCACTGGCTAGCTATGTGCCAGTCGAATGGGGTTGTGGCCAGCACTCAACCAGTACTCTCACATATTTTGCCTAGTGACAATCTGTTTGTTCCTTTTTCCGTGTGTGTGTTTGGATACGGCAGTGTTCATTCTGGACACTGGTGTGACATGCTTTGTCTGGGTTGGCAAGGGAGCCAGCAAACAAGAGAAGGCCAAGGCTATGATGCATGCCAGTGTAAGTCATGTGTGTCACTGTGATGTTCTGCATTCCGATACTCTCATGCAGTTTCATCAATAATTCTTGCCAGAATGTTCCCCACTACTGAAGTACAATCTAACTATGCACACCGCAGTAAGAGTTAGACACACAGCGCACGCACATGGGCATGTGCCTTGTGATGCTTGCGCATATGTGTATACATCGCGTCATAGGACAGAATAAAGTACACTCATATATCCCTTATCCGGACAGTCCAGGACCGGGCACTAGCCATAACTTTTTGGAAATATCCGTAACTCTGGATCACGTACAGTTTGGGAAAGTGTCAGAGATCTGGCACATGTCGTTGCTCTTTCCACTAAAATTGCAAAAGAGTAGCACAGCTTCCACTAAAATTGCAAAAGAGTAGCACAGCTTCCACTAAAACTCGCCCACAGGGTGCCCGGTAGACCGACGTGCCCATAACTCTGCCGTCCAGATAAGAGAGAGATGAGTGTAGTTTTAAAAAAAGTTCTAGAAACTGGAAAGTTGCAATCTCCTCAGTTTTACTGTATGTTGGCTTTTTAGTTAGTATCTTTTCAGCATTGTGTGGCACTTTACTCCATGGCTGGACATGGGGGTCATGCGCCCTAACCCAGTACATTGCAGTACTGTACATGCCAGTGTAGAGCTCGGACGGCGTAGAAACCAACCACTTTCCACTGCGCCCAGTGCCACACAGCCACGGAAACACACACGCACGAGCGCGCTTATTCCCAGCCCGTTTCACTGCGCCCAGTGCCTGTGCTGACTAGTGAATTTCTTTGGCTGTAGCTGTACATTTCTATCAACCCCCGGCGTATTTCTTTACTGTGTATCTCCATTCTGCTTGTATGTGCACTACAGAACTACGTAGCTGGCAGCAACCATCCATTTGTGCCCATCACCAGAGTAGTGGAGGGACAGCGCAATGTACAGTTCTGCTCATCCTTCGATGAATAAAACCAGTTTGAAACCAGCGAGATCCGTTACTATAGAGACCTTCATTCAAACTGAGCCCCTTGCCGGCTACATTTCATCTTGGAACATAACCAACACTTCACTTTTTTTTTACTTATTAACACTTTCTTGTAACCACTTGAACAGTTAATTTTGTTCGTCATATTGGAAACTTTACTCCAGCTCTGCCGCTTTGTTGAATTTACTTTCAATTTAGGGTACCATGCGTTGTATTTGCATCACGGGTGAAATTCTGGTAATTCCAATAGGGAATACTGTCATGCCTGTTGTTGGAGCCCTACGCATGTGTAAGAGAGTTAGAGGCAGGGAGTCGTAAAATACGGTATTTTACGACTCCCTGGTTAGAGGGCTCCCGGGTCTGAGGTGTGTTGTGTAAGAGGGCTTCTGGGTCTGAGGTGTGATGGTCCAACCTCTCTACTGTACCTTTGCCTTTTATTTGGCGCATTGTGCCTTTGCCTTGGCGCATTGCTTCTACCCTGAGTGTAAATGTAATACGTGTAGAGGATATTACCCTAGTACGTGGGTGATACCTCCTGAATATCCATCCCGACTGTGTAGCAGGAGGGATTGATATGAGGGTACGGTATAACCCGAGTATTACGCGGGTCAATATTCTACTTATCCCAGGTACGCCTACACATTTTTGGGGATCAACGCAATTGCGTCCTGAATGCAATTACCGAAAACGAGATGCTGCTTTTCTTTACAATTCAGTCGAGGTTTGAGAGTGATGCGACAGGTTGCATTTGTAGTTGGACAAGAGAATATGACAGAGATTGCTTTGTTCTTATGTATAGTAGTCATTATTCTCACAAGAACAAGTGACAAAAGAGTAGTAATAATTATTGCCACTAAAACTGCCCCAAAGGGTGCTCGTGGCCCGGTTCACCGAGGTATAGCTGGTCATGCTCACATGCATGGGTCTGCTTGGGGGACTTGAAAGTTCAAAGGGCCGCCACCCCCCCCCCCCCCCCCATGATATCCCCAGAATGGGGTGGACAGGGAAATGGTTGCAAGTACGGGCTCACGATGCACACTGCAGAAGTTAGTTGGCGAGGACAAGATGCAGCAAATGATTGATGACATCACGTCGTGATCCAGCTGAATTATTTACCCCTGCCCCCAGTGCTATTAATAATACCATCGCTATAGTGATGGTTATACATGTACCAGGTATTGGTGGTGTCCATACAGTAGAGTCGCGCACTGAAGAACAATCCAGTATGGATTTAATTGTTTCTAAAAACGTGATAATAAGAACGCAGTCAGATTTCTGAAAAATAAGAACGTCCCTGGCTAACCCCTTGGAAACAACGGTCTTGGGCGCGCGACTACTACTGTATTGCCAGGGGGTGTAGCATGCAGCTGGTCAGGTCGGTCCGGATCACTTTTTCGCCCAGAAGTGCCCAGAATGCAGGATTTTGCACCTTAATTTCAAAAATTTCCCGGGGGACACCCCCGGACCCGTACCCCCTCCAACGGCGGTGCTACGCGCCTGATTGCATAACAAAATGATTCTCTTTCTGACATGCACCATACCAGTACAGTGTTGGTTGCTATATTGTAGATCAGAGTGAATCTGCTACATTTGCACACATCACACAGGCTTCACTAGCACATTGGCTACACAAGATATCTATCAAATAGAAAGTACATGACTTTGTGTAACCCCGAAACCAACTCTGGCAACCGGCCGAGCCTGAATGCTGATGGCAACAGACAAACCCGCTATCCGGCACAGTGCCCAATCTTACTGTACATGCATCCGTCAGCCACATACGTGCATGCGCACGAGCACACACACACACACACGCACACACACAGGAACGCATGTTATCTGGAACAAATACTCAAGTCACTGTTAATAGGTTGGAAAGCATTGATACACCATGCACTTCCATAACATGCGTTAAAACTGAAGGGGCAGTAACATTAAACCTCAGCTGTTGATCTACATATCAACAAAACCACTCATGAGATATTAGCATGGAGCATAAATCTGAGAAAAAAAAAGAAAAGAAAAAAAGACGCCACACTCCTCCAGTGCAAATCCTGCAACCAAAAGCGGAAAGAAGAAAAGTGCAGATGATGCCATTTCTAAAACAACAACAAAAGGAAATCTGAGGGAGACAGCGTGGCAAAGTTTGAGGCAAAGGCAGTGGTTGCTACATCATTTATCTGAAATGGTGCTGCTGCAAATGATTAAAAACCACTAGAGCAGCAGCAGCAGCAACAGTAGGTGTAGCAGTGGCACCACAACACAACAAGTACTAGAGAGAAAGAACTGCTGCAATGAGTAAAACTATGACTAACCGTAAATACAGTGCAACCATAAGAGGAGTCTGTGTGTGTGTGTGTGTGTGTGTGTGTGTGTGTGTGTGTGTGTGTGTGTGTGCGTGCGTGTGCGTGTGCGTATGTATGTATGTATGCATGTATGTATGTATGTGTGCACGTGTATGTGTGTGAATAAGTGAGGGAATAAGCTAGAGTGACAGTGAATGCGTGAGCGAATGAGAGGGTAATTGAGTGGGAGGGTAAGTGAGTGAGAGAGTGAGTAAGTGAGAGAACGAGTGAGTGAGAGAACGAGTGAGTGAGTGAACGAGTGAGTGAGTGAACGAGTGAGTGAGTGAGTGAGCGAGCGAGTGAGTGACTGAGTGGGACTAGGGAAGAGATAGCTGTACAGACAGTGCAACACTACCACCAAGTTACAAGGGAGAGTGAAAACCAGCAGCACGGCTAAGCAAAACAAAGAATTCAGATACTCCAGCAAGTGCTATGCTGATCTTGTAAGCAGTGGTGCGTGTCCGTAAGAAGATAATGGCGGCAATGAGAAGCAGCACAGACAGTCATAGCTCACGGACGCAAGCACACGACACACGACACACACACATATACATTCGTGAAGTGGGAGGGGATAGGGGAAATTAAAAGACGCCCGGGTAGGATCGTCATAATTAAAACAGGACGTCACGGGATGCATCACGCAAGTCCACTGTTCGCATTGTGGCTATCAATGCCACACCAGTTGCCACCAAAACAACAGAATAATTATCAAACCGGCCCAAGCAGGATAGCGCTGTCAGGACGGCACAGCAGGTGTGTGTGTTGGGATGACGGTCAGGCATGGAATGCCATGGGAAGAGCCAATAAAAAGGGGGAATAGCATGGTGTTATCATAATGGGAAGTTAGGAATGTGAGTAGATACAAGGGACATGCACTTCACACTCAACAGCGAGTTGTTAACACAAGAAGAAGAAAACCGGCACAATGCAAAAAGAAAAGAAAAAGATGCGATGAGCCAGTAGTAAACCGTTGATTGAGGATTGTTAGTTGCCACTAGCTTTACTATCAGCGCTTGTGTGGCTGGGAGATTAAGATTGAGTCGCTGCCGAGGTACCCTGGTCCTTTGCTGTATCCTTAGTAGCGCTGCTGCCTGCTGCAGTAGAGCTGGAAGGTCCATTTGTAGGGCTGGATTTGCCCGAGGACTTCTTTCCACTTACTGATGTAGATGAAGAGGATGCAGATACTCCAGCAGCAGCTGCGCTACTACTGCTACCAGTGGGAGCAGCAGCGGCAGCAGTAGAGTTCGCTGCTGGCAGGCTTGGAGTTACGCTGGGAGTTGCACTGTTGGTGCGAGCAGGCCGCGGACTGGATGGCTTCTGCTGCTCCTGTTCTGTCTGCTTGGACAACTTGTCCTGTTGGCCACCACCACTACCACCGCCGTTGGCTGTGCCCTTGCCAGACTCTTTACCCGGTCTGTCCGATGCTGAGCGCTGGTGTTGCTTGTTTCTCACACGGGGAGCACGGCTCTTCTGTTATGCACAAAGGTCAACACAACGCGAGCAGGTAGATTACGGAATAGCATACGGCAGCCAAGCTGAGCTCCGTTGATAAGGCCTAAGGTGGAAACAGCTAGCTGTCCACAGATTGAACAGGAATACATGTATATAAACCTGTCATTCTGTGATTCGCCAACCGTACCGTATTTTCCGGGGGGGGGGGGTGTGGTGTGTGTTAGCAGCACTTTGAAACGCCTAAAAAAGCCTAAAAAATCGCCCCTGCTGGTTAGACTCCGAATGCTGGCCATGAATCAGCCAGTGATACGGTGTGCCATGCATAAAATGCATGTACATTGCATGGCGTCCTTCGACTACTTTTTATGTGTTTTTCATGCACAGAAATCCATCACTGCAGTTGTATGATGCTTCTATGTTGTCGGTTCATTGTGAGGGACAACCAATGAAACTTTTGCTGGAACTTCAGTTGTGCTTCTCAACTTTTTAACCATTGGTAAACGTCTTGAATGTACTACAGTAGTACCCATCAAGTTTGACCAAAAATTCAAAGTCTGACGTGCGGGTTATACTCTGAATGTCAAAATAGTTACAAAATTTGGGCCCGAAAAGGGGGATGCGGCTTAGACCCTGGTGCGGCTAACACACCGGAAAACACGGTGCTAGGAACATTGTGTACACTTGGTCATCACACAAACCTCTACTGTCACCACAAGGGTAACCGCAAGAGCACAATTACGTTCATGGGTTTACAGTACTGTTAAGTACCGCCAGAGCGCACCACCATCTCGGTTTTTTCCTGGTCGTATTGTGGAGGTGGTCTCCTGTCTGTAGGTCATACGACACGAACCTTGTGCACATACAGTCAACTTCGCTTATAACGACACTCGGCGGGGCATCAAAAAGGTGTCCTTATTCGCGAAGTGTCGTTATACCCGAAGTCTCATTATATGTATTACAGTGGGATGGGACTTTGCTCTGGGCATGGAAATTCTGTCCTTATTCGCGAATTGTCGTTATATCCGCAGTTGTTATTAGCGAAGTTGACTGTATTGCGCGTTGTGCAGTCAATCCGTACTCAATTTACCTTGGAGGTCGAGCGAGCGGACACGAGTTCTACACAAAAACCTGCCAAGTGTGACCTTAGTACACGAAGGTTCTCACACCGTACAAACTTCGTTGCACACTGCCATACAATTTTCCTTTCCCTGGCTGTAGAATCAAGGTGGGGTGCTCTGGCTAGACAGGGTGCTCTGGCTAGACAGGGTGCTCTGGCGGTACTTTACGGTAGTAGCACAACTCTGTGTGATAATGCAAGCATTTTCATATACCGGTACATATCTTCAAGAGTACATAACCCCCCAGAGTGCGCAACGCCTGATCCAGCTCTGCATAGGGTCTTGGTCGAGCGTAATCGGATCTTTGCATCATAATACCGTACACACCTGAGGGGAGCCCGGGGAGTCGCGGGTACTTTAGGATAAAAAACAACAGTGCCCTGCCTCGAGACCGGCCTTGCGCTGGTGTGAAGTGTACGCATGACATCAGAAAATCCGACTGCGCTCGACCAAGACCCTATGCAGAGCTGGATCAGGCATTGCACACTCGGGGGGGTTATGTACTATTGGTATCGTCTTGGGCTGCACGGCGGGGATTGATTTTAAACCGTGAACCACCAAGTTGCTACACACCTTCCCATCTCACTACTGCGTGGAAAGCTCGGCCTTATATGGGGGCCGGGCACTCTTCGGCCGGCGGAGCACCGTACTTGAGTACGTGTTTGGATGCTGAAAATGTCCCCATAATAGAAGCTCCATCGCCGGGTGCTTTGTGATTCGAATTGTCAGAATTCCAGCAGCTGTATTAAAAAGATAAATTAGAATAACAGGAGTGCATAACCCCCCAGAGTGCTCAGCTGCCGGTTGGTAGCTGTCCCTGCTCATTTCCAAACTTCCGTCATTTTCCATGAGGAAGCCACCTCAATGAAGATGTATGGTTCACCGTACACAGTGTAATTTTGTGCACAGCCAGGTGCATTACATCATGAATAGTGACGTAATGCTGAAAATGAGCCGTGCCCCAGGTTTATACGGACTTGCATAATCTGGGAAGTTACAGTCCTATTCTTGTTGATATAAAAGTATAAGCTAGGTCTGGGTCTGGGGCACATTGTGTTCCAAGCATCAATAGTAAAACCATCATCAACAACCCATACCTGACCAGAGGCTTTCTGCTCTCCTTGTTGCGACTGTTGTTGCTGTTTCTGCTGTTGCTGTGCTTGCTGAGCTGGCTGAGCTTGCTGTTGCTGCCTTTGCTGCTGCTGCTGCTTTTGCTGAAATTGCGGCCGCTGCGATAATGGCTTTGACGCTGAGGCGGCGGCAACGTCTCTGTTGGGTTCCTGATCAGTAGGCACTAGAGAATTGGCGCGGGATGTGGGAGCACTGCCAACACTGGATTGCTGTGAGTCAGCCTGGCTATTTCGTGATGACTGCTGTTGCTGATTACCCTTTCCACCGTTGTGGCGGCGCTGGTTAACCGATTCAAGTGGAGTGCGATAGCCCTTACCGCGCTGTGACTGACCTCCAGCACCACCACGCCCATCGGATACGTCTCTACCATTCGTGCTAGGCGGTGCTGAGTTGGGGAATTGCTGCTGGCGTCTGCCTCGGCCTGCATTCGTGCTGTTGCCTCGACTGGCTAGACCAGCAGACTCAAATTCGTCTACCGACTCAAATGACACCTGGCTGGATTGGGACGGACGGTAGGAGCCGGTCGAAGCACCACCAAACTGATCCTCACTGTCTCGCCTATACGGCGGTGACGTGTGACCTTCTACGGAGTTATTACCGCGTGCCTGCTGGTTGCCTCGTGAGGCACCACCGCCGCGGCCACTGCCACCACCTCCCCTTCGGCCAGTGTTTCGTGGCGCGCCTTCATAGTCCGAATGTCGGCGTGAGTTATAGCCATGCGAGTCAGCAGCACTAGCACTATTGCCTGCACTGTAGTTATTACCACGGTCATTACGAGATGATGACGGGAACCATGAACGGCGGAAGGATTGTGTAGGAGCTGTCAGGATAAAACACACCAACAAAAAAGCATACACAGTCACGGAACAAGCTGAAAGTAAGAGGAATCGTGTTGCTGCTCCTCCAGCTAATTGCAAGAAAAACACGAAAGCAGCGTATTTCGGGTGTACAATTCATGCTTGGAAAAACAGCCATTCACCTACAATAAAAAAGGAATGGATTTCAGTGCCCGACAAGTGAGCCCGATGGCCGTAGGCCCGAGGGCTCACTTGGAGGGCACTGGAAATCCACCATTGCCCGACCAACCATCTCACGTTATCCATATTTTATTCTTGTTGACTACTACGTACATTGGCAATAATAATTGTACACGGAGAAGTATCACATTCCATATGACAAAGTAGACACGGTCATTCCTACTTCTGAGCAGGTCACACGTAAAGAAGTGCTTACCATCACGTGCCCGCACAGTCGACAAATCATCTAGCTCCTACCGACAAACACACAGGGGGAATGCAGGAAAATAAGCCAGCACCAATCAGAAAACATTGGTGTCGCATCACACGGCAATAAAACCGCCATGCCGACAACAGTACAGCACTCTCATGCTGGCAAATGCAGGATAGAATGGTAATTTAGACACAACATTTTCTTAACTAAAGTATTCTAACGATTTAACGAATTTAAAAAATTCGTTAACATTTGAAGTCGTTATGTACAAAACGATATGTACATCATGTACAGTCATTTGCCGGTTTTAAGACGGAATTCGTTAGAATTTCATCTTGCAAACCCACAAAAATCCGGAGAACTTTAAAATTAAGGTAGCTCATGCCGAAATACTTTTCCGAAAATTCACCAGTTTGACACCTTTTTTTGCAATCCTAGGGGTGTCCAGAATGAGAAAATCATTATAATAGGGTACTATAGTATGTAATTGGGCAATTTGGAGGGGTTATGGCCCCCCGAAGTAGCCCGAACAAGACGTTTTCTAAAAAAGAGACAAGTTTGCCTTGATGACAATAAAATGCTTCCAACCTTCATCTGTTGCTTCTTGTAATCATGTCAGTAATTCGCATAGTATCAGAACATGTCTGGGTAGATTTACCAGCAAAAATACACTGGTTAAAAGTACAGGCTTCTGTGTAAGGAGACGAAACTGGTATTCCGAATCCCGATTCGATATGGTGCCAAAATGCTTTGAAATTCAAATGTTGCAAAACAGGTTTTTTTGCTATTTGCATCGCACTATGACAGTATCAAAAAGTTATGTCAAAATGATGTTAGGTCATTGGACTCGTTTACCCACTGTTTACAGAAACATGCGAAGAAATGATCGTCTCTCGTAATTGATTCCAGTGTATTTGTCTCAACAGTGTGTGATTGTAGTGGTCCTGAACTATAGAAAAATAATTAAAATGCACTTATGCCATAGTTTGGTACAAGCCTGCCTAAAAAACAAACAAATAAAAAGCGAACTCCTGCTTGTAAAATTAGGTTTTTCTCTTATTTCGCGACATAAATGCGAACGTATGGGCGTGGCTTTCACAGACCCTAAATATAGGGAAGGATTCATCATACACTAGCAAAATTTCGGGATTAGCAGATTGCCCTCATGATGCTTCAATTCTGAAAATTTGAACAAATTCGGACAGAAAGTGGTTTTTGACATCCGATATTTTTCGCGATGGGCCCGAGCTACCTTATAAAAATATCTGGTCTTACAGTACCGTTACTGATACTAGCATTATGAAGTACCAATGAGACACACACACACACCATGCCTCATACATTGTACAGTGGTTGCAACTGAAAAGAGACCCCTGGATTTTTACGTACAAATGCCGCCGAGTGAAAATGAACCGCACACAGCGCCCTGGCATGCCAACAAAGCATTCGTTTTCTGGTTTTTGCGCGTATTTGTATTGTATTTTATTATTTACAATACAAATACGCACAAAACCCGTATGGTTGTACAGTATACTACTTGGTACCTGTGTACAGTTGTACTGTGAACCTCCCCATTGTTTCTGGTCATACTTCAAAATACGGCGTGCAAACAGTACTGTTGTTGATATGCATGCATACACCATGTACACTGTCAGTGTCCATGCTTTGAGGCTGGTGTGGCCACATGCTGTGTTGTCGCAGTGGGAGCGCAGCACTCCTGGCGTAGCATTTCAGTTGCCACTACCGGCAGTACAGTACGTACTGCATACACATGATACAGACAGTATGTACTGCATACACATGATACAGACACACTGTTCTACCAGTACAGTATGTACTGCATACACATGATACAGACACACTGTTCTACCAGTACAGTATGTACTGCATACACATGATACGCACTGTTCTACCAGGCCCGGTCGGAGCGATTTTCAATTGGTGGGCGGAGAAAACTGAATAGGCGAAGTGGGGCCTCCTTCCGAAAATAATAGAAGCAGAATTGTGTTTTCTGAGATGTTTTACGGTTCACTCATTATAGGCATTTGGAGTGCAGGATTCTACTAAGGTCGGGCAAGATTTTGTTTGGGTCAGGACTCGACTGATCCAATGGGTTTGCCGGAGACTAGACACAGCTGAACAGGCCTAGAGGTCAACCGTCTGACATGCTCACCTTCATTAGAAGAAAGTGATAATCCAGTAGGAGACGAGCATGATCAACACATTTGCGACGGCCGACAAAGACGAATGGGACCTTCGCACAGAAATGCAGAGAATGCATAACAATGTTAAAAATACAACAGAGAGTAAGGGGCCATCCGTAATTATCGATCTTTTTCACTAAACGAAAAAAGTTTAGTTATGACCCACCCCCACCCACCCACCCACCCCCCTGAAACGAAAAAATTAATTGACTTGAGACTTTGTGCAGAAAATGATCTTGATTGGCTGTTACAACACAGCGAGGCCACATTTTGTGTGATTGTGCAAGTAAGTAACAACGTTAGTTATGTTTTCTTGGAAGTCTGGTACTACTTCTTGACCATGGAAATGCTCCTGGCACCTCTACGTCTAAACACGGGAATTGTACACTTGCAAATCGTCAGAGTTCCGACATTGACATGATACTGCCAAAACAAGTCGACTTCGGAGCGGAAACAAACGCCATAGCTATCACAGACTTCAGTGGTCGTGCCTCGCTCGCAAATGAGAGCAGCATCGCCCCAGAATCGCTGTCGGAAAGCTCCGTAAGGCCGCACGCACGCCGCGCTGCGCTGCCGTCAATCAGGTACGTAGAAAGTCGATGGCCTAATTTTCCGTCTCTGGAAGACTGTCGACACGGGGATCACTCTCCATGGCTTCCCCACCATAAGCACGATCAGATTCTTCCAGGTACATTACGACGACATCGTCTTCAGCGGCTGGCGCTCCCCATATTTGCGTGAGAATTTACTTGGTGTGCGCCCCGCTCCGTAATTTGAAATTCTCTTGCATCGGCGGGTGGAACGAAGT